ATATTACTAACGAAATTTTCTTTGCATAAGACATCCAATTTTCTCCATACATAGTGATGCGATATCCACTTGTTTTTCCTATCAGTGAGCACTCAATATGCTTGAGAAGTGAGACTATCTCTGATCATCTATTCAGGCAGTGAGACTATCCCTGATCACGTTTCTGCTACATCGGGGAACTGTAAAGATGACCACATGCTCTAATCTCCTGAGGTCCTTCTAGACTAGGAGAAATAAGAGTTTTTTGTCTGCTCCCACTAGCTTCCTTCCTTGATTGCTTACCTTATCCTACAATTAATATCACAATTTTTTGCATTTTTTCTCTTTTTATATAACTCTCTGTTCATAAGGGATTTTATTTCTTTAGAATGAACATCTGAAGAAAAAATCCATGAAGTGATCCTAACTCTGAGGGTTATTTGTTTTTGACAGAGAGAAGAATTGTGATTTTTTTGCTTTTGCAGGATATAACTAAATCATCAAGCGCTACATTATATTTATTGGGTGATGTGAACTTGAATGATACTTGAGAAAAAAAAATTTTTCTCCAACCTAAGGATGTAAGCAATACTTCTGTTATTTTATGCTTATACACTTATTTTGATATTTTATAAAACATCTTGAAAGGTAACCAAATGGGGAGATAAGACCGTTCTAGAAGAACGCCATGCAAAGGACCATTCCAGAAGAATGACTTGCATTATAGATCGTTTCAGAAGAATGGCTTGTATTATGACCATTCCAGAAGAATGGCTTGTATCATTATGATATGTATTCATGAATTATTAATGCAAATTTCACAGATTGCAAGTTGAATACATTAACGATTCACTGCATAGATTAAAGTCCCATAAGAACAGAACATGGGTATAGCAGTGATCAATATGATGCACGCTTGTTGCGTAGCAAATATTGTGGATTGAAGTCCTGGAAGGACAATCCTTTAACATGTCAATATTAATACGATGCACGCCTAATGCGTAGCAAATTATATGGTTTAAGGTCCTAGAAGGACAATTAATTGACATGCATGTATTAATCTGTGGCATGCCTACAGCATGACAAATATATGGGTTCTAAATGTTCCAACTCCCTAAATGGATATTATCCACGCCCTACTATTAAATCACATAATTCATCTTATAAGAGATATCTGTCTGGAAAGAGACAATAAAAGCCCCTTGAAGTGGCTTGGGTACCCACAAGCAAAGAAATGCTTATAATTGATGCATGCGCATGCACATGAGAATGATGAGATCATGAATTGATGACAATTTTTGGTTTTGGAGTAGCTACTCAAATCAACAATGAGCTGTGTTGATTGGAACCACGTTCAATTATTAAATGTCGACAATATCATTGGCCAAAAAGGAAAGAGGCAATTCCATTACAGATGAGAATGAATGTGAAAAAACAAACCCATAGTACGAACCCCAAAAGATGTTAGTACTGAAAGTTATACTTGAGTGTTCGGAGTAAAAGGGAATATACCCACTTTGTATGACACAATGTTTCTGGCAGAAACAAGGAATGTTGGGTTTCTCCATATTTACAGATGCAATTGTGCCCTCTTATTGCACATTTACGGAGACCAACATGTTATCTTTAAGGGTTATTAAATGCACGGAGCATGTCGCCAGAAGCGATTCCCTAAAGATGTGTAAATAGCTGGGTTAAAGCTATATAATGTGTCATAAAGTATAATCCCTTAAATAAAATCATTGAAAGGATTGCAATTGCATGAAGCAAGTCCTTGAATGACATGTGCCTGAAGCACAAAACCTGTACTCAATACTAAATAGGCATAAATTGCCTCAGTGAGTACATTAATTATGATATGGTTACAACACATTAAAACTCCTGAAGAGTTCAAGAAATATTTGTCTCGGCCTGAAGATAGAGCATTATGCCAACAAGATTATTACTTATACTAAGAAGATATTGAAGTATTTTTATGTGAATTATCCGTTGGGCACTTAAATAATTTTTCGGAAGGATATTGAACCGGATATTATATTTTCCAGATAGAGCTCAGCTCCATCACCACCACTTTGGGATGATGTGAGTCATATTTGATGCTATCTCCGCATAACACCATATACATGCATATTCTTTTCAAGTAAACTTACAAATAGCCCGGGTTTCGTTGGATATGCGGACTCTGGAAATTTCTATGATTTACATAGAGATAGCTCATTGGAAATATATTTACTTACTCAACTACATGAATTGTTGGTGGCTACATCATTCACTCAATCCGATAGATCTTCCCCATAGAAAGATAGTCATGAAGATATCAGGGGGAGCATCCAACAATATTACAAGATTGACTCACAGAAGTAGTGCCAACTATGATATTCAGAAAGATGATCAACAGTATGACTTAAAGATATTTTACCAAGCATTAGGGGGAGCGTGTTGTTAATAAGGACTTTCACACACTGTACTCTTTTTCTTTTGTCCAAGTTTTTATCCCACTGGGTTTTTCCTGGCAAAGTTTTAACAAGGCAGTGTCGCACACGTGTCAATATACACAGAATTTTATGTTACACATGGTTATGTACTATTTTTCCCTTCAACTAGTTTTTGTCCCACTGGGTTTTACTGGCAGGGTTTTTAACGAGGCATATTCCATATCATATCTGGTCTCCAAGAGGGAGTGTTGTAAAGAAAGTGGTGAAGCCCACATAAAGGAAAAGAAGGAAGATTAGTCAAAAGCTTAATGATGAAGTTGGAAGCTTAGTCAAAAGCTTAATGATGATGTTGGGTAATGAAGCCATCCAATTTTCCTATAAATAAGCTTGCTCATTCACTTGTAAAATACACTAATGGGGAAGAGAAGAGAAAGAAGAGAAAGGAAGAGTGAGAGGAAACTAAAGTGAGTGAGTTCTATCTGAGAGGAAATTCTGTCAGTGTAAACATCACAAGAGCAAATACAATTCTACTCCCAATATTCAGTGGTACTTTTCATACTCTATTATTTTTATTTCTATAACATTATTTGATTATTGAAGTCATTATATATTTAATTGTTGAAATACAATATTTTTATGAAAGTATTTGAAATATAATTGGATATTTGCAGATTGTGATTATCTTGTATTGATATATGCTATTGTTGGAGAGTACTGTCTATATTTGGATGTGTGTGGGATACATGGGTTTGTTGGAAAGGGATTATGGAATGTGAGTTGGGTTGTGATTTAAGTCAGTTTTGAGTGCTATTAGCACTACCCTATGTACCTCCCCGGTTTTGGAATTCTTGGATTGGATACTTGAAAGTTTGGGATACTTGGATATGTTGGAACCCGGGCATACTTGACGGGGTGTTTCGTAAACCCTTAGCAAGGTTAGTCTGAGCGCGTAGGACTTGTCACAGACATACAAATATTGAGGATTCTGTTGTACGTGCTGGTGAGCCAGTCCCCCGGTTGGACAACTCGTTCCCTAGCCACATAGTCAATTGAGGATTCTTCCATGTGGTCTAGTCAAACAAAACCCTGGTTGCTTTGTTTCCCCGGTACAAGTTTGGTAGTGGGCATACTTATATATTTATGGGATCCTTTCTCGCTTGCTGTGCCAATGGGCATGCGTTTTGAGAGAGTAGTTTGGGGAAAATGGAAAAGGTTTTAAATGGGATGGGTGTTAGTATACCATTACAAAAATACGGATTTCACTTTGGTTTTAGCTTAGCTATATACATCTACATCAGTTTTGAATGCATGTTGTTTTCAGCATCGTTTTCTAAACGGTGGGGTTATTATATGTTGTTTTCAAATATAACAAAACTTTGTTTTTGTCTACTCACTATTTTTTGTTTTGTGCCCCCCAAGCAGTAGTTGAGTTAAGCTAAGCGGTCGAGCCGAGTCTTGTACTTCCGAGCCCCAACTTCCAGTAGGACAATCTTTATCTATTTTTATTTATGTTGAACTTCGTTTAGTTTGTAAACTGAAATTATTTAGATATGCTATGTTATCGCCCATGCTAGGGTTGGATGTAAGGTTGGAGGCCTATTATATAAATTGCATGAATTTACATTATGAATGTTGCTGTTGGGATTATATAGTTGTGTTTTAACATGTTGAAAATTTTGGGAAATGTCCGTTTTTCAGGGATACTACCGAAATTTCGGCAGAAAGTCTTGTCCCTCTTTAGTAAGTGGGCCCAACATCAAAATGATGTCGAAATTACCACTAGATCCATCGCGGATTCCCAAGAATTCAGAACGGATCTTGTCAATGAGTGGGGTATGGGTCCAGATGTGGTGATGCTAGTAGTTCATTAGGCTAAGTGAGTCATAAAAACAGGGAGTTCACAAAAATTAAACATTAAAAATTATGCGTGGGGATTTTTCCTCTTTAGAAAAGTGGGAGTTCGTAAAAATAAAACACCAGAGAAGAGAGGGAGAGAGAAAATGGATTTTGTCAATCGCTTTCTTTCCTTTCTGTAAAAAAATATTCCTTATTCGGTGCGGACTGTGGTGCAACAAGTTGCAGGGCAAGAAAATAGAAACCCAAATCTTTACCCCAAAAAATAAGCAGTAGAAAGAAAACCCAGACACAAAAGGAAAATAGAAACCCCAGAAACAACAAAGAGCCCCAAAAATAATAAATATTGGAAGAAGAATATATTAAAACATTAATGTAATACACCTTCAAACGTCAAAACCCTCCCCCCTTTGATTTTCCGTACATCTCTCTTTCTTCAATTTTCAGTACTTCACTTTGCGTAGAGCTCCCTTCAGTCTCATATTTTTGTATATTCACATGTAAAAAGATTCGATTTTTGTAAATTCTCTCAGTCTTTCTCACTTATCCAATCTCTCTGTTTTTCGTTTTCAATATATTATATATTCTATCTGGGTTTTCGATATTTCGTCGAGGGACACCGAAATTGGCGGGAACCAACGGCCAAATTCCGTGATTCTGAGAACTGGGTTTGGGTCAGATTCGGTGCTAGAATTCAGAACTTTGTTAATTTTCAAAATTCTAGAATTGTTTATGGCTAACCCATCTGGGAACCACCAAGAACCGAGCCACGCCTCCTCGTCGTTCAACGGCACCAACCCAAGTAATGGAAACTCTGCGCCGGTGTCGGCACCGGAGAGTTCCGGTGCCGCCATGGCCATGAAGCACAACCCGGGTATTTCTATGGATTGGAGCGCAGAGGAGCAGGCAATTCTTGACGATGGGCTCGCCAAGTGAGTATTAAATTTTGGGGTTTTGTTGGACTCTTTGAGGTTCTTGGAGTTTGCATTCAACTGTTTTTGAGAATTTTTAGTTTTCTTTTTGAATTCTAGATGAATCGGAATTAACTTTTTAGTTGTTTTTTTATTTATAAAATTTTAAATTGCTTAATTTTTTTTTTCTTCAGTTCTTTTTAAAAGTAATTTCGGTCCTGAATACTTTTAATTGTGTCTTCTTTTTTCTTCTATATGTGTGACTTGTAGGAGTTGATAAAAATGCTGCTGTGGTTGATAGTTGATACTACTATCTTGTATAGAACAGGCTTGGTGTCCTTAAAATCTGTTTACAAATATATCTTAGTATCTGGTATGATATGGCGTATTAGTATTTCCATCAATATGTGATATCAAAGGAGGTTTTGGAAGTGGGGAAATTTTATGATTACGTGGAGACAGTTATTGTGGTATTTAATGGAATTTAAAGCCTTAGAAGAGCCTGCAATAAATTATTTGGAGTAAAGGTTCATAGATATAATACAAATATGACTTAAGTATGTTGTAGAGTGGTGTAACCAGGTTTTAAGTAGCATATAAAGAACTTAAACTGGTAGTTCAATGTTCATGTGATGGTATGCGAGTTTATGCTAGCATTATATGACAGTATCTTCAGTACAACAACATTTCAAAGGAGAAAGAAAATTGAGCTTGTTAGGCAGCTGTCGAAGCTTTTAATGGTTCCTCATGTTGTTATACATGTCAAACAAGAAATCCTGTTGGAAAGTTTTGAGTTAAGTGGATGAGTTACGATATTATATGCACATGTTCTGACATATCCATATAGTTAGTCATTTGGGCTCTGTCATTATTTACTTTATTAGAGTGTTCATAATGTGATATGACTAGAGTAGGGGAGCTTTGTATGTTCAAATTGGTCTTGGATTTGAATTTGAAAATGATCAATTTTGGGTCTCATGTCTTTCTGCATGTCAGTTGAAATATTTGCAGTTAGCAGGGAGGTTTTCTTTGGGATATATAATAGGGTAGTGCTGAAGCTGGCTCTTTTATTGCTAGTATAGCGTGTTTAGTAGGAATTTGGATTTATGAGTATGTAAAATCTAGCTTGATGGAGTTCCAAAGCCCATTTTCACCACTATATATATATATATATATATAAATAAGTTATAACTTTTCTGATATGTTTGTTTTTCTTTATGACATATTTGTTGATTCCTTGTTTTCTACTTTTAATCTCTGTAGTTGTTATTGGTTTGGTAAGGGTCGTGCACTTGGTGCTTTCAGTGGAAGTTTCTTATTCAAAATAAAAAAAAATCAAAATCACTGAGATCATCTCATCACTGACATGAAAACTGATTAACTTCATTTTTGTTTAATCATGAATTTGCACCCAATTATACATATATGATATACACTTTGAAGAAATTCTTATATTGGTTTTTATTTTATTGTTCTAACTTGGAGCCAATTTCTTGTGACATTTGGTTAAGAAAATTGGCCAAGCTGACTTAGAAATTGAAGATGGCTCATGGATGGTAGCTTGAGTGTTATATTCATTCTGCATTCACAGAATAGACCTTAGATTGGTTAGAAAGAGATTAGGAAAAATTAAAAACAAATCAACTTCAAGATTAGGACAAATTCAAGAACCAATAAAACTTTCTAAGCTTCTGCATAGATGATGAATGAAATCTTAGTTAGGTAATGGTTATTTCACATTCATATACCAACTGGATTTAGGAAGGGCCCAGTATTTTGCAGTGTCTAATTAATCGTAAAGTGAGCATTAAATTTCCCTGCCAACTGATTTAACCAATTGGGTTTTATGGTTCTTAAAATCTCTCAATGATTCACACAAATTAGATGTTTGGATAACCAGAAGGGAAAAAAAAAGGTGCATCCCATTGATTTGTTTTCCGCAATGTATTTAGGTGATGATTGTTTCACATTCATATACCAATTGGATTTAGAAGGGGCCCAATATTTTGCAGTGTTTAAGGTTAGCATTAAACTTCCCTGCCAATTGATGTAACCAATTTGGGTTTTATAGTTCTTAAAATCTCCCAATGATTAAAAAAAATTGGATCTTTGGATAAACAGAAGTAAAAAAAGAAAGGTGCATCACATGGATGTTTGCTTTTTGTTGATGCTTTCCAAATATGTATTGAAAATTGCCATGTTTGTCTATATACCACCATTAATTGAATGAGTGTTGTAATTTATTTCCTTACCCAAGTCTCCGGCGATGTATGTCCTTGTGTTTAAGATTTCAAATCTTCACAGATATGGTTCTTAGTACCTTTCTTATCATTAGAACTGATGAATATTTATTGTGAAAACCCATATGGATATACATGTAAGTTGGTTCAGACCAGGAAAATAATAAGAAAGATATGTAAGTTGCTGTCTATATGATTGTTGTGTTCACTTTTCAGAAACTTTATTTTGTGCTTTGGAATGAACTTCCCATGTACCTTTCTTCCTTTCTTTCTTCTGATTCCCGTTATTCATGAGTTTATCTAATTATATTGTCTTAATATTTACCTCTCAGATATTCAACAGAATCAAACATAATCCGGTATGCAAAGATAGCTATGCAGCTGCAGAATAAGACTGTCCGAGATGTGGCATTGCGTTGCAGATGGATGACTGTAAGCTTAATTACTTTTTCGTAATTAGTGCCCAAAATTGGTAGGCTATTCTTGATTATGATCCATGAAATGAGCCATGATGATGTATGTTTCCTTGGGGATCTTGTACTTCCCTTCCAAGAAAAAAGCAAGGCTCAAACCGGTCATTTAAGTTTGTCTTGGAAATATCTTTTTAACTCGATAACCTTGTGTTTTTGTGGATGGCCCTCGGTAATTCTGGTCGCAATTAATTTTTATGAGCAAGGAAAGTGACATGAGCTCCCAAATTGTGACCTGAGCCTGTTTTTGTCAATGCATCATGATATGCTTTGTTTTCTCCCCAGTCCCAGAAAATAATTACTTTTGCAATTATTAAATCATATTTTCATAATTATCATTTGCAAGGTCCATAATTATATATTTTCAACTTTGACATCACAATTTTATAATCTAGTGACTGGAACTGTGGAGAATATGTATTATATATGTTGCCAACCACGTGACATAGTAAAGTATTGGAAAACCATAAGACTGCTGCAATGTTCAGCAAGTAACAGAGAATCTTCCCTATTATACCAGTTGTGAGAAGCATAAACTTTTGTAGCTTGTAGCTGTAAACAAGCTACAAATATTGCAAACACATTAGCATCTTACTTAAGCTAGTACCTGTTTGAAATATTCTTTACCATTTCAAAACTGTATTTTGATTGTTTACTTGGTTCACTTCCTTTCCAGAAAAAGGAAAACAGCAAGAGAAGGAAGGAAGAACATAACTTAACAAGGAAAAGCAAAGATAAAAAGGTATGTTCTCTACCCTCAGTCCATTGTATGCCACTTGGGCCAAGGCTCATGGGCATTAAATAAAGGGGCTGGGTTTCTTTATTTAATTTATTATTATTTCAATATCTGTTACAATTTTCTGATTCTATAAAGTTGTATGACATAGTCTAATTTGTCATGCCCCTGTGACAGAACAGAAGTGAAGCTGTTTTTGTCATTTACTTACATTAGTTCCCTAAATCTGTTTTTTTTTCTTTTTTTTCTTTTTTTTTGAAGTTATGCAATTCACTTGCTCAGTCGTAATAAATTTTTGATTTCAGGAGGAGAAGAGAAAGGGAGGTTAGAGAATAGGTTTAGGGTTCTCTAATCAGCCACTTAACTTTAGCAATGTTTTTGTTCGCGAGGGCTTCTATATTAAGCATTTTATTCAGTAGTGCGCTTTTGTTAATACTACATAGAACTGGTAGTCCTTCATGAAAGATCACCTGTTAGGTACTTTTTTGAGAACTCATAGTTCTTTAACCCCAAAAAAGGGCTTTTTTTCTATTTCAACCAAACACTATAAAGAGTGTCTAGGCTTGCGCAGAGCATTTACAAACATCCAAATCCATGAAATAGATATTTATAATAATAATCCTAGTCTAGACTGACAATAATAATAATAGTATTCTAACAACTTTGACAAAAACGAAAATTATGTAATTGTATATTCTATTGTCTGATAGGCCGACATACTTCAGAAAATGTACCAAATTTCCATACTTCTTAATTTCCTTTTCGTGCATAGATAGCCAATGGAAGAATGAAAAAGAAATCAGATGCAACAAATTTTGCTACGTCTTAGCAATATCTTGTAGAAAATTTTTACAAGCTTATGTAACCAAAAATAAAGTGTTAGAAATCATATTTGGATCTCATTTTAAAGCTGATGTTGAAATCTGCTCCTAGGATTCAGTTCATAGTTTCCAGTTGCAGCAATTACGCTATTTTGTTTTTCAGTGCCTTAGAAGGCCTGATTGTTGTTTTAACTTGTAAACAAACACTGTAAACTTAGAAATGTAGTATTTTCTCCAGCCAAAGTATCGTATTATTTTGTGCTCCCACTCCAATAAGCAAAAATGAGTAGTTTTTCTTATTCTTGTCTTGGTCATGGATTCCCCCCGATTTACTATTTGTTAAACATCATATATTTCATGTTGCACCTTTTCCTCTAATTTATGTTTGTTTACCTGCTTCCTGTGTTACAAAATGTTCATGGAATGTCTTTGTATTTGTTTCTCAGGAGAGAGTAATTGATACTTCAGCAAAGCCATCTCACTTTGCTAGCCGGCCCAATGTTGCTCCCTATGCTCCCCCAATGGTTACTATGGACAATGATGATGGCATCTCATACAAAGGTGTGGTTGTATACTTTCTAAACCTATTATGCACAGGTTTAATATATTTTGATCGAACTTTGGCGTGTTTATACGTCTTGCGCCTAAGGTAAATTCATTTATTAATACATTATTTACTTGATCTACACACCCATTCCCGCATACATATTGTTTTTGGCATTATTTTCTGTATCCCTAACCGCATGAGAAAGAATTATCACTTAAGGGATTTTGATTTTAGTAGAATCTTTATCATGCAGGCCCAAATATGTGCCTCTAATTGTGGTCACTGTGCTGATGTGCCCTTTTGCTTATATTTCACAAGAATCTGTGTTTATGAGTTGGAGTAGCTTTTGTATGTAAATTACGGTTCTCAATGGATCTCTGGCTAATTAAGGCTAAAATGTTGTCAATCATGTCGGGTTAGCCATAAGTAGTCAAATATCTGTTAAGAAGCTTAATTGACATATTTAAATTTTCATGAATCTTGAATTACATAGTCTCAGAGCATATGTGATATAGGATAGCCACGAAATCCTTGAACTTAGAGCTTTCTTGAAAAATAATGGTGGAGAAATACAATAATGAGTGTTTGAAAAGAATTCCGGAGCTGGTTTCAGATAAACCAAAACAAGCCTGACTCTTAATTCCAGATCCAAGGCAAGCCTTTATGGGGTCAACTTTATGAAGTTTGTGTGTGGTCCGATTCAATCATTTCCATTCAGATTGAATGCCTTATAATTCTGTTTCCTACCAAACAAAAACATCCTTCCCTGGCCTTGGCTTCATTTAGATGTTGGACACAAACAACCAGACTGGCAGTATTCACTGTATCTTTTATTTGTTTGGGAGTATTCACTGACTTGGTTAATTTTATTCCAGTGGAAGTTGAATGCATACATCTGGATACTGGAAGTTGAGGTCCACTCTGGATTTCTTGTTTAGCTACTCAACCTGTATTGTTTTCTTGTAGGGCATATAGGTATAAAAGAGTTCAAAATGACTTCTGTAGGTCTTTGGTTATTCACTTATTTTATTTATGATTGTGGTAGACTGAAAAGGAGAAAAGATTCATTTATTATTTTGATAATAACAAGAGCCATTGAACTTAACATGTGTATTTTAGGTCTATCTTTGTAAAGTCTTATATTCATGGTCTCTCAGTTTCTCTATATCATATTATCAATGACTTAGGTATCTGAATTATGTCGTTTCAAATTTCTGAAGTGTATTTGTTTTAATCTTTCAATCAATCATGTACTATTAGCCTAGATGGTTTACTTTATAAGCTTTGAAAGTGAATGAACAGTATATAATTTCCACTTATTACCATTGACTGCTGCTGATGTTATGGACTTGGATGGAGGTTGTTTGCCTTGCAATTAAAAAATTTTGGGTTGCTGATATCTAGAGCTTCCTCTTTGAAGGTACTGTTGTAATGGTTTGTTTAAAAATTGCTTGTTCTGTTTGCAGCCATTGGTGGTATTACAGGAGAGCTTCTGGAGCAAAATGCACAAGCCCTGAATCAAATTTCTGCGAACCTTGCAGCTTTCCAGGTAGAGAGCTGTCATTATGCATTTGTTTCCTGTCATTCTAGCTATTAATTTATCTGAAAGCCAGATGGTATCAGGAAAATCTCAAAGCTAAAAGTTTTGCAATTGCGTATGCTTTTTATGTGTCAGTGATGAATATTGGCTTCCATTTCTTGGTAATCTCTAAATAATAAGCAGCACAACCCAGTAATTATATTTGTTTATTGCATTAGACATACTCAAGGCATTTGCCTGAAATATTTTTTTTTCCTTTTAGAAACAAGACTTTATTAATGAAAGGAGATTGTACTATACAGAGGACAGTTTGTCCTCTAAAGCAAAAATGAAAACCCAAACCATCAGCCAACTACCACACGATGACAAAATATATCCCTCACATCAGCAGATCATTAAGAGACAACATCATTACAGTCTTGAAAAGTAGCAGAAATGCGCTCTTCCTAATTTCTGATGACACTCATGTCTAAAGAGATGCTTGTAGTCGAGACATTTGCCTCAGTTTTCTCCTTAACATTGTATTTGAATCTAATAACATAAGATACAACTTTTTTTTTCTTTTTCAGATGTTGCAATTGTTTCTAATGGATGGCTCAGTCATCTGGTTGATGAATCAGAGGATCACTTTATGTTTTTCTCTTTAAAATGCTATCCGACCATTTCCACAATTTTTAATGCAGATAATGCACTTACTTTTTAATGGATATTTACAAATATACTTTACATTCAGCTTCAATTAATGACACTCCACCATAACAAAAAGTTTCTGCTATGGGTAGCCATTGTTTGCTTTAAAATCAGTCGGTGTTTCTTTATGTTAATGGTATTTATGAACAACTTGTTTATATAAATTTTAAGGAATGACTTGAGCTAAAGAACGATATATAGTCTTGGCAATAATGCCCTCTCAGATACATTCTTGACGCTTTTGTAATTGAAATGAGTTATTTTGTCCATCTGTTTTTTCAGATACAGGAGAACATCAACCTCTTCTGCCAAACTCGAGATAATATTCTCAAAATTATGAATGAGTATGCTATGAACTTTGTTTATATAAATTTCTGTCATTATAAGTTGAAATTGGGATCACTTGACGCATTTCCTTTTCCTTTGCAATTGCATGGTTTTTTATTATTCTTTTTTGTTTCCCTTGTATTCTTTCCATGTGCACGCAAATCACATATTTTATATTTATGTATTTTCTGTTGTAAGAACAGAAATTGACAATATGACATGCCTATGTTTGTTGCCACTGTTGTTCTTTCTACTAGCTTAGTAAGCCACCTGTTTCCTAAATTAATGAATTCAGAGCTCATTAACAAAAGAGAAGAAGAAATATGAGGATTGTCATGTTTGGCATTCATGACTTTATTTATCTTGTCAATGATGGGCACTTGTCCCCTGGATTTACATCAGTTTGACCTTTGCCATTATGGATGTAGGCTGTATCAAAATGACCTTGATTATTGAACCTTGGTCTACAAATGCACAAGTTCTCAAAATCCCCATGATCAGCTAGTTGTTTTTTTGATCATTTTGAACTATTTGCATTCACCTTCACAAATTCTTTATAGATTAAAATGATTGCTCCATCTGATCAACATTACTAATGCAGTTTACAATTGGTTCGAGTGTACAACATGAATTCTTGAATGTTCAGTTACTAAACTTGTGTCATTGCATTGTTTCCAAGACTTCCCCAGCGACAATTGCTGACTTTATCTGTGTTGTGCAAAAGAGTAGAAAATGCCTCCACTGATCTCATTTTCTGTTAAAAATATGAACATTGATGTGTGCTGACTTATTACATTTACATATAAATTCATCCATTTAACTTCCAAATTTCTCTACAGCTTGAATGACATGCCAGACGTAATGAAGCAGATGCCACCGCTTCCAGTGAAAGTGAATGAGGAGCTAGCAACCCATGTGGGCATCCCACCCCATCAGATGCAATCATGATCTGCCTTCTGTATTTTGGTCTTCGTTTTCAAATGGGCTTCTTCTGATCGGTACTCAAACCAGCATCCAGCCTCCCAATGCGGCTGGAATTTCTCAAACCAAATCCTGACCTCCAGACAACAAAATTGGAGTTGACCCACCTTTCTCATCTCAAAAACTGCAGGGGATCTAATTGTTTATGCAGATGTCAGTTTTTCTTTTACCCTTATGTTTTAGTATTTCATGCTTGGTTTAATTTTTTCCTTTGCATAGCTAGGCTAAGGCATGACTTAGCTGTCCTGTTGAAAGTAGGAAATAAAATTCTTTCTGTTATTTTTTATATGTATTGGGGAATGAAAGAGTAATCATAATTACTTGATTTCATGTATTTCATGTATTTTTCTTTGTATCCCTCGTCACAAGTGTCGTGCTTTTATCTTCTGGCGCAGGCAGCTAATGATCAAGTAAAACATATGGTTGTTGCTGCATTGCTATATCAAATCTATTCTGTAGCTATCCAATTTTACTGTCATCCAGTGTTGCTAATGGTCCTTACAAAGCTTAAGAGCGATTTAGGGTGCAGAAATGAGAGAAACAATCAAAATGTGGACTTATTTTACTTCTGGTAGCATATAACCAGAAGACATTTGTATAAGTGGGTTACTTACTATTGTAGATAGCACACATCACTAGTAAACAGCTAGTAGTGATAGCTTTTGAGTGAAATCGGTGAATACCAAGAACATAATAAATTGAATGAATTAGACACGGTTGGGCTCGGTTCCAACCGACGAATTGCCGTGTTGAACGAGCAGAACTTGACAAAAATCACTGTTGGGATGAACATTGGAAATCATACCACCAACAAGGCATGGCAGAGAAATCTTCAAGTTCTGTATGATAAATTGCTTGCACTCATTTCAAACTTTCAAATGACCCAAAATAGGATGAAGATATATGTTGCTGATAGAATTTTAGATTGGCGACTATGTGTTCATGCGTCTCCAACCATGTTGCCAACACTCTGGTATTTACAAATTCATCGTTTTGAACTCCCACTAAATACATCTTGTGTTTCATGTATCCCCAATTGCACCGATAGCAACAATATGAGAAGTTGAATGGGAGGAATATTCAAAATACCCTACTTACATGTTGGTTAATTTAATTCCATGGAAATGATTTCCTGCTTCAGACAACATTGGAAAATGCCCTATCACAAACTTGTATAAATAAGCTGGTCCATTTTTATAATAATATTCAAGCTTGACGGAGTTTAAATATTGAATCATTAAGAAAGAATAAAATGACCAATGGGGTGTTAGTTGGATTGGCTCAGAGCTTTGGTTGTGCTGTGAAGTGGTTATGAGTTGAATCCCCTATGGTACCTGTGTCTGTGAGTTTCCTCCCTCTCCTTCTTAATTTTGACCCAAAAAAAAAGAGGAGGAATAAAAATGACGAATTAACAGAAAATACTGAGCGAACATAAACTACGTACAAAAAAAACAAAAAAAATTGAGATGTAATGCTTTGAGCTTTTGTTTTGACTACTATATTGCTTTGAGCTTATCTAGGTCTTTCATTCCATGCAAACTTTTCGCAAGTAATCTTCATCAACCCTCAAACGTCATGAATAAACGAGTAGAGCTCGAGCCTAAATCCATCTATCTGGTGATAGACGAGCAGCTCACGAGGTTTCGAGTCGAATATACCAAAAATCAGTCTTGTTTCTACGAGCCGAGTTTTATACAAACTCTAGCTACATCGAGCCAATTTACACCTACATACATACATGTTCATGCGTGCACTTTAACTTTATTATAACATGTGACCCACCCTCCCAAGTGCTATATTCCACAGGTCAAAGCTAAATGGCAGCGGCCGCCGTTCGGGGCTATAAAAAGCAATGTGGATGGAGTTATTCACGTCGCATCAGATCTTGGTGGGGTTGGTTTGTTGGCTCGACACTATGAAAGCTCTTTTCTTGCCTGAAAGTTGATAGTGCCACGGTGTCTCCAATATGCACTAAGAGAAGGCTTATTCTTTGCTGCCAAGTGGTCAGATCTGGTGTGCCATATTGAGGCGGATTCTCAAGGAGTGCTTCACTTAGTGCAACAAGTTCAAGCTGATATGTCCCCTCTAGATTGTTTAATTGAAGATTGTGAAACGCTATTGGGTAGACTGGAGACCACCTTATTGAGGTATATGGGGAAGACTGGTAATGGGTTTTATACTCTGGCATGTGTGGTATTCTTTTTCACTCCGGAATTTTTCCTATGTGATTTTTTCTGAGAAGGTTTTAACGAGGTCACCCAAAACATGCCCAATGTTTTCACTTTCTATAGAAACGAAATCTATATTTTTTCTATAAAAATAAAATAAAATTTGACCACCCAAAAACACACAAACCTTAAAGTTTTGCCACATTTTTTAGCCCATTATTTATGAAGGTATACCGATTAGGAGTAGGCCTATAGGCCATTTACTATTTTATCTACAACAGTCCTACCCTATCAAGGAAGGATCAACTTCCAAAGTGCATGCACATGTCACATCTTTGCTGCGTAGTGCATGAGGTAGTTGCCCGGCAGCTATAGTCTATATATCAACATCAATGTTCATCCATTTAACACAATGAAAGAACATCCGCAATTGTAGGCGGGCAGCTTCTTTTTCTTTATTTATTGTGTTTTTTTGACTTTCCATTTGTTAGATATAAATAAAAGGAAGAAAGAAGAGAGAGAGAAAGAGAGAGAGAGAGAGAGAGAGAGAGAGAGAGAGCCATCGTTTGGTTTTTCTTTTCCCTTACGTTTATCATGCTTTTGGGTTTCCTTTTGAATGAATAAATGAAGTAGCGGTCATGAGCTTTGATCGTTTTAGAACTTAGATTTGATTATACTAAAGAATGGAAATGGAAACAGAAGAATTATGCAAGTGACGAATATGGCCATGAGGCCCATGACCAGAAAGTCTTTAACTTGACCAGAACCACATTTGTTGTTTTTTGACTTTTTGAGAGAGAGGTTTTGGTAGGGAACTTATGTTTATTTATTAGGAATGGATATTGGAATGGTTTTAATTCTTTATTATTATTATTATTATTATTATTATTATTATTATTATTATTTTTTATATTTGCTAACACATGAGTATTAGAACGATTACTATTCCTCACTTTTCCTGCCTTACTAACACATGAGTATTGGAATAAAAAAAATCATGTGAGTGTCACAATAAAATCCATAATCAAATATCCTCAAAATCAGGAATCAGATCAAATAAGGGGAGTAGTTGATCTGATTCCTATTTCTTAATTACCCTATCTAAGTTCCCTAATTCATGACTTTTTCCATTCATGATAAGTAAATCATGTTATTATTTCCCAACTCCATCAAGTTCGTACTTTTTTAAAGCTATATGATGAAGTAGTTGTATGTGAGAAATGGGTTAAGTTGGAAAAACCAAATCTCCTTCTCTTTCTCTCTATACACACAAGTATATAGAAGTGTTTGACACGGTTTCGTTCAGCTTCATATATTCTTATCTTTAATTAATTTATTTATTTTTAATTACCAAGTAAAGTGGGGGTGACCTTTTCTTTAATCAGTTTGAAAATCAAGAAAAGATATTTCATGTTGAGGGTACCGGTACCAAATAAGAAATTCTGGAGGTGTTTCAGTTGAGGTTCTTGACTTGGGTTTTGGCCTCTTTAGACTTGGAGAACACCAACCAAGAAAGACAAGCATTTGAAGAGTCCCAGTTTCTAGATGTATATTTACACACATATAAATTGTATGATCACTCTCATGGTTTTGAGAGAGATCATTCACTTGGCCGATCAGAGAAATATCAACGTTCTATTAATTTGTTGAAGCTGTAATGATGAATTTGGAAAGAAGAAGCCATTGAAGAAGAAGCTTCCATATTCATTCAAAGTTTTGGGAAACCTTTACTTTTCATCTCTGAATTTCAGGTAACTTCACGGAAAAAACTCATCCATTTCCTTTAGTCCTATCCTACGTTAATGGTTTCTAACACCAGTTTACAAACCTCTTTTCTGGGAAAATTATTGGGAAACTTTTTCTTAATTTCGTATCGTTGAATGAACTTCATGATCATATTTCTTGATCTCAAAGTAAATTGTTAATTAAGGTGTAAATTTATGCTCAAATTTCTTTCCAACATGCATGAAATATCAATGTTATATATTAAGCCCTTAATTAGAGTTACACGTAAGGTAAAGCTTTTTATGTCATCAGGCGCATGTTGTAGTGGTTAAACAAAACCACTCCACAATTAATGGCTTGTGGTTTTGTTATTAGAAACAAAATCTGATGTAATTTAATTTGGAGGAAATGTAATTACGCTATTTAATAAGAAAAAAGGGACACCTTACCAAATATATATTACAATCATGCAAAACTTAATTTCGAACTCTTACCATGTAATGTTGCTCTCTCTCTCTCTCTCTCTCTCTCTGTGGTTAGGTTGATTCTGGGTTTTGGTCATTCCTTAACTTTGTGTGATTGGTGCAGCTTTTTGAATTTTGTGAGTAAGACATGTTGGTCAATTTGCTCAGCTTGCAGAATTGTGATCTTATTATGGATTTGTTACTTATTTGGGCAGGTCAGAGATGGGCAGCTCAATAGTTCTCAGGTACACCCTAGTTTCCATGACGGTGATTTTAGCCTTGAGGACACCAGAAATACAAGGACAATCCATTCCATCCACTAACTTTGCACCCCCACAAGTCCAAGCAGGTGAGCATGCATTGATATCATATGTTCCTTTCTTTTCTTTTATTTTCTTTCCTTTTTTTTATTATTTATTTTTTTATATATATCTTTCAAAGTAGTTAGTTATGGTGAAAGTTTCAGGTTTAAAATAATGAATTGACATTTGGAATGAGTTAAAAGTAAATTGGAGTTGGGATTAGAAATTACAATAAAGCTAGATGATGAGGCCGAGAAACTAATGCATGTCGTCTTCTTTTTTTGGTTTTTTTGCTTTTAATGGCAATCCTGCCTTGGCCATCTTAGCTATTGCAAGTCAAGCAAGACTAGCTAGCCAAAAATGAAAAACATGATGGTAGGTAAAAAGAAAAATTTGATTTGACCACAATATTTTCTACAAAACAATATTTTCGTAAAAGACTTATAACTTAAGTGATTCCCTGCATTCGAGGAGTGTTCAATATATTTGTTTTTGTCTAATCTCTCCTCGCCTCGGCGGTTTAACCCTTTTGTTCAGCCCATGCCCTCTCTTTCCCCTCTAACCCTACCACTTTTGCAAGCAAAATTATCAATTTTAAATTTCTCTGGTGGGTAGAATAGTTTTTTTCTTTTATTAAAAAAGTCAATGAAGGGAAGACAATAGAAGTGAGGGAAAAGTAATGTATAAATATAAAACATAACAGTAATAATTATTACGTCCTAAATGTCATTCGAAATTTCGACTGAGGTTGATTTTCATGGGATTAGACCAGATTAGAGGTCACCGGAAAAATTATCAAAATTTTTGAAATTCCAAAAGACAGTTCTATTATGATTCCAAAATTTCAGAATTTCCATATGCCCTTCAAATTCAAAGTTTCAAGTTTCCAAACATGAAGAAGAATAAAAATTGAAACAGAAACTCAATGACAAAACCATGCAAGGAATTACAATTCAATGGAATCTTAGTAACTTCCTTAATTTTCTTCTTTCCAGAGAGCAAATTGATTCAGGCAAACAATGCATCAGAGCCCATGAGACAGTCAGATAACACTGTGAGAGTGGATCCTTTAGATAATTTCAACAAATACAGAGGAGGATTTAACCTTACCAACAAGCACTACTGGAGTGTAAATCTCTCTCTCTCTCTCTCTCTCTCTCACTCACTCACAATCCAGAAGTAATTAGTAAATTGACTTTGATGGTGTTGTTTTGTGCAGTCAACTGTATTTACTGGAGTTCATGGATATGCACTTGGGGTGCTGTGGCTTTTGTGTGGAATTTTATATGGATGCTTCCTTTTAGCAACCAGACTTTGTTGTAAAAATAGGAAGAGTGGAAAACTGAAGAAAAGACAACTTTGTCATAAGCAGTGTTACCTCTGGCAGTGGCACATTTTCCTTGCCATATTCTTCACACTCTTTGCAATGTAAGTCATTCAAACTCTGCACAATTTAAGACCGAAATTTAACCATCTTTTGCTTAAATTTCATATCCAAATTCTGTTTATTTGAAATGGAACATCAAGTTTCCCAATGTTTGTAATTCTATGAGACTAACAAGCAACATCCATGCAGAGTGGCATTCGGATTAGTTTTAGGGGGCAACGCGAGATTTCATTCGCAAGCAAAATCTGTGGTGAACATTATCATAACCACTGCAGATGAAGCATCAGGTACCATATACAACACAACAGAAGCAATGAAAGAAATGAGAAACAACTTAGATTCAACTGGAAATACTGTGGTTTCAAGCTTCCTCACCTCCACATCCCAGAAACTTGATACTGGAGCTGCAGATATAGAAAGGCAGGCTAAGAAGAACAGGCGTCTGATTGACAAGGGTCTCAAGTTAGTGTAAGTAATCTTTTAATTCCAAAGCCTTCACAAATCCTAAGTTTCAACCCAATCTGAATCAGTACATGTTAATAATAATAATGATATATTTGTGTCTGCAGGTATATAGTAACCACAGTGGCTATTTCGTTGAACTTGGTTGCAGTGATTGCTCTGTCAGGTGGGTGTGTGAGTTCATTTGTTTGCAAGTGTGTGTGATTTTTTATCAGTAGCTGTGAACATTATGGAGCTTAAGTAACGTTGAAATATTTCATCTGTAAATTGCATGAATTCATGAATCATTTCATCTGTAAATATCACTGAAGTTGTATTCTCCCTGCTGCAGTGTCTGGATTTTTGAAATTACAACGGCTAGTTTACATGTAAGTGTAGAATCTAAAAGTTGATTTGAACATGGAAAATACTTATATTCATTACTGGAGAACATTCAAATGCAATTTTTCCTAATGCTTTTGCTTTCTTGCAGGCTCATTATACTATGCTGGTTCTTAACTGTTTTGTGCTGGATATTCTTTGGGCTGTATTTCTTCTTAGCAGAGTATGTCCATTTCTTTTCCTTTCCTGAAGTAATAATATATTCTCAAAGAGAATTTAGTATGGCTCCATAAATGAAGCAACAAGAAGCAGTCCAGGCAAGAGGTTGGAGAGTACTAATTGGAAAGAAACATCTCATTCTATTTCAGGTTTTCAAGTGACACATGCACAGCTCTTGAAAATTTCCAACAGAATCCCAACAACAACAGCTTGAGCTCAATCCTCCCCTGTGATGAATTGCTTTCAGCAAAATCAGTCCTAAATGATGTTGGTGCAGGGATCTACAGCCTTGTTAATGTGGTAAGATTGATTCGTGTATTTTGGTATCGAAGGAACAAAGAAATAACTTTTTTCGAAGTTGTGGAGAAACATTTCATCCCTTCCAATAACCTTAAAATTTGGTACATCAGATTCATGACCTTTTTTTATGTTATTAATCATAAAATATTTTAAGACATGAAGTTTGTCAGTCATGAAATGTTGAAACCAAGCATATGATTTACTCAAATATAATGGGATCAAAATGAATGAAGGAAATGAATTAAGTCATTAAAGAATGAAAAGTAACAGAGAATCAAAGGCAAGCAGATAATAGGGGCCAATGCTCTGACTGATCAACTTTGCATTGAAGAAGCAATTGTTCAACTTCAAAAGGACACGTGACAAATTATTAGATACTATAGTTACATAATACAAAATACTGGTAATTCTTAAATTTTTACTGTTGGTAAATCTTCAGTTGAATGCAAACATATCATCAGCACAAGGAACATCATCTCAAAGTATAGAATATGTCTGCAATCCCTTCTCAGAACCACCAGAGTACAATTACCAGCCAGAAAACTGTCCGGCTAATTCAGTACGAATTGGAGACATCCCAAAGGTATGCTAAAAAGAAGTTCAAAGATTTTAATCAAGCTCTTATGTTTTCCACACTTCAAACTTAGTACTACTTTTTTGAATAATTCACTATTTCAGTATGCCTGTTGAATCCTTGTCTGTGTTTAATGTTGAAGGTCTTGAGGGAACTTAGTTGTTCAGATGCCAGCAATGGAACCTGCGAAAATGGAGTGCTCATATCGGACAGCGGTTACAAACTGGTGGAGCTTTACACAAGTTCCATACAAAATCTACTAAATTCATACCCGGGAATGGAAAGTCTAGTAGAATGTCAGACAGTGAAGGATGCTTTCTCTGAAATCCTTGTCAAACACTGCAAACCTTTGAAGCGATACGTTAAGATGGTTTGGGCGGCAATGGTCTTTCTTGCAACACTAGTGGTGCTCTTGGTTCTGTTGTGGACAACACAAGCCAATCATGAGCAGAACCATCATTTGGCAGATGGTTCTGTGAACCCCCATACTGCAGCAGTAATTAAGCTGGAGTTAAGCATAGCTACAGGAATTAAAAAGAACCCAAATCCTAGCATAGTTTAGAATATAGCAACACATACTCAAATCTAAGTATGGAACAAAAAGCGCAAGCGAGTTCCAACAAAGGTTTTAGTACAGGACAGACTACAGAGATACAAAATTGCACATACACTGGCAGAAATTAAAAAACACAGAAAAAAAGAAAAGGAAAAACAGTCTCTGGTGGAGGATTAGAATTTGGTTTTGGTGCCAGAAATCAGGCACACAATTCTATCCTTCATTAATGTATAGTTCACCAAATATACAAATACACATTTTCAATCATGTGCATAAAACCACACAGAGAGGCCATAATTGGAGAGTCAAACTTGTAACCTCTGTCTCTGGACTAGCCTCTAGTTGTCAACTTCAGAGCCTCTGGGTATAGAAATTTGTAGAAACAATCTATTTCATTCCTTTTCAACTTTTCTGAATACAAACAAAAAGAGAATTTATCTTTTTTTATGATATTATTTTCTTTGTATGTCCTTTATTATTATTATTATTATTATTATTATTATTATTATTTTAATGTATTGCTTGTGGGGACTTGTAGTTACAGTTGTTGAGAGGGTTTAATCGTACACTTAAGGCCATCCCTCTTTCATTGTATAAAATTAAGGGCTTTTTAGATATAGGCCCATTTTCATCAAAAGATATAATGAATGTAGTCCACATGCTCTCCCTTTTCAATTGCAATCCACTCTCACCAAGTAAGCAATTAGTATGTCCATAAATTTTAAGGAATTTACAGTATAAATGGAATTATATCAAACACTTTCCTAAAATTCAGAATTTTCCTTATATATATATGAGTGTGTGTGTGTGTATATGTGTTTCCTTATATATATCATGCGTGTGTCAATTGATTTTTTAAAATGTTTTATTTCGGGTTTTTTTTTTTTGTTGTTGTAACTTTACTTTGTTTAGGTTCCAAATTTTGAGCATGGTTTTGCCATCATGTACAGGGTCTTCAAAGAGGCAATCCAATGTTTTATTTCATTTTAGAATTAAAAAAAAGACAACGGGTAGTTGTGTTTCATAAAATAGGGCCCATTATCTGATTTTGTTTTTTAATTTTAATTTTTTGCACATGAAAAAGTGAAGACTGGAGAAAACATCTCAGTGTAGTGAATTCTCTCCCTATAAGTGTTATTTTGCAACCAATCCAGCCTTAAATCTTTCTATCTTTCCATCCTTATCCTTCTTTGTTTTAAACACCCATTTCGAGCATACCAATTTCTGGCTCTTGTGAAGTTCAACTAGTTCCCAGACTTGATTATGCTTCATGCTCTTGAGTTCATTCAACATTGCTTCCCTCCATTTTTCTACATTTTGGCTCTCTATAGCTTCTTTAAAACTTGTTGGATCAGCTTCATCTCCAATGTCGAAATCTGCTTCGTGTCAGTACACATTGACTAGTTGGCTATAAATTTTCTTTGTCTGTTAGATCTTCTCGACTGCACTAGTTTTCGTTGAGTATCTAGTTCAAGATTTTTGGCAGCTTATTCTTGGTGTTGATCAATTGGTTCATCAAATTGAGGAGGTTCCAACTCGTGATTTTGCAATTCCTATCAAATTGAGTAGCTTGTGGTTGAACGGTAATACTTGAGGGAATCATGGATGTCACATTTTGTTCAGCATTCTCTATCACATCTACATCACCTTCTTCTTCAAAAATAAAGTCTTCATTCTAAGTAGCATTCTCCTCATGCTCTATAAACTTTGCGCAACAAGTTTCAACAATTTTGGTACTATAATTTGGACAGTAAAATCTAAAACCCTTTAACCTTGTACGATAGCCAATAAAATAGCAGCTAATCATTTTAGGATGAAGCTTCTTCTCCTGAGGGTTGCAGATTTGAGCTTCAGCCCTGCAACCCCATACATGAAGATGTCGCAAGCTAGGATTTTTGGCGGTTCATATTTTCAAAGGTGTCTTGGGTACTGACTTGCTAGGCACTCGGTTGAGTATGTAGTTGGTTGTTTTGATTGCTTCTTCACAAAGATACTTAGGCAAATTAGTTTTTAAAATCATGATGCAAACCATATCTTTCAAGGTTCGCTTCTCTCAGCCACAATTATGTTGTGGAATTCCTAGCATTGTGTATTGAGTAGCTATGCCATGGTCCTATAAACACCTAACAAAAGAATCTGCATGTCTTTCTCCTTCATCAAACCGTCCATAATATTCACCCCATCTGTCTGACCTCACAACCTTTATATTTTTCTCAAGCTATCTTTGAGTTCAGCTTTATAGATTTTGAGCATCTCAAAAGCTTGAGATTTTTTTTGTTATGGGTTAGGGTAACCAAAATGAAAATGGTCATCTATACAAGTGATGACATATCGATTTCCATCAATGGTTTGATGAGGGAATAGTCCACAAATATCTGTGGGGATGATCTCTATCACTACTGCGAGTTGCATCTTTTGTTTTAGTTTTAGTGAGTTTTCCTTTAACACATTCAATACAAATCTCATCATTATTGAAAGTCAATGACAGCAAGACTTGTTCCTTAACAAGGATTTCATCCTTTCCTTTGAAATGTGCCCTAAACGTCTATGCCATAGCCTAGTGGATGTTTCCTCACTTCTAACTCTTTTCTCACTTGATTCAGCCATGAAAACTTCACCATCTTTATTGTAGCTGAGACACTACAATCCATTATAGAGAAAACCAAAGCAAGCACATTGAAATTTTGAGATAATATATGAAGCCATCTTTATTGAATTCAAAAGCAAAACCAAGTTTCAATAATCTTGAAACATAAATTAAATTCCATTTCATTGAGGGTACTAATACTACATCATCCAACTCTAAGATAAATCATGAATCCAACTTCAGGTTGACTACTATAATGGTTCACCATCAACTTGTTCTCCATTCCCCACGAACACTTTAACTTCATGCTTTCTTGGCTCCCTCCTGCTTGTGAAGTCCTGCATAGTTTGAGCTATAAGAATCCAAGAATTTGAAGGAATGTCCACTAAACTAAACTCAAAACTCATAAAACTAGTTCTTTATTACCTTCATTCTTGTTTTCTCGGACCACTTCTTATAACGCTTTCAATTTCTCTTATTGTGGCCATCATTCTTGAAAAAGAAGCACTTGAATTTAGTAGTAAGATTCACGCCAAGTTGGTTGTTCTTCAGAAAACGATTTTGCTTCTCCACTTCTCTATTGGCAGCAACTCCCTTATTCTCAAGCTTCTTTGTATATTGACTACATCACTTCCCTTATTAGATTTGGTCATAATCTCAAGAACAACAATTGAACTTAAGTCATCCATAGTCCAATCCTCCTTCAAAGTGTTGCATGTTGATTTCATCTACTTAAAAGGTAAACAATCTAGTGTATTATACACTAGATAAGTCGAGTCAATAGGCACTTTCAGCTTGTTCAGTTTGGCAACAATGTCCATGAGTCTCATGAGATGCTCTATCATGTTCCTTCCCTCTTCATATTTCGTGTTTGCCAGCTTAGACATCAGGTTTTTGGTCTCAACTTTGTCTGATTCCTTGAACCTCCTTTCAATGGACTCCATGAACTTGATGGGCATCGGGGTCCGGAGTCACGAACAACACACACGAGCACTGAAATCTAGGGCTATTGCAAACTCACATATATCGTAGCAAATCCATGCCACAAAGAAACTATTTCATTAATCATCAACAAAAACTCCCCTACTACTATTACATTAGCCTTATTTATATTTTACAAGATTTGGGCACCAAGGCTACTTGATCCAAAAGTATACTAATTAATTATAAAATCACACATAAATAATAAAAGATATCCTAAAACTACCTAAATAAGAAAGTAACAATATCTCATGAAATAACTAATTAAAAGGTAAATATTTGTCTTGATCCACTCCCTATGCCCCTACATCAAACTTCCCCGGTTGGAAAGAATTCGTCCTCAAATTCAAGTTGTTGATTAAGGAAAATCCGAAAATAATCTTCAATTGCTTCATATTAAATATGGATCTTTTAGCAAACATTCCTTCCCAAATAAAATCATATTTAGAATATTTCATTATTCTTGGCTTCTTCTTACTCCCTCTAACAATGCAAATGTTTCTCTCTAAAACCTTCAATCTATTGAAACAATCAACCAGATTCTTGGCAACCTTCCAAGTGAAAACATTAATGCCCATAAAATCAATAATATCTTCGGAAATTTTATCAATTCCCATTTCTTTGCAGCTATGATAAATGAATTGCTTATAACGCCCAAACAATTTTCATTGCAATTTTCATAGTTGCTAGGATCAAATATTGGAGGTAACTATAAATTTAATAACTTTGATGAAGAAAAAGATACACTAAAATTACTAAATTCATATTTACCTTCAAAGACAAAATGGAAATCACTGTGCCAATCTTCAATTGACTTACACAGTGGAGTGCAACAATGAAAACAACTATCTCCCTCATACTCCATGTCCAGACTCCCAGGGCTTACAGTGTTGATGCGAGCTACTTGGTTCAAATAAGGGTTCACACATCCCTCCCCATCATAACTCTTACCTATATGGGTTCTAGCTTCGATGCGAGGAATGCGTTCTGTAAGTTGCCATAGCATCCTCCTAATTTTCTCCATGTCGTTGTAGTTGTCAACACAACCCTCCATCCAAAAACCTCCCTGAGAATGCAGATCTTGAGTCGTAGCTCTGATACCAATTGAATGGGGTCGGGTGATGAGAGTCTCAAATTACATCTTTTTAATATTATTTTGGAGGCTTTATGATATAAATTTGGCTTAATAAAGATCATTTCACTTGTTGTTACATTTCATTCTCATCAATTGGAATTATCAATTTTGTGTATTTAATTTGGTGAACTTATTAGGTGAATTTATCTTTTGTAGAAAGTTGGAAAGCCAAAAGATGATATATATTTATCCAAGTTCATGCCAAGTGTGAAGAGAATGCTGGCGGATTTTAGTGAAGAATTAATTGTGGGATTATTCTGATCATAAAGAGAATTAAAGAGAGAGAAGAGAAGACAAAACTGTTAAAGCTAAAGAGCCTATTTAATGTCCTTTGTAGCCATTTAACAGCCACTACCTCACCATTTCTTTTCCACTAACTCTCCACTATCAACACATATGTTTAATCCAATTAATCCCTTTATTACCCACCATGAATGTATTAACTTTCCACTTACATCATTGATTACTATAAATCACCCATCCACTCATTCAAAATTTAGTTATGTTTTTCTTTGTAATAAGTTGCTAGAACTCTAACTAAGGCTAAGAGAATGTTTTCTGAGTAAGTTTATGAAGTGTTCTTTAATCCAATATACGGTATAAATTACTAACTTCTTTTATTTTTGGTTGTTCAATATTTTCATATCCTTTTATTTTGATTGATGTTAAGTGCTACTATCTTTTCATGAGTTCAATTATATTTTTCTCATTGTTAAGAACTAACTTAGCATGCTCGTGGAAGAACTGATTGATGTTTAGCTCACTTGTGGAAGAACTATATCACTCATGCGGGTCAAAAATTCACAGGTAGGGTTTCTGAGTTTAGAGATAAATTATGTAAGCACGTCATTGAGAAAGGTTCTAACGTTGTGTATCTTAAAAATAAAAAGGAGAGAGTAAGTACACAATATTCTAAAAAAAGTGTTTGATAGTTGTAGTTGGCATGTGCATGCACCATTGTATCTTTCAATTGGTTTTCTTTTTACATTCGGAAGTATGGTAAGAAATTAGAAAAGAAAAGGGTTCAAAGCTATTAGTCATTTTCATATGAACACTTCGCTTGGTACATGGGAGCTATATCAAGTTCAAATATCAATTCTTCTTGCTTCTTTTTCTTCTTCTACTTCTTCTTCTCCTCTTCTTCTTATGGGTTTGTGTCTTGACATCTGCTTGAGGTTTCATGCCAAAAGACTTCTTCTTCTTCTTCTTCTCCTACTATATTTGCAAGATGGGTTTTTAAGAACAAAACTATATCAATTTCACTTTACAGTGGCATAACTTTTGTTGGATTATATTTTAACATATGCTTGAGGTTTGTAAGCTTAAGATTGGGGATTTTGAGATGACATAACTCATCTCCGATCATCTTCCATGTACTTGAGTCCAATTTGGATGTGTGTGTTATACATTTGTCTTTTATGATCGAGAAGAAACATGTTACCATTTTGTTTAAGGAGTGTAAGTTGCCAAACGAAGATAATAGTGTTGATGATATATTTGGTTTTCTACACATGGCTAGGATGACAATACTCGTACGGCGGAGAACGAATACATTGGGAAATATGTTGCATCATCTAGTCATTCATATTTATCTCACTCATGTGGGTTTAGAAGTTCACAAGTGGGGCTTCTGAGTTTAGAGATAAATTATGTAAGTATGCCATTGAGAAAGATTTTAAGGTTGTATGATTTAGAATTAAAATGAGAGAGTAAGTACATAGCGTTCTTAAAAAATTGTTTCGTAGTTGCACTTGGTGTGTGCATGCAACATAGTGTCCTTCAATTGGTTTACATTCGGAAGCTGGATAACGAACACACTTGCACCAGGTGAATTCCTGAGCGGAATCCATTCTAACACATTGATGAAACTGATCAAAACCGTCAAGGATTTCAAGAAGTACTATGGGTTGAGCATTTCATATCACAATGCTTGGTATGGTTAGGAATTAGCAAAGAAAATGGTTCAAAGTGATCAATCGTTTTCATATGGGCATTAAGCTTGGTATGTTGGAGCTATATTAAGTTCAAATCTTACTTTATTTAGCAGATGGGTTTTAACATATGCTCAAGGTTTGATGAGTTCTAGAATTCTTCTTCTTCTTCTCCATTTAGAAGGTAGGTTTTGCAGAAGCTCGAGGTTTGATGAGCTTGAGAATTCTTCTTCTTATTATTATTATTCTACTTCTTCTTCTCCAATTATATTTAGAAGGTGGGTTTTTAAGAACAAAACTATATCAATTCCACTTTACAGTGGAACAACTTTTATGGGATTGTGTTTTGACATATGCTTGAGGTTTGATGAGCTTAAGATTGGGGCTTTTGAGATGACATACCTCATCTCCGATCATCTTCCATGTTTACTCGAGACCAATTTGGATGTGTGTGTTATGCGTTTGTCCTTTCTAACTGAGAAGAAACATGTTAACACTCTTGTTGTTAAGGAGCGTAAGTTGCCAGACAAGGATAATAGTGTTGATGATATATTTGGGTCTTCTATACTATCCAGTCATTCATATTTAGCTTTCTCGTGGAAAAACTATATCACAAATGTCGTTTAGAAATTCACAGGTGGGGATTCTGAGTTTTTATATAAATTATGAAAGTACACCATTGAGGAATGTTTTAAGGTTGTGTACCTTAAAAATAAAAAGGAGAGAGTAAGTACACGGTGTTCTAAAAAAGTGTTTGATAGTTGTACGGGGCATGTGCGTGCAACATTATGCCTTCCAATTTGGGGTTTTTTATTTTTTTATTTTTTTTTATTACATTCGGAAGTGTTGAAGGAAAATGTGATCCTCCCAACATAATTTCACCACCACTAATTAAATAATGGAATTTTATTATTTTAGGTTTGACCCATTCGAGACACAGTGTCTCTTAATTACAATCCCTTACTTCAGGGGAACACCCTTAGATTCCATCATCAAAAAATAGAACGTGTGTGTTTGGTTTTGCGGCTGCTCCCAAGTCCAACATCTGGGTGCCTACGTATCCCTTGAGGGAATCAAGCCACTCGTAGTTCAAAGAATTGCAATGGATGAATGACTCATTGTAAAAGGGGGAATTTGATTGAAAAAAGTGTTTGAGTGAATTTAGCTGAATAAACTAGGGATTCGATTTTGATATGTGTTTTGGGGCGAATTTGGTTAAAAATAAACTAGGAATTCAAATTTGGTTGTGGTTGCGTCTATTAGGATGCTAGACTACCTACGTACCCTTGACGGGATCAAACCCACGTAGTTCGGAATTGATTTGTGGGAATTTGATTTATATGACTAGTGATTCAAATTTGGTTGTGGTTGCGTCTATTGCGATGCTAGATTGCCTATGTACCCTTGATGGGATCAAATTAGCGCAGTTCCAAATTTAGAAAATTAATGGGTAAGTGTGGCCCAATAATTTAGAATTTGTGTCTTTGAGCCAATTTGGAAATTTTCATAGGTAGATGACCTATGGGAAAATTTGGAAATTAATGGGTAAGTGTGGCCCACTGATTAAGAATTTGTGTTTGAGAGATTTGAATTTAATGTAACAACCCGATCCTAAATCAATTTTTAATTTTTAATTTTTAATTTATTATGGTAAAAGACCATTATGTCCCTAGAATATTTTATTAGGTTAAAAGTTGACTTTTTGACGGGGAAGGAATTTGTGAGTTTCAATTGTACCATTGCGTAGAGCACGTTGAGATGAGTCAGTAAACACATAGTTGGCTCAAATTCGAGTTGTATTGAGGAAGATATGATTAAAACTTATGCAGGGGCAAAATGGTAATTTTCCAAGATTGGAATTTTGAAATCCGGATCTCTCTCTCCCTGACGTCGTCTTCCCTCTCTCTCTTCGATTCTCTCAGCTCCGACCACGGCAAGGGACGGCACCGGTCCCATTAGAATAGGCTCGAGCTCATTGACACAACCCGCCAGTTTTCCAAGTCGGAAAACCTGAAACCAGTCGGCAATATCGACTAGTTTTCTTCGGTTGTTCCCGACAATGCCACATCGTTTCCGGCGAGCTCTTCTGTCGAATCAGGTACGTTTTCGAACCTTCTCTGCAAGCCCTAACTGTGTGTTGGGTAGGAATTGAACGATTTTAGCATTTTAGGATTTGAGTTTGAACCTAGGTTTTAGTCGGATTTCAAAGTGAAATTCAGGCAGATTACCGTCCAAATTGGACCACTCCATAGTTGGATAAAATACTCCACTCGTTGAGTAGTATATATAGCCGAGAGGGTGGCCCTTGATTTTGAATTTTTCCGGTGAACGGTATCGCTTTGGACACCCACGCGTTGTCAGCGCACGTGGCGGTGTGTGGGTGCTGTAGTAGAGGGGCATTATGTCCTTGTGTGATTCCCTAGTTGTCACAAGCGCATAGGTGTGCTCGGATTTCAGTTTGGATATTGTTTGAGTCTCAAACGGATTTCGCCTATTGTGCGATTTTCAGGTTTGATATGCTCGGACAGTTGGATCAAACCCAAATTCCTGTATGTTGTACCTTGTATTTTTCAGGATCATATAGAATTCGACGGATTGTGAATCGGAATCCCTGATACCCCGAAATTGAGAACCCTAGGGTAAGATAAATTGTAGTCGTCCAATCGTGCTATTGTGATCAATCCGACCGTTCGATTTGGACCTAGTTTTGAGATGTTCTTAAACTAAAATAGAGGGATTTTAGTGTATGGCTTATTTATAATTAGTATATGACCGTTACAAGTATTGGGAAGTTGCAAAGTATTGTTTTAGAGTTGTGAATATGATTGAGTACATCATGCACATGAGAACTCAGTTTGATTTGCTAAACACATGGCAATATGATGAATGAATAAGATATTCAATTATATTATTAAAGGGAAAGAACTACGTGTGGCTTGATCCCTTGTTATAGGTACGTAGGCAACCTAGAGTTACTAGATGCAGCTGCGTGACCAAGTGATTGAAATGTTGTTCAGTTAAGTTATTTTGAAATCTATAAATGTATTCGTGTTGTTTCTTTGGATCCGTTTATGTTGGCAAAACATTTTATTTGTTTTCGAGAGGCCTGATGCCATAAAGTTTTGATGTCGGTTGCTTGAATTATGTATTGAGCATGCTGAGCAATTGTGGATATATGTATATTGCTTTTTGTACAGGTGGAAATATTTGGGAATAGACTATTACAGGGGAGACTCTGCCAAATTTTCGGTAGAAGTCAAACTTGAAGAAAATTTGGTTTTTAGTTAGAAGGGCAATTCGGTCATTTGTGCCCGGCATCCGCCAAGTGTCGGACACGCACAAGGTTCGACACATATTCCAAAGTGGAATTTGGGTCTGGTCTTGTCATTTAACCTCATTGGAATTTGTGTCTTTGAGATAATTTGGAGATTTTCATAGGTAGATGACCTATGGGAAAAATTGGAAATTAATGGGTAAGTGTGGCCCATTAATTGAGAGTTTGTGTTTAAAATATTTAAATTTAATCTCATTGAAATTTGCATGAGTAGATGACCCATGAGAAAAAATTGAAAATTAATGGGTAAGTGTAGCCCACTAATGAGAATTTGTGTTTAAGAGATTTGAATTTAATCTCAGTGAAATTTGCATGGGAAGATGACCCATGGGAAAAATTGGATAGTTTTGTACTATTTTTCTTATTGTCGATGTCCTAGAAAAATAATGAGCAATTTTGATTAAGCCACTAATTTTCTAAAATTGACATTTGCACTTGGATCCAAATATGGCTATGAGGATTTTTAAAATTGATCCACATGAACCATATAATAGGCAACTTGGGCCTTTGTAAATTTAATGGGTAATTATTTGTATCACCCATTAAATATTTTGGGCTTTTAAGAACTAATGGGCAATTATTTTTGATAGCCCATTAATCTATTTTGAGCCTTTGATATTTGTTATCGGTTAGCCCATGAGCAAGGAGTCCACATTAGAGAGACTTTGAGACCCAACTGCCAATTGAAGCCAACCCAATAACTATGAAACTCTTGTAGAGTTTGTTTCCAAATATAACCAGGCTTTACAACTCCCATTTTTTTTGTTGCTATAACAGACCTTTTTCCAAAACAAAACACAAAGCCTATCCTCCAAGCTTTTTGTTTGCTGACTATCCCATTTCCAAGTGGGTCTATAACTAATGGGTCTGTTTAACTTAGGATTCCATGGCTGTGCTCCTTCCTTTGTTTTGACAGTTTGTACCAAACTAGGAATTGATACAAGAGTTGGCTATGCAAAGGGACCAGCCCCTTCAAACTCTTTTTGTTTTGTTTTGTCTATATGCTAACAATTGATGTTTTTCTTTCCCGTATTTGTTTTAGAGCAGCCCATACACAAAAGAAATTAGTGTGCCTTTTTTTGACAGAGGGAAATAGTTGATCATATTCTCCAAAGGCAGAGGTATAACCCTTTTTTGTTTGCATATGCTACGAAAGTAAAGACCCATTTCATTTGCTAATTGTCATGGATCTTTGAACCCATTTTTCCAGACTTCTTTCATCAACAGAGGTTTTGGGTTTCTCACCCGTATGGATTTTTTTACATCCAAATAATTTTGGGGTTACTCACCCATGGATTTGCATCCAAGTAATTTTACCCATGGATTTATGGCATGCTATCTCTAACATAGAAAAGAAAAATAGAGATGACAAAATACCTGTAGCAATTTTTTTCTCTTCTTTGCACTACTCTAATTTCTCCCGCAATCTTTTTTAACATGTCGCCAGCTTTTTCTTCCTTTTTCTTTCTTTTTTCTGTTGTAGCATTTTTGTAGGCCAACTAAATAAGACTCCCTTGAACAAACAACACTTTGAATTTCAAATAAGTGCTGATCAGATTCAGCCTTCCTTTTATCTCCCCAATTTGAAACATCACAGATATCCCAAAATTTTGGAAACCCATGTTGGCTTGCATTTATCATTTAATTTTTTATTTGAAAAAAATGATAAAATTTATTTGGCCGATTTTTTTATTTCAACAGTCGGCCCCTCAAGCTTCGTGCGTGTAATGTCTTTACGGGTGCGGAGCTTGAGAAGCTTTTGTCTTAAACTGTGAACTAATTCCCTTACGCATTCTCAAATCCAGATGATGAATGCACATGGGAACCTTTGCCAAGAACAGGCCCTCGATGCACGTGGAGAAGCAATCATGGTTGGTCTAGAATATATGAGATCCTTTCCTATGAACTCGATCAACCTCTCCTTACCCCCTGAGAGTCATGTGACTTGTTTCAGTATTGATCAAGTGAGTAGTGGACATTTCAAGTTTAATCCTCATGAAGAAGACAAAGTCATTCAGGTTTCCCAAGCAAGAGGTGCTTACTTTCAAGCTCACTGTTTGAAGAAAGTAAACAACTCGTTAGATGGGGACAAAGAGGTTTTACCCAGAGATGAATTTTATCAGGCTATGCACAAGATGCTTCGTGAACAAATTGCATGGGAGAGAAATTTTAGGTTTCATGGTCGAGCTACCTTCCAACCATTCGTAATGGAATGGACAGAAACTATCTTGCACAATTTTGGAGATATTTTGCACCAAGCTGGTATTTTTGGTGCAGTGGTCGTTTCTCGTTACTCTTATGATTGTTGCTCTAATGTATGGAGAGTATTTTGCAAGTTATGGGGGCCTCTATCCAACACTTTGCATCACAGAAATGGTGAAATGAGCATTTCTTCATACGACTTGAAAGTTATTGGCGGGTTACCGATTTTGGGTCTCCCGTATGACAAGTTCATCCCTTTAAACGAAGAATTGTACTATGAAGATTTGTATCCTTCGAGTGTTGGTGAACTTCTGAGAATCCATGCATAATTATGCATTTTCCATTAGGAAGGTCAAGTCTACTGTAATCACTGGGTTGAGCATTTTTTATGAGGAAAAGCTGTATATGGTGCTACTAGAAATGGCAAGAACGTAATTCCTAAAAACATTTCTCACGAAGGTCAGCTAGCTGCTTTCTTAGCTTTTTAGCTTAGCCATTTTGTCATGCCTACTAACAAGGCCATAAGGCCTGAGTGCTTCTATATGGCAAGTTTGATGGCTCGTGAGCTTAAAGTTGCACTTGGTACAGTTGCTATTCACCTTAGAGGCCTTGGCCTACCAAACGCATGTCTTCCCATTCACTATGTACTTGGATGGTTAGGCGAGCATTTTCCTGACTTGACTACACGTCGATGTGATAGCAACTTTCCAGAATATTACCCTGTTCTTAAGAGGCATAGCCAAATCGATGCCAAATATGTTGACCTCACTAGAGCTAGGATAATATTCAAAAGTGATTCTGTGGTTTATCACCCCAATGTCTTCCTTGCACAAGAAGATTATATCCTTTCAGACACAGAAAACCTAGCAGATGATACCTTTGAGTACTTGATTTGCATGCACTCCGCATTACTTGCTGAAAGGGTGGGTGGCCACCTTTGATTGGAACCTTATTATCGGAACAGAATTGCTCACAAGTTTAGTTTTGACCAAGGAGTTCCAGCGAACAAACTTCTATTTAGCGTCTGTGAGAGACAATGATGTGGGATTGAAAAGTTGGCGAGAGCACAAGTCATCCTCCTTCACAAGGATACGACAACGCGTTTCTATATTCCACGCTTTACTAGCATGGGGAGTGCCCTTGGTGGTATTGTAGATGGTGGATGACTGCCTGTGTACCTTATATGGGATTTTCTATGTCAAAAAATTTTCAGTTGTAGATAGGCACGTCCAAAGGAAGGCCCACATCTTTGTGACTAATAATTTGAAACGTATTTCGATAGGCACGGGCAAAAGAGGCTTCAATTCATCTTCACCTCCTCTTGTTGCTTCTTCGAGAAGAGGACACAAGAAGAGAATTCGTAATGCTAGAGGGCAACATTTCTCAGGGGTTAATCACTTGATGCACCAATCTCAAAGGGTTAATCAAGACTCACACTTGAAATGGGCACGTCATGAAAATCACAACATGGTTGAGGTTGGAAGCTCTAGCCATGTACTTGACGAAGAGAGTTCTAATCCGGTGCAAGGGGAAATGAGATTTGATGACATCTCTTTTCCTCTCGAAATGAAGCCTATTAATGCAGATAACCCAACCTTTGAGTTCATTTCTTCAGGTGAAGAGGAAATCATTCTTCATGAGAGTGCTAACTCCAACATGGATGACAGTTTTACCAGACCCCTTGGCTGAAGAATCTGAATTTCAACAATTTCAGAATAGCCCAGCCGATGATTAATTTCTTGAAGGTGTAGGGCCCATAGCAGTTGTGTGACCCCTTCAGAATTTGGTATCAATCGAGAATTTTGTTTGTCAGATTCTTGGGAATGGAGTGAACAAAGTAGGTGGGAGTTTATCAGTGGAGAAATTGAAGGTATCTTCAGCCGATTTTCCTCCTCAAAGACACCTGCTCAATTTCATATGCACCATTCCGAGATCATCAAGGCCCTTCGACTTTTGAGGTCAACAGTTGACATTCTTGGGTGTGGTGAAACTACATTTAAACAGTTTGCCCAGCTTGTGGACTGGATTTTTGAGCTTGCCAGGCGACGTTCCAAGAGCAGTGCTTATATTGAAGCCTTAGGAGATGTGAATGTTGATGTGATTCATGATTTGATCAGTCAACACGAGGAATGTTTAAACATCAAGCTGGCTCTTGAGACAAAACTTACAGAGGTTGCTAAAGAGATTGAAGACTTGGATGTCAAGGAAGCTACCATCAGGGAAGCAGAAGAGAGAGTTCTCCAGATGCGGGAAGAGCATGAAGCTAAGAAAACTTCCCTTAATATGCAAAAGATGAACTTGGAGATTTCTTTGGAGCATCAGAATGAACAAGCAACACAGCTTCAAGAATCCAGAACTAATGCTAAAGAAGAACTACTTCCCTAGATCGGGAGCACTCGATAGTCAATGAAGGCTTAAGAGTGAGAGATCCATCGTTTGATCTCTTTCCCTTCAATAAGCATTCTTGTAATATGGTTCATCCACCAAGAATTCGTAGGTAGGCCTTTACTTCAGTATTCTTTGTTCTTGTAATGTGGTTTTTCCACCAAGAACAATTTTTAGAATAAAGATTTTGTTGGATTTTGCTTTCCTATTTCCCATTTTATACTCATGTGAAGTTGGAGTTCTTGCATAGTATACAACAGTTTAACCATGTGCTAACACCATTAGTGGACAAGAATGAATTTGTGATAATTTACAGCTGCACCTAGCTTTTGGGCTAACTTGCCTACATACCCTGTGAAGGGATCAAAACGAACATAGTTCACCCTCTTTGAATTGAGGTAATGAAAGGAGATTTTGGGACTTGTGACTGAATCTAGCTTTTTTAGGAACTAGATTGCCTACATACCCCTTTTGAGGGATCAAGTCAACCATGGTTCTTTTGCTTGGGCCGGCTTTTCTGGTTTTCAGCCCACAAAGTTCTTTATTTATTTTATTTTTTTTGCTCTAATTTTTGCTTGGGCTGCCCTTTTAGATTTTCAGCCCAACAAGCATTTTTATTTACCTTAACTTTTGCTTGAACTGCCCTTTCGGGTTTTCAATCCAACGGGTACCCTTTTTTTGTTTTTTTTCAGCTCTAATTTTTGCTTGGGCCGCCCTTTCGGGTTTTCAACCCAACGAGCATTTTTCCTAACCATTAGGCATAAAACTTCTTGACGAATTTCCCGTTCATACAAGGCATAAAACTTCTTGACGAACTTAATGATGTAGGGCTCCTCCCACTTGGGTTCAAACTTACCATGCATTTTCCTATTAATGAGAAAAGGTCATCGGACAGTTAAAACCAAATCTTCAATTGAGAAAGATCTGAACTTAACTTTTTTGTTGAATGCCCATGCAACCTAAGCTTGATATATTTCGAGCCTTTGTTGAGCTGCCAGTCTTTTCTCATCGAGAGCTTCCAGTTCTGCCAATCTCACATTTGCATTTTCATTGGGGTTTGTCAACTGTAAAGCTACCCTTAATGATGCCAATTGGACTTCTAATGGTAGAATAGCCTCAGAGCCAAACACCAAATTGTACGGTGTACATCCTGTTGAGTTGCATATGGTCGTCCTGTAAGCCCATAATGCTTCAAAGAGGCGTTCATGCCAATCTCTTTTATTTTCTGAGACCATCTTCTTCAAGATATTGCACAATATCTTATTGAAAGCTTTAGCTTGGCCGTTTGACGACGGATTGTAACTCGCAGAAAACGAGTGTTGAAACTTATACTTCTCGCACAACTTGGTCATGGACTTGCAATTGAAATACAGTGCATTGTCAGATATTATCTCCTATGGAACCCCATAACGGTAGATGATGTGGTTCCTTATGAAGTTTTAACATCGTTTGTTCGTACCTCCTTTAAAGGAATTGCTTCAGCTCATTTTGAGAAGTAATCGATTGTGGCCAAGATATGTTGATGTTGACATGATGACATAGGCTTTTTGATACCCACAACATCCAATCCCCAAGCTTGAAATGGTCAAGACAAAGTTGTTGGATGCAATTGTTGGGGTGGTTGGTGCATAAAATCTCCATGCAACCGGCAATATTTGCATGTGGTTCCAAATTTCATTGAGTCTCGGACCATTGTTGGCTAGTAATAACCCAGTCTCTTAAGTTGGTTTGAGAGTTTTGGACCGGCTTGATGAGCACCGCAAGTGCCAGCATGAGTATCATGAAGGGCTTTAGTTGCCTTTTATTTCGACAGACACCTTAACAACATACCATCAAATGATTGTTTGCACAAGGAGTCGTTTAAAAACAGAAATCGGGTGTCTCTGTGCCGGACTTCTGCTTTTTTCCTCGAGTCATTTGGCAGCTTGCCATGTTGGAGATACTCGATTTTGGGATGATGCCAATCGAGATCATCTAGTTCTTCCTCACATTCTGAAGCCGTAATGACGTTTGAATCAACAACTTCCTCAATTCTCTCTATAGCTGGGGGGTAGTAAATAATGTTCCCCAATAGTGATTTGGATATCCCTTTCGTCAGATAGCATTAACGATGCATCCAAATTAGCTAGTGCATCAGCTTTATCATTTTCTGACCTCGGAATGTGACTGACATGAATGTGTTGAAACTATGACATGAGATATTTTGCCCTTTCATGGTGTGGGATGAGAGTAGCATTTATGACTACGTATTGGCCATTCAACTGTCTGATGACTAATTGTTAATCACCATATGCTTGCAAATAATCAAATGCATCTCGAGAGCAATTTTAAGGCCAATGATGAATGCCTTGTATTCTGCCACATTATTTGAACATAAAGCTAGTAAAGAGAATGAGTATGGGATCAAGCCCCTAGATTGCGTGATGAACACTAATCCCGCCCCAACTCTGTTTCTTCTTGCTGGCCTATCAAAATATAGCTGCCATGTAAGTGCTTCTGTTGTGAATACCTCTTCATCAGGCAAATCAGCAGGTAACTCCATGTTGTCGGGTGTAGGATGAGCAGCCAAGAAATCAGCAAGAGCTTGCCCTTTGATCGCCTTTTGTGGCACACATTTTATCTCAAACTCAGAGAGGAGGAGTGACCACTTGGCTATTCGCCCAGAGAGCACAGGCTTGGAATTAAATATCAGAGCGGATCTACCTTAGAAATCAAAATGACTCTATGAGAGAGGATGTAGTGTCGTAATTTCTGGATAGCAAACAACAATGCGAGGCAGACCTTTTTGATAGGGGCGTAATTTTGTTCCGCCTCTACGAGTGTTCTACTCAAGTAGTAGAGTGCATTTTCTTTTCCATCATCATTGTGTGAATGCCCCCCCAACGAGCATTCTAACGCTGCAATATAAAAGATTAAAGGCTTCTCTTTAATTGGCGCCATAAGAACTGGCGGATTCAACAAGTATTGTTTAATGCTTTCCAAAGCATTTTGACATGCTTGATCCCATACAAATGGAACATCCTTCTTCATGAGCCTCGAGAATGGTTGGCACCTTCCAGAGAGATTTGAGATGAACCGTTGTATATAGGCTGGTCTCCCTTGCAGCCCTTGCAACTCTCTTAAATTTCGAGGGGGAGGCATTTCACAGATTGCCTTGATTTTTGAGGGATCAATTTCAATTCCTCGATGTCGGATAACAGAGCCAAGGAATTTTCCTGAAGTTACTCTAAATGCATGTTTTAAGAGGTTCATTTTCAATTGGTGCTTTTGGAGTCTGTCAAAAACTCATTTTAAGTTACTCAAATGATGTTCTCTTTTTCTGGTTGTGACAACCAAGTCATCAACGTAACACTCAATGGTATTGTGAAGCATGTCATTGAAAATTGCCGTCATGGCTCTTTGGTAAGTTTCCCCTGCATTTTTCAACCCAAAAGGCATCACAATGTAGCAATAAATTCCTGTTGGAGTGTGGAAGACAGTTTTCTCTTAATCCTCTGGAGCCATTTTTATTTTGTTGTAACCTGAGAATCCATCCATAAATGATAGAGCACTAAAACCGATTGTTGCATCTACCAATAATTATGTAATTAGGAGTGAAAACTCATCTTTTGGGCATGCATCATTGACGTCTCTATAGTCCACACATATACACAGTGCCCCAGTTCTTTTGAGTATTGGAACAATATTGCACAACCAAGTGGGATATTGGACCTCTCAGATAAGCTTGTCAATCTCGATTTCTATTTGGATTGTTAGCTCTGGCAGAAAACAGTGTGGGGCTTGCTTTACCCATCAAGCCTCATCAGGTATCCCAAGTTTGTGAACTGCAACGTTTCGGTGCTCTTGCAACAGTTGTGTGTATTCTTCTAACTCTTGCAGTGTTAACGAAGCATTGACGAAGATAGGTTTTGGGCTGACAACTGTACCAAGATTAATTTCTTGCAGATCATCAATCATGGCTTGCCCTCCCTCCTCCATTTGTGGTGGAGTTGGTTGAACTATGTCAATGAATTCCTCGATATTTTGAGGATTTTCATCTTGGTTCACTGTTTCTTTGAAAGAGGTGCAATTGACTTGGACAAGGTCATCCTTTATTTTCACCTTTTTCACTATTTCGATCATAGCTTTATTTTCACCTTTTTAACCTTCCATTTCCTTTTATTATGGACTTTCCCTTGTTCAGAATTGGAAGGGTTCTCCAAGCATTGAAAGACTAAGATTCGGGGTGGTTGTCTGCCCCCTAGGCATTTGAACACAAAGATGCGAAGCGGCCTTATATTCACGTCATCTTCTCTAAACGTAGCTTGTGGATGTGGCCTTTGAAGAGACACTTTGAGCATGCCGCTCTAATTTTGAACTGTGAGGCCAGCATTGCTTTTCTTCGCTTTACGACCTTTGAGTTTTATCTTTAATGGAGCATATGTTGTTTCTGGCAATGATGCATTTTTGTGAACAACTACACATTTAGTTGGCCCATCGTTTTTGTCAAAAGTAGTCGAAATGACCAAATTGCCCCCCTGGGATAGACTGATTGATCTTACGAAGAGGACGAATGTAACTTGCCATCATCAGTGACTCCATTGTTTGTTTCAATGAGCTTGTATCCTTTTCACTAGGCTCTGTTTTTGAAATCTTGACAATTATATTTGGCTTAGGAGCCTTTGCAGTCCAGACTTCTTCCACTTTTGAGGATGACACACCATGAGGTGTTAGCTTCACTCGAATTACTTTTGAAGGTTTGGGTACTTCAATAGATGCTCCATTCTCCTAATCAACTTTTGATGGTTGTGTGAATGAGATACTAGGTGGACCGTAAAACTTCGAATCAGAGTAATTTACCTCTTCACCTCTGAACGGGTCCATGTCAACTGAAACACTCTTGAATTCCCCATCCACCAAGTATTTGAAACACTAGTGAAGTGTAGAAGGGACTACGCCATATGTATGGATCCATGGACGTCCTAGCAGGACGTTGTATGAAGTGGCAGCATTGATCACATGGAATAAGGTGTCTGAATGTAGTTCCCCTATTTCCATTTGCAGTGTGATAGAGCCCAGGGCTTTTTGCCCAAGTCGATTGAACCCTTGAATAGTTATCATAAAGGGAGACAATTGTTGGGCACTCATCCCTATAGCATGGAGCGTCTTTAATGGAATAAGATTCACGACTGAACCACAATCTAATAAGAATCGATTAATGGTCATGTCTCCAACTTCGCTAGTGACATAAAGAGGTCGATTATGGAATTTGGACCCAAGTAAAAAGTCATCGTCACATAAGTAAATTGTTGCCAGACACGATGCACAAAACCTCAAGGTTTCAGTTCTATGGACATCTGCTAATTTGAAACATGACTTGTACAAATCTGGGCTCATTAAAGCCATTACAAGTGCTTCCCTAAGCTCTCTCGACATTTGTAAAGCGTCATAGACACTTAAAGGAGCTAGGATGCGCTTAAGATGAGTCAAAATATCATACTTAATTGCACATGATTGTGATGACTCCTTTGTATTACTGGTATCGGGCTTAGGGTCCTTTGCTTTTGAGGAGGACGGTGGAACATCCCCTGCAACAGTTTTTTCCGACGTGGAGACCTTAATCTCTTTTGCCTTTGACTTTTTCTCGGCTTTAGAGGAAACAACTTCCTCATTTTGTTGTGCTTTATCAGCAGATGGGATGCTTCAACTGGAGTGGAGGTTAATCTCATCAACCTCTGTGTCAACCTCATATTCCTCCACAGAAACCATGTTGCATTGAATAATTTCTTCCTCAACTTCGGATTCACTCGAGAAGAACTCAATTGGAAAAAACTCAGTGAGTGTGACAGGGACCCTTGCAGGTTGCTCGTATTCATTCTCTTGAGGGATTTGACCTTTCATTTGCGCCTTCTTCTTATTCCTCTTATTTTTCAAGGACGACATGCCTTGAATCTTGACACAAGGACAAGTAATAGATCTGTGATTGGGTGGGAAATGTTTAGCCATGTGCTTGGCTCTTTTAACAAATTTCTTCCCCCCTTAGCAAATTCATCAGCCGAAGAATCTTCCGATATCTCTAGACTGGATGCAGCCATGAGCTCATGAAGAGTGGGGATTTGAAGATCACTAGACCGTGGTACATTCGGACAGGCATGTACAATTGTGCCCCCATTGTTAGTATTAATACCTGAAAATTTCGCTCCATCTAGTAATGCAATGGTGGGTGTGAGCTTTTCCTCTTTTATATTTGCTGCAGCTGATTGATGTCGGGAAGAAGAGTCTATCTCCAAACCACCATTGTTGAGGAGCTCTTGGATTTTGTCCTTTAGTATATAACAATCCTTAAGCGTATGACTGATGAGGTGATGATACCGACAATATCTAGGGTCATTTGTCTTGTTGGCCTCAGCAAGACGCTTTGATTCTGGTAGGGTAATAGCGTTAAAGACAAGAAGTTGGTCAAAGATTTCTTCTACATTGTCATCATCAAAAGAATATTTGACCTCTTTGTGTTCTTTAAGAGTGAGCCTTTTGGGTGGGTGGCTTTCGCCTTTGTCATTTTTCTTTTCTATTTTGACAAAAGTGGCCAACGACTCTCCCTTTGCAGACTTCTTGTCATTTTTCTTTTCACTAAATTGAATTTTTTGGGTTGCAGACTTTTGGCAAGCAATTTATCGTTCAACATTACTCGCCTTTGACACCAAAGCATCAAATGATTGGGTTTCACTGATGGCAACAAAAGTTGCAATGTCTGTCATGAGGTTGTTGTAGCGGATTTGCATTGCTGATTGCTCAGTAATTTTCTCCGAGCATTGGAGATTGAGGCTCCTCCATCTCATTATGAAATCATTGGCACTTTCCTCTGGCTTTTGGGTAGTTTGAGTTAGGTCCATGATCGAGGCCTTCTTCTTAGAACTAACAAACTGTGCCAAAAATGCATTTGCCTTCTTCTTAGAACTGACAAACTGTCCCATGTCAAGATAGAGACTGGCGGTAGTTGTGTTTACCAAGTGAAAGCTTATCCTTTTAGGGATTGGACAAATTGACGCACCAGGAGAGCGTTTGACTGAGATGTCTCGCCACATGCTGAATAAAAATGTGCCAGATGTTCATGGGGTGAGTTATTTATGCCATCAAATTTATCGAATATGGGCCGTTGATAAACCTTCGAGAATGGTATGGTGTCATAGTGAGAAGGGAAAGGTTTTCGATATCCTTGAACAGGAGGTGCTATGGAGATTTGGAACTCATGAATCCCCTCAGCAATTAATGCCTATATGTCGTTTAGGGAAATTGTTCTCATAAAGCCTTCTCCTTTTTCTCTTTTCTTTGTTGTTCATGGGTCACAAATTCATTTGCTTTGCCTCTGTCTTGCTCTCCTATGGTGGCTTTTCCTTTCAACTGAGCAGATAGTAATGCTATTTTTGCTTTTTTCTCTGCTAACTTCTGCTGCATTTTCCTTCCCAGATCTTGCATCATTTCTTGGATTAAGGGTAACTGGTCCTCAATATAGAAGTATCAGTCATCATGACTTGCATGCTTTCCACTCCCTCATGAAGTTTCGCTGGGATGCTATGTAATCATTCTCATGAGTTTGGGATACGAGATCATCATAAAAAGGATTCCATAGCAAATAATCGTCCAAACGGGTTGAGTTTATGGTGGATAACTCGGGAATAATCATCCCTATCATGTCTCGAGATTTGGAACGAGTCAACGGACCCATATGGGACCTCGACTGATCTTAAGGTTTCGGGATTGCCTCCTGTGATATGGGAATTTGATCCCTTGAAGCATTAGTTGTCTTCATCTTTTGCACGAGCTTCCTTAGTGGATGAGGTATGTTCACCACCTTCTTTTTCAGGATGATGGCTTTGCTTTTACCCTTGGAAGAACATGGGTAAACCTCTTGTGTTGTGGATTCCACAACATGGGCTTTAGGGCTTGAAGGAGGTGCTTCTTCCTTTGTTTTGACAGTTTGTACACATGAATTTGCATCCAAGTAATTTCGGGGTTTCTCACCCATGGATTTGCATCCAAGTAATTTTGGGGTTTTTCAAACATGGATTTGTGGCGTGCTATGGCTAACATAGAAAAGAAAAATAGAGATGACAGAATACCTGTATCAATTTTTTTCTCTTCTTTGCATTGCTCTAATTTCTCCCGCAATCTTTTTTAATTTGTCACCAGCATTTTCTTCCTTTTTCTTTCTTTTTTCTGTTGTAGCCTTTTTGTAGGCCAACTAGATAGGACTCCTTTGAAGAAACAACACTTTTGCATATTCAGCCTCCCTTTTATCTCACCAATTTGTTTCCCTTTTAACCATTGATGAAACTGATCGGAACGTCAAGGATTTCAAGAAGTACTATGGGTTGGGCATTTCTTATCACAATGCTTGGTATGGTTAGGAATTAGAAAACAAAAGGGTTCAAAGTGATCAGTCGTTTTCATATGGACAATAAGCTTGGTACGTCAGAGCTATATTAAGTTCAAATATTACTGTATTTTGAAGGTCGTGGGTTTTAACATATGCTCGAGGTTTGACTTATTATTATTATTATTGTTTTACTTCTTCTTCTTCTCCTACTGTATTTGGAAGGTGGGTTTTTAAGGACAAAACTATATCAGTTCCATTTTACAGTGAAACAAATTTTATGGGATTGTGTTTTAACATATGCTCGAGGTTTGATGAGCTTAAGATTCAGGCTTTTGAGATGACATACCTCATCTCTGATCATCTTCCATGTTTACTCGAGACCAATTTAGATGTGTCTGTTATGCGTTTGTCCTGATGAGTTTCCCTTCTTTGTGGTGGAGAGAAAAAGAATGAAAAATAAATAGTAAAATAAATAAAAGGAAAGGAAAGAAAGAATGGGAGAATTTGAAGAAAACGAATGGAAGAGAAAAAGGGAAATTGTCTACTTCATCCATGGCCACCAATTAATTAGGAATGTTGGCTATAAAAGCAGTTGCCTTCTTTCAGTTCATTGTGTCCCATAGAAAACCAAACTTAGATAGTTTGAGAGAAGATTAAGAAAATCTCACTTGTACGTGAGAGAGAAAAAACCAAGAGAGAGTTTAGCTACCAATGTTTGGTGAGATTATTGTATTTCCATTATTTTTCCAAGTGGAAGATATTCAGTGTTATTTTTCTTTGCCCATTTTATTTACACAAGGCTGGGAAAAGTTAGATTCTGCGACTGCCAAATTTATTTATTGACTTTTATTTATTCATCATCTTTCCCAACAAGTGGTATCAAAGGTTCGGCTTAAAAATTATATTCTTGTGTAATTTAAGATGGAGGAGTTGTTGTCATCATCGTCAGTAACAATGTTAAAATTGACTGCATCTGATTACTCCATTTGGAAGTCAAGAATGGAGGGCATCCTTTACTGCAAGGATTTGTATGAGCCCCTTCAATTGTTAGGACAAAAACCTAAAGAGAAGTCAGATGATGCATGGAGCATTCTGAACAGAAAATTTGTCAGACAAATCCGACAATGGGTAGATCAAAGTGTGCTCCACCACGTGGCACAAGAGATGTATGAATACAAGTTATGGACAAAATTGTCGTCCATGTACGAACGGAAGACCCCTCAAAATAAAGCCTCGGTTATCCAATGGTTGGTAAACCTTAAGTATAGAGATAGGTGAAGTGTTACCGAGCATCTTAGTGACTTCCAAGGTTGGATCAACTAGTTGACTAATATGCAGATGGTGCTCGATGATGAGTTACAAGCACTAGTTTTACTCAACTCTTTGCCTGATAGCTAGGATACATTAGTAGTATCTTTAAGCAATTCAGCTCCTCATGGCGTTCTTACATTGGACATAGTTAAAGATCGCATGTTCAATGAGGAAGCAATGAGGAAAGAACAAGGTGTAGTAGCTGAGTCAAAAGCCCTCGTCTTAGAGTATCGTGGAAGAACTAGCAGTAGAAAATTCCACAGGCGAGACAAGTCAAAGGGCAGCTCAAGAGATGACTCGAGAAGGAGGTCCAAGACAAGAAGGGACCTAGAATGTTACCATTGTGGCGAGATAAGCCACATGAAGAGAAAGTGCAGGTTGGTTAAATGAGAGCAAGATAGAGGTAATAAAGGGAGCGACAACTACCTCTAACGAAAATGAGGTAATTATTCTATGCAGTGATGGCTTCGTTAATTTTTCCTCTCAAGGTACATGCCGGATAGTGGATTATGGTGCATCATTTGATGTCACCTCATGAAGGGACTTCTTTACATACTACACCAATGGAGAATTTGGTAATATGAGGATGGGAAATGACAAACTGTCCAAGATCATGGATGTGAGACATATTCCAAACATGCGTCTTAATCTAATCTCCACGAGATTACTTGACGAAGAAGGATACACCAATGTCTTTGCTAAAGGGAAATGGAAACTCAGCAAGAACTCTCTTGTCCTAGCACTAGGTAGGAAGGAGAACACTTGCAAAAGTTAGTAATGGGTACATAAATGCTATCGCAAAAGACTTGATCGGGCTATGGCATAAACGACTTGGTTACATGAGCGAGAAAGGGTTGCAGATTTTAGCCAAAAAAAGGGCACCAATCGGGAGGAAGAAAGGCATGCCTCTAAAATCATGCATGCATTGCTTGACTGGAAAACAACATAGAGCTTCGTTTCAACATGGGCCTCCACAAAGAAAACCCAATGTATTGGATGTTGTGTACTCTGATGTTTGTGGTCCTATGACCACTAGTACTCTTGGTAGTGCATGATATTTTGTTACCTTCATTGACGATCATTCCAGGATGGTATGGGCTTTGACGATCATTCTAGGAAGTTTTCAAGCAATTTGATGCCAGCGTTGAACAAGAGACTGGTAGAAGGTTGAAATGTATTCAGATCGATAACGGAGGAGAATATTTGGGTGCATTTAGAAACTATTGTAGATATAATGGAATTAGGCATGAACGATCTATTCCGAAGACTCCTCAGCCTAATGACATAGCTGAGATAATGAACAGAACAATTGTTGAAAGTATTAGAACAATTCTATCTCATGATAAGCTGCCCAAGAGATTTTGGGGTGAAGCTCTGATGACTACGGTTGATCTAATCAACAGTTCTCCTTTAGCACCTTTGAATGGTGAAGTAGCGAACAAATTTTGATTGGGAAATGATATTACCTACAATCATCTAAAAGTGTTTGGTTGTAAAGCTTTTGTTTATATTCCCAAAGACAAGAGATCGAAGCTCGACGTGAAGTCTAAAGAATGTATCTTCGTGGGATATGGGAATGAAGAATTCGATTACAACTTATGGGATCCTATAGCTAGAAAGATTATCAGTAGTAGAGATGATGTCTTCTTTGAAGATCAAGACATTGAAGACATTCGAAGAGGTGATAAATCTAATAATCCTAGAGAATATCCAGCTAACTTGGATCCAGTTCCTCCTTCCTTGGAGCGGAATGACAGGGGAGATGATCCATCTAATGATCCTATTATTAATGAACCAGTTGATGATGACATGAGTGATGGTTATACAACTAATGGTATAATAGATGATGTAGCTAATGGGGGTCAAGAAGCACAAACCCATGAAGAGTTAGCAATCGAATTCCATCCAAGAAGATAAACCAGGGTACGGAGACCTCTAAGTAGATGTTCTTTAGAAGATTACGTTTCTCTTAACAGACGTAGGAGAACCAGAATGCTATGAAGAAGCATTGACTCATGATCAGAAAGATGAGTGGTTGAAAGCCATGCATGAAGAGATGTAATCTCTGCATAAGAACCACACATATGATCCGGTGAACCTGCCAAAAGGTAGAAGAGCACTCAAGAACAAATGGGTGTATCGACTGAAGATGGAAAAAACAACTTTAAGCCAAGGTTTAAGGTAAGGCTAGTTGTGAAAGGTTTCAGTTAGAAGAAAAGAATTGACTTTGAAGAGATTTCTCATCCATAATGAAGATTTCATGTATAAGGATTGTACTTGGTTTAGCTACAAGCCTGAATAAGAGGACCAGGTGTTGGCCAAAGGCCCTCATATGCCTAAGTTAGTTCAAGAGTTTATAGGAAAACAATACCTAACTAAAAGGGTACGGAGTTGTATTATGGTGTGAACCGGGTGGGCGGAGTCGTGTGTGGTGGCCGGAGCGTTGTATAAGAGGGAGAGAGAGTGTGCCGGCTAGGGTTTGTGAGAGGGAATTTCTGCAGAGTTTCAAAGAGAATTTTATATGTACATCAACTCTTGTGCGTAGCCATCTATTTATAGGGGCCTCGGAGGCTAGGGTTTCAGAGGAATAATTCCGCAGATGGAACAAAATTATTCCTCCCTAATTTGGCGAGATTGGCTTAATTAGGGATTTGATTTAAATCAAATCCCTAATTAACGTAGGAATCAAATCAATCCCAATTAAATTAGGTAACTCCCGATTAAATTGGGTAACTCCCAATTAAATTGAGTAACTCCTAATTAGGGCAAATAATCCCCAAATGGAACGAAATATTTGGCCTTGGGTTTTGCTAGAATTTGGCTCCCACAAATGCCCCGCAGCTTCTGCATGGTGTGTGGTGGCATGGAGAAGGTGTGAATTAAGTGTTGGGCTATCCAGCTGTAACTAGGCTTCCTTCTTGGATTTGGGCTCCCAATTGGAGTAGGCTTTTGACTGTTCTTAGAGTTAGGTTCCCAATAGGAATGGGCTTGCGATTCTTTCTTGACCTAGGATGCCAACCTGTAAAAATGCAAGGGTTCTCTTCACTCTTCCTCACATCGCAAACTTAACTACTCTAGTTTCTAGCTTGAGAGAGATCTTTGAGAATTTGTACTACTTGTTGAAGAGAGGAGTTGTCGTGCATCCCAAGGTAAGTCAAGCACGTACATTTTTTCTTCGTCTTCTCTTTTTCATGGCGAGGACCAGCTGGGTGGGACCAGGCTGGTTGTCGTCATGACTGGTGGCTACTGAGCGAGTACTGAGAGGAAGTTGGTGGTCTGCCCCCTGCCCAAGATGTTGAGAAATGGAAGCAGAATGGTCAAGACTCTGATGATCTTCCTGCTGGGTAGGAGGAGTATTCTGCCAAATTCCCCTTCAAAAAGAAAGGCTGGTGTCAACTCTTCAAGAAATGAAGCTGCGACTTCGCTGGCGAAGGATGGCGAAGGATGCGTCTTCGCTGGCGAAGGATGCGTCCCCGTTGAGCAAAAAGCCAATGATCCCTTCTGCTAAGAAGACTCAAGTAAGAGCTGCTCCCCCGCTATCAGCAAGGTTTAAACATCTCGTTGGTGCAGATAACAAGAAGATTGGTAGTACACGCAATATTTGGGATGTTCCACTCAAGCCTCCTACAGACAAGCTTGGAGACCATGATCTACTCTGTGAAGTGGTCCGCTTGCGAACTAGTTCACTTGCTGAGAGGCAAGGAGATGTTGGTATTCCTCTTTGAAGGTAGAGTCGTCTGCATTAGCCAAGGGATGAAGATCGAACTGGGAGGTCAACTCATCCGCTCAACCATTGCAATCTAGTTGTTAAGTCACGAGCAGTCAAGCGTGGAGTTGTTTCATTGTTGTTGACTCCTTTAGAGGTGAGGATGGCAGTGGCTAAGAATATGGGAGAGTCCTCTACTTGGGGGAAGGGCTCTTCTGCAACGTCAGCGGTTGATCCCAAGGTGGACACGTCTAGTCCTGCAGGGGATGTAGGCGTGTCTGATCTACTGAAGATGACCTTTCTGTTAAGCCCGTTTGCTTGTGTCAAACTAGTTGATCATATCCATCCGGCTGGGGGTCTTGATACCTTTTCAAGTATTTTCTTGGAAAAACAAAGGAAAGCAACAGTTCATTTGCTTTAAAAATGAGTAGTTTTTGCTACTGAGACTATCTGGAATTCATCTGCTGTTGTCCCCTCTTCTGCTTAGCTAAGCGAGTTTTTTGAAGAAGAATACTAAACTGGCGAACAAGCTTTTTGCTGATTTGAGGGCGATGATATATGAGCTGAAAAGCTCCCTTGCCGAGAAGAATTCCAAGCTTAGCTCTTCTACTACTGACTTGGCTAGTCGAAAAGATGCCTACTTCCATCTTGAGGGCAAGAATGCTGACATCTCCCTCAGCTATGACAAACTTATAGCTAGACTTCACGTCCACCATAAGTCCGAAGCCATCATAGATGAGTACAAGTTGGCATACTGCACTGCGCAGATGGGACTGCTCCCTTCTATGCAATTGAAGACGGAGACATTGGGATGCTCTGCCTTGACTTGTTCCTTGTGTAAGGTGAGCAGGTTAATGCTGTGAACATGGAAGGAACTGAAGAGTAGGCGCCCGAAGAGGAGGTAGCTGGAGAGGATAGAGTAGAGGAAGACGCAGGTGATGAGATGGTGGCAAACGTCGTGGAGCAAGCAAGTGGAGCTATTGAAGGCATGGCTGATCAAGTGGACGCCAAAGAGGCTACAAATCAGGGGTCTCCTACCGACGTCTCAGAGTAGACGAAGACTTCTTTCAAGCTTTTGTAGTATGCTTCCTTGTTTAGAATACTTGGTCTTGTTTGACCATCTTCTTTTTGTTGAACTTGGCCGGTTGGTCAACTTGTTACGGAAATTTCAATTATTTTTTCGACATCAATTTGCATATTGACTTGTGAAGTGCTTGCATAACCAGCTAGTATCTTGATCGCGTGTCTCCTTTTGGAAATTTATAAGTGACAAGGTCCCCCTTGAGGGACTCTGGGCGTTTTCTGCATATCCCATAGGATGCTTTCCCTTAGGAAATTGACAAGTGCCAGGGTCCCCCTTGAGGGACTCCCGACGTCTTCTGCATATCTCATAGGATGTTTTCCCTTATGAAGTTGAACCCTTTAAGGGACTCTCAGCGTCTTCTGTATGTCCCGTAGGATGCTTTCCCTTAGTTAATTAACAAGTGCCAGGGTCCTCTTTGAAGGACTCCAGGCATGTTCTACATCTCCCGTAGGATGCTTTGGTTGTCATCTTGCGTCTCCCGAAGGACGTTGCTTATGGGAAACTGCATGACTACCTTACCCCCCTTAGGAATCGGATAGGAACATGGATACCCCCCTCAAGAAGCATGAAGACCTCCCTTAGGAAATTCCTGGAGCACCCTGCATTTCCTTGAGGACGCTTCTTTGCGTGCTGCGTCTTCCGTAGGATGCTTCTGGTTGTCGCCTTGCGTCTCTCTCAGGACGCTCCGTATGGGCAATTGTATGACTATCCTGCCCCCCCCCTTAGGAAACGGATAGGAACCTGGATACCCCCCTTAGAGTAGTTCCAGCATCCCCCTAGGGCTCGAGCTGGGGGGGGGGGGGGGGGGGAGGCCAAAACGAAACTTCAAGCAAGGAAGGCTGGCCCGGGCAGAGTGGGGTCCACATGCCTAGGCTGGCCCGAAGGTGATGCCAGCGTGACGTCAGCACGCGGTTTTAAAAATTTGTTACCGTTGGCGCGTACGTTAAAAAAATTCAAAATCGCCCGTCAGCTTTTCGCCCAACGGCTATGTGCGACGTGGCGGCCTCTCGTCCTTCCGATTTTGCCTTGTCATCCAATCCAACAACCTTGCATTTTTCAAGGCAAAAAATTATGAAAAAAATACTGACTTTTTTTCTATAAATTACCAATACCTACTCTTCAGTTTTAACAAAAAATTCTCATACATCTTCTCCTTCTTCAACTATTATTCACTTTCTATTCAATATTTTCCTCAATTTTTACTCTAAATTGTTTTCATTTTAAAGTTTAATTTTTCTCTATCATTATGGCTTTTTCTCAAGACACCGGAGGGGCATGGAGCATCATGGAAGATGTCTTGTTGTGTGAGTGTTGGGTCCAAATTAGTCATGATCCCATATCGGGTAATGAGATGAAATTCAGTCAAATGTGGAAAAAAATTCTTCACGAATTTGTTGAAAGATCGGGTTCCACCCATACGGAAAGTGCATTGTCAAGTCGGTGGAAACTTCTCAACAAAGAGTTGGGGAAATGGAGAGATGCCCTCACAAAAGCGATGAATAACCATGCAAGCGGGGAAAATCTCAGCGATGAGGTAAATTATTTGTAATTTTAATTTTATTAATTTTAATTTTATTGTTTCTTGCAATTGGTATATTTTGTTAATATTTCTTGTCTTTCCATATTTATTTAAATGTTTCTTGCAATTTTCATATTTTGTTATTATTTCTTGTATTTCTAATATTTACTTAAATGGTTGTTGCATTCTCTATATTTTGTTAATATTTCTTGTATTTTCATATTTATTTGAATGTTTCTTGCAACTTTTATATTTTGTTTATTTCTTGTATTTCTAATATTTATTTGAATGTTTCTTGCATTCTCTATATTTTGTTAATATTTGTTGGATTTTCATTCATATGTTTATCTTTTTTGCATTACCAATATTTTTTTTAAGTTCCTTGCTTATTTTTTTATATAGATTGTGCAAGCTCAAATGTGGTATGGTGCTACTAGACAAGGGAAAAAAAATTTCAACCATACCCAATGTTGGGAGGTGGTGAAGCATTGTAAGAGATTTAGCATTATTCCAACAGCTCCAACGGTGGTGTTAAACGAGACGCCACTCCATGATTCACAAGCTTCGGATTCGCCTATGGAATCCCCTATGAGTGAAGACTCACCCATTCAAAAGGAGCCGAGGCATATTGGGAGGAAGGCGTCGAAGGCACAGAGAGGAATTAATTCTACGAGTAATACCTCTAAATTTTTGGAGGAAATTGCAAGGCAAAGCGCCTTGAGAATTGAAATAGACAAGAAAGTCCAAGAAGATGATAGGGCAATGGCAATAGAATTTGCTAAAGAAAGGGAGTATGTACTCAAAGAAAGGGAGTATCAACGCAAAGAAAACAAAGAAAAGAAGGATCGGGAAACCATGGCCATGGATACAAGCCACATGTCTCCTGAAACAAAACAATATTGGAAGCTAGAACGAAAGGCTATTATGAGACGAAGACTTTTTCGTGATGATGGACCTAGCAATACGGATTGGTTAAATGATGAAAACCCTTAAGTTAGTTTGCTTGCCTTTTCATTTCATTGTATTTTAATGTTTTGTTTTAAAAATTAGTTGGAATTCATGTATTTTATTTTATTAGTAGTATTGGTTTTCTTTGAGTTACCAAAGAAACTATTAAATAAAATTCCTTTTTATTCAAAACATTCAATACATAAAAAAACTAACCACAACCAAAGCATTAAAAATATAAAAACAAACAAACCACAACCAAAGCATAAAAAAACCAAACATAACTAAACATAAAACATAAACATTAAAATGTTAAAAATGTTCTTCACTTCACTTCATTCACTGTCATTGCCTTTCACCGCCCATAAATGCTCCATTAAGTCAACTTGACGGCGTTCATGAATATATGAAGATTGCATCTCCGTATATCGATCAATCATATTGTTCATGAAAAGACCATCTCTAACCAACGGTTCATGCTCCACTGGTCCTCCATTTGGCCCTATTGGTTTTTCATAAATTCAGGTCAAGGCCGTGTTCATGGGATCGGGTTCGTACACCTCTTCAGCTTCGTAATCATACTCATCCTCCACAATCATGTTATGAAGGATGATGCATGTCATCATGATGCTCCTCAACACCTCCTCATCAAACATACGCACCGCACCCCTAATGATCGCCCACCGAGCGTGGAGGATACCAAAGCACCTCTCCACATCCTTTCTGTAACCCTCTTGATATGTAGCAAATAATTTTTGCTTCTGGGTTCGGGGATACAGAAGTGATTTCACGAATGTAGTCCACCTCGAGTAGATCCCGTCAGCTAGATAATACCCAGTTTGGTAGACGGTATTATTGACTTCATATGTGATTTTTGGGGCTTCTCCTCTCAAAACATCATTGAACACCGGGGATTGACCCAGTACGTTCAAGTCATTTTGAGATCCATCAACTCCGAAAAAGGCGTGCCAAAACCATGTATCGAAACCTGCAACGGCTTCAAGGATGATGCTTTTTTGGCCTTTCCAATTTCCGTACTCACCCTGCCAAGCAATTGGGCAATTCTTCCATTGCCAGTGCATGTAGTCGATGCTACCAATCATTCTTGGAAATCCTCTCCGTTCGGCTTTCTGCAAAAGTCGTTGCAGGTCCTTGGGCGTGGGTCGGTGCAGGTAGTCCTTGGTGTACAGAGTTTCGACTGCGTCACAAAATCTAACCAAACTCTCCAAGGCAGTGGACTTCCCCATCCGGGCAATCTCATCCACCTGATCAGCAGATGCACCATAAGCCAACATTCTTATAATAGCTGTGAACTTTTGTTCGGGAAGCAGTCCCAAAACGCCAGCACAATTTCTCTTTTGAACAAAGTATTCATCATAATTGCAAATATCATGCATTCTATACCTCCCTCAAAAATGAACATCAGAGTACAGAGATGTTAGGATAAAATAATCTTCCATAAGATTCTTACCCCGAGAATGCCTATGTCTGTCAACATTTGGGGCACAACATTCATGTGAACCACGACTGCTCTGGTTTTCTTCATCAAGCATGGCCACAGCCATGACAAGTTGCTGATCTAGATCTCTCTGCGCTCTTTTGCTTGCAGCTCGTCTACGCCTTCTTTCTCTTATTTCTCGCTCTTGCCTCTCCAAGACCTCCTCCATGTCTGACATTGTGAATGGAAGATGAAATATGAAATCTAAAATCTGAGAAATGAAATATGTAGTGTGAGAGGTTTGTGAGCTGAGCCTTTGTTTTATAGAAAAATTTAGGTCGATAGACATGACACGTGGCGCAAGTTGATAGGGTGAAAATTTTATCCGAAATTTGAAATTCAAATGAAATGTATCTGAAATGTGAAATTCAAATGAAAAGTTGAAATTCAAATGAAATTTATCTTAAATTTGAAATTCAGATGACACGTGGTGCAATTTTATAGGGTGAAAATCTTATCCGAAATTTGAAACTCGGATGAAATTTATCTGAAATTGAAATTCAGATGAAATTTATCTGAAATTGAAATTCAAATGAAAAGTTGAAATTTATCTGAAATTTGAAATTCAGATGAAATTTATATGAAATTGAAAATTTGAAATTTATCTGAAATTTGAAAAAAAAATTTATCTGAAATTTGAAACCGAAAATCTTATCTGAAAATCTTATCCGAATATTTTATCAGAAAATCTCATCCAAAAATACTGTCCAAATTAATTGTTTAGGTAAACAAATTTGTGAAAAAAACAAAAAATTGAATAGTACCCCCCCTTGCCATGGCAACTGCTGGAAGTACAACTTACTTTTTGCAAGGGCAGACACTATTCCCATGAATAGTGTCAGCCCTAGCCTCCCCTTGCCATGGCAACATTCTCACTGCTGGAAGTGCTCTTTGGATGCATGGAAACCTCCCTCAGGAAATTCATGGCTCACCTTATGTCTCCCTAAAGACGCTTCTTTGCGGGTTGCGTCTCCCGTAGGACGCTTTTGGTCATCGCCTTGCGTCTCCCTTAGGACGCTCCTTATGGGCAATTGTATGATTATCCTACCCTCCTTAGAAAACGGATAAGAACCTACCCCCCCCCCCCCCCAAGCATGGAAGCACCTCCTTCAAGAAATTCCTGGGGCACCCTGCATCTCCTTAAGGATGCTTCTTTGTGGGTTGCGTCTCCCGTAGGACGCTTCTGGTCATCACCCTACATCTCCCTTAGGATGCTCCTTATCGGCAACCGTATTTTTTTGTGGCACATTTTGAAATTTGCAGTAGTTGCTTCTTTTCTTCAGAAATGTGCAGGGCTCAGTCATCTGCTGGGGATTGAGTAGGTAGGAGGAAGCGTCCCCTTTCCTCCCATAGTGTCAAGTGTATAGCTTCCCCTTCCCCTAGACCGGCTGATCACGTAAGGACCTTCCCAATTGGGTTTCATCTTTTTGGACCCCTATCTTTATACAGTGATGAAGGAATTTCTTTGTATAAGGCCTCCTGGTTGAAACTGTCTGATCTTGGTTTCAACTGCTGCTGATAGGAGGCGACTCGGATAATGGTCTTCTCGCGCTTGCCCTCAAGTAAGTCATGGTTGAGCCTCATCTGCTCAGAGTTCTGATCAACACTGCCCAACTCAAGGCTTATGTAGGGGACAATGATGTGAGGAGGGATGATCGCTTCAGTCCCATATGTGAGTGAGAATGGGATTTCGCCAGTCGATCTTTGTTTAGTGGTGCAATAAGCCCATAGTACTCCGGGGAGTTCATCCACCCATTTCCCTTCGGTGCCCTCTAGCCTTTTCTTCAAGCAATCCAATATGACTTTGTTGGATGCCTCGGCTTGTCCATTTCCTTGTGGATAGCTCGGGGTAGACAGGTGTTGCTTGATCTTGTATTTTGCAAATAAGGCAGTGATCTGCTTGCCAATGAACAGTGAGCCATTGTCGGTAACCAGTGACTGTGAGCAGCCAAACTGGCAGATGATGTTCCTCCAGATAAATCACTCCACATTGGCTTCTTTAGTAGAGGATAGAGCTTCGGCTTCGATCCATTTAGTGAAGTAGTCGATGACGACGATCATCATGTCTTTCTTGGCGGGCGTCGGTGGTAACAGACCCACTAGGTCAATGGCCTATTGCATGAATGGCCATGGACTGTTTTGCGGATGGTAGACTTCGGCGGGCAAGTTGGGGATCGGCTTGTATCGCTGGCATTGATCACATTTCTTGACATATTCGGTGGAGTCATGGCACATGATAGGCCAGAAGTAGCCTATGTTCAGAGCCGTCTGGGACAGTGACTTGCCCCCAGAGTGGTTGCCACACTCACCGTCGTACATTTTGCAGAGAACCTCAAGTGTTTGAGGGTACTTTATGTAGGTGAGATCTTGGCATATTTCCATTCATTAAGTAGTCGATGATGGGGTCTTGCTAGCTGGGGTCCTCGTCGATCTGCATTGTGTCGATCAGCTCCATTTCTTCGATATTTGGTCGGTCACGGTGTTCGACAGGGATGGAGTGTCTGAACTTGGTATCCAGCGCTAATCCAAGGTTTTCCTGTGCTTCTGCATGCGCATTCTCTACATGGGGCACTTGTTGGATGATGAAGGTAGGGAACACCTTCAATATCTCTTGGACTTTGTCAAGGTACAAGATTATCCTTGGGTGCTTCGCCATGTATTCACCTGAGGTTTGATTCGTGATCTCCTAGGAATCTGAGTAGATGGCCAACTTCTTGATTGATAGCTCATTCACCAAGCACAAGCTAGCTAGCAATGCCTCGTATTCTTTCTCGTTGTTTGAGGCCTGGAAGCCAAGCGTGATAGCTTGCTCTAACAGGGTTCCATCTAGGGTGATGTTGACGACACCTGCTTCAGCTCCTTTTTGGTTCGACGCTCCGTCTATTCGCAACTGCCACATGTCTCTAGGTTGGCCATGTTCAGTGGAGGTCCTATTTGCTCTCCAACTTTCCTTCTTTTTATTGACCAGCTTCTCTTCTTCGGCTGATGGGGTGAATTCAGCAACAAAGTTTGCTAAAGCCTAGACCTTTATTGCAGTTTTTGGCTAGTAGAGGAGGTCATATTGGTTTAGATCTATAGCCCACTTCATGAGTCGCTGAGAAGCATCAGGGCTGTAGAGGATTGATTTGGAAGGAAAGTCAGTCATGACGATGACTCGGTGAGCTTGGTAGTAGGGTTGCAGCTTTCTCATGGAAACTACAATGGCCAAAATGAGCTTCTCCAATTTCGAGTAGCGAGTCTCTGCATAGAGTAGAGCATTCGGGTAGTAATTTCTTCCCACGAGAATATTCGATTGATTGATTCCCCTTGCTCCTTCGTTGCCTCTTTCTCCCTGCAAAATAAATTGGAATAAGAAGACCACACCCGGGGGGTGTTGGCCAAAGGCCCTTTGATGCCTAAGTTAGCTCAAGAGTTTATAGGAAAACAATAGCTAACTAAAAAGGTATAGAGTTCTACGTATGGTGTGAACCGGGTGGCCGAAGCCGTGTGTGATGGTCAGGGCCCTGTATAAGATGGGGAGATAGTATGGCGGCTAGGGTTTGTGAGAGGGAATTTCTGCAGAGTTTCAGAGAGAATTTTAGATGTACCTTAACCCTTGTGTGTAGCCATCTATTTATAGGGGTCTCGGAGGCTAGGGTTTTAGAGGAATAATTCCGCAGATGGAAAGGAATTATTCCTCCCTGATTTGGCGAGATTGGCTTAATTAGGGATTTGAAATCCCTAATTAAGGTAGGAATCAAATCAATCCCAATTAGATTAGGTAACTCCCAATTAAATTGAGTAACTCCCAATTAGGTCAAATAATCCCCAAATGGAAGGAAATATTTGACCTAGAATTTTGCTAGAATTTGGCTCCCACACTAATGACAATAGTTCAGATATGATGACCAAGTCCTTATCTAAGGACAAGTACGAATTTTGCAGAAGAGAAGCTGGACTGTTGGAGCCCTCCACCTAAGTTAGGAGGGGGAGATTGATGGGTTTCCCTCATTTATGAAGGAAAGAAAAAGAAAGAAAAATAAATAGTAAATAAATAAAAAGAAAGGAAAGGAAAGAACGAGAGAATTTGAAGAAAACGAATAGAAGAGAAAAGTTGAAATTGTCTCCTTTATGCACGGCCACCAATTAGTTAGGAATGTTGGCTATAAAAGCAGTTGCCCTCTTTCAATTCATTGTGTCCCTTAGAAAACCAAACTTAGAGAGTTTGAGAGAAAAAACCAAGAGAGAGTTTAGCCACTGATGTTTGGTACGATTATCGTATTTCCATTATTTTTCATAATGGAAGATACTCAATGTTATTTTTTGTTTGCCCATTTTATTTACACAAGGATGGGAAATGTTAGATCCTGGGACTACCATATTTATTTATTGACTTTTATTTATTCATCATCTTTCTCAACATGTCCTTTCTAACCAAGAAGAAACATGTTGTCATTATGCTAAGGAGCATAAGTTGTCAGACGAGGATAATAGTGTTGATGATAGGGTTTTCACATTCGGAAGTTGAATAACGAGCATACTTGCAGTGGGTGAATTCGTGAGTGGAAGAGCACTATGATGTCATTAAAAATTGTGTTGTCTATTTTTTCTAAGCAAATCCATTCTAACCCATTAATGAGACTGATCAAAACCGTCAAGGATTTCAAGACGTACTATGGGTTAGACATTTCTTATCACAATGATTGTTATGGTAAGGAATTAGCAATAATCTATTGGTTAGACATTCCCATTAATGAGACTGATCAAAACAATCAAGAAGTACTATGGGTTAGACATTTCTTATCACAATGGTTGATTGGCAACTTCTTCGTCTTCTTCGTCTTGATTGGCTTCTTCTTCTTATTCTTGTTGATTGGCTTCTTCTTCTTGTTGTTGTTGATTGGCTTTTTTTTCTTGTTGTTGTTGATTGGCTTCTTCTTCTTCATATTCTTGATTGGATTCTTCTTCTTATTCTTGATTGGCTTCTTCTTCTTCTTCTTCTTCTTCTTCACATGGGGTTCAGTCTTCTTCTTCTTTTTCTTCTTCTTCTTCAATCATTTTGGGGCAATCCCATGAATTTTGTGGATGATGAATCCATTTTGAGGCAATTCCATGAATTATGTGGATGATGAATCCATTTTGGGGCAATCTCATTAACTTTGTGGATGATGAATCCATTTTGGTGTCTAACCCATGAATCAAATTATTCTGGATGTTGAATCCTTAAAAAGGACACGAATCAATTAAGGGGATAAAATATCCTGTTGCAGGAAAAGAACAAAAAAATGAAGGGAGTTAATCTCACAAAAGTCAGCAATTGAGAAATAAAAACTCGGGTCTTCACTCCGCCGCTGCCCAATTGTTCTTTCTTGCATGATCTGCACACAAAAAAAGAGTTGAGATTCAGAAAACAAGGGGAAAAAATGGGAAACTAATTCTCAATCAAAAGTGCAGTAAAAGAATTGATGACTGAAGTAGAAGCACATGGGCTTAATCCCGCAGCAAAGGAAAAATTATACCTTTGCTTCTAAATTCTTTGATCAATTCTCTCTCTCCTTCCATGTCTAAGCGAATTGCGCAGACCTTGTGCTTTGTCTGAGTACACTACGCCAAAAGTAAAAAGAAAGAGATTAGTTGTACATTAAAAGTGAAGAAGAGAGGAGGCCATGTTGCACAACCCACTCTTGCATGAATCTTTCATCTTGTGTTTGTGTGCGTATAGACAAAACAAAAGGAGGCCAGCAAAGAAGAAAGAAAAAAAGAGGCCAGCGAAAAGAAAGAGAAGCAAAATAAAAAAGAAGAAAAGAAAAAGGCTAACGCTTTTTTGTAGCTCGTGGCAACTAGAAAGCTCTATACCAGTTGTGGTTTTTATTATGACTGTTCTTTAGTCTTTTAAAGGACTGAAAAGATATAGTGAAATATTTGGATTGGTCTCAATTTGGATTGATCTCAAGTATTCCAGATAGATATTGGAGTGCAAAGCTTGGTTTCACTTGGAAATAAACTCTGGAAGAGTTTGGCAGCCCCTGGTTCGGCTTCAATTGTTAGTTGGGTTTGGAAGCCTCTCTCTTTTGTACTCCTTACTCGTGGGCTTGTAATAAATATCAACGCGACCTATTAGTTTTTTCGAGAGCCCAAAATATTTAATGGGTGATTCAACTCAATACCCATTAAATCTGCTTCAACCCAAATGCCTATTATATGGTTAATGGATTAATTTAAAATCTTCAAAGTCATATTTGGGCCAAATGCAAATGTCAATGGTCGTAAATTAATGGGTCCATTAAAATGCCTGTTAATTTTTCTCGTACATTGATAATAAAAAAAATGGTACAAAACCATTCAAATTTTCTCATGGGTCATCTATCTATGAAAATTTTAAAATCTCCAAATTGTCTCAAAGACATAAATTCTAAATTAGTGGGCCATATTTACCCATTAATTTCCAAATCATTTCTGAACTACATGGGTTTGATCCCTTTGAAAGGGTATGTAGGCAATCTAGATGCAACCGCTCTCAAATACAATCCAAACAGAATCTATTGTTTCTTAATTAAATTCGACCCCAAACATAATTCCATATCAAATCCCTAGTTTATTCAACTAAATTCACTTAAACACACAATACAACTCAGATCAAATTTTCCTTGCAATGAGTCATTTATTCATTGCGATTCTCTAACCCACAAATGGCTTGATTCCCCTTAACGGATACGTAGGCACCCTGAGGTTCGACTTGGGAGCAACAGCAAAACCAAACACATACGTTATGTTTCTTTATGATGGAATCAAAGTGTGTTCCCCTAAGAAAGGGATTATAATTAAGAGACAATATGTCTCGAATAGGTCGAATCTAAAATAATAAAACCCCATTAGTTAAATAGGTGTGGGAAAATTATATTGGGAGGTTCACATTTTTCTTCAACATAATTTTTGGTACATCTAGTCGGACCCATTTTCCTTTTCATCTCCATTTATAGAGTGACTAATGTTTTGTTTTTAATTTGTGTTTGCCTCAAGTTAACAAAACCCGAACAAACAATGGCATTACAAGTTACGGGTTTATTTCACAAGATTAGAACTACCATGAACGCATGTACCAAAGGGGTGGGGTTTCGAAAGACGTTTGTTGTTGTGGAGAGCCAAATCAAGTGTGTTGTTCCGAAGCCCGTCTAGAGGACTAAGCCACAATCCACTTCTAAGGTCGTTAAGACCCAATTAAAGAGGACGTCGTGCAAGAATGCTCTCCATAACGCAAGAAAGAGGGTTGCTCGTGGCTTGAGGAAAAGAGAGGCAAGGAAGAGGGAGGAAAAAAAGCAATCCATTGAGGCAATTTTATTTGAGCTCTCCGAAACAAGTCCAATTGTGGCCTCGAGCAACATTACCTCAAGCATCCCTGAAGTGCCGCTTCCCAAGAGAAGCATCAATACATGCTTTGCCCAAATCATGATTGGGTCGATCCTAGTCAACTTGTATCCTACAAATTCAGTTATGACAACTTCTACTAGTGAAACTAGTGAAGAAAGTGAAAAGGATGACTGTGAGAACACTGAGGCCCAAGGGGCTAAACCTCTGTCAAGCCCTAGAGCCTCTGGGAGAGATTTTAGTCCCACTAGAATATTCGTCTAAGATTCCGTCTTCCTCTTCGCTTCTCTTTCTCCCTGCAAAACAAATCGAAATAAGAGGACCACACCCGGGGGGTGTTGGCGAAAGGCCCTCAAATGCCTAAGTTAGTTCGAGTGTTTGTAGGAAAACAATAGCTAACAAAAGGGTATGGAGATGTATGTATGGTGTTAACCGGGTGGTCGGAGCCATGTGTGGTGATCAGAGCCTTGTGTGACAGAGAAAGAAAAAGTTATGGCGGCTAGGGTTTGTGAGATGGAATTTCTGTGGAGTTTCGAACAGATTTTTAGATGTACCTTTACCCTTGGTGTGGCCATGCATTTATAGGAGCCTCAAAGGCTAGGGTATCGGAAGAATAATTCCACAGATGGAAAGGAATTATTCTTCCCCAATTTGGAGAGATTGATGTAATTAGGGATTTGATTTAAATCAAATCCCTAATTAGGGTAAGAATCAAATAATTGCTAATTAAATCAAATAACTCCCAATTAGGTCAAATAATTCCCAAATTGATTGGCTTAATTATTTGACCTAGGATCCCTAGATATTTTGTTCCCACAGAGCCCATGTTGTGGAATCCACATCGAAAGAGGTTTACCTAGGTTATTCTAAGGGTAAAAGCAAAGCAATCATTATGAAGAAAGTGGTGGTGAATATACCTTATCCACAGAGGAACCTCATGTAAAAGGCGAAGATGATTGATGCTCTAAGGAATCAAATTCCCATATCAGAGGGGGTAGTCCCAAAACCTCAAGATCAGTCGAGGTCCTACATGGATCCATTGACCCTTTCCAAGACATGCTGGGAATGATTATTCCTGAGCTATCTGCTCTAAACTCAACCTGCTTGGGCAATATTGACGATGGAATCCTCTCTATGACGATCCCATATCTCAAACTCAAGAGAATGATTGCATAGGATCCCAAGGAGTCACACTTCATGAGGGAGTGGAAAGCATTGTTGTGTCGAATTCAGCTGCGCCAAAATTGATTCAGCTACATCCCCAACTTGTGATACTCACAAGTACACGAACCATTGGGTAGTATAGTATATGTAAGTGCGAGGTCGATCCCATGAGGATTGATGATATATTGATTCAGTTTGATTCCCTGTACAAAACAGAAAATGGAAACAAGATTTAAAGATGATTGTGAAGAGTACAAGAATTGAAAACATAAAGTTCAAACAAACCAAAAAGTAAGACTAAAATTGGATTTGGGTTTAAAAACAATTTTAGGACACTAGGGAATAATCCAATTCTAAGTCTCAACAACTTTCGTACTCACACAGTAAGGTGCAATTCCCCCAAACTTAAAGCCACTAATTTTCATAGAACAAGGTAGGATGAAGTGTTTAAGTTTATGGTTAATTAAGGATAAATTGTGAAAGGACCCGCCCCGAATTCCTCCTTGGAATCCATGACGAACCCTCTCCCTATCAGACACCAGGCATGTGTTGGCCCAAAATTAAGCAAATACCCTTCTTGCCCTAATTCCAAACAATTTTAGGGCTTGAATCTACCCGAAAATTGGCAAAGCCTCTCTTGAAACTGTCTCAAAACCCAAAATCTACTTGCACAACAAACACAATTCTTTCCCAACCGTTGAGCAAGCACAAGATATAAACCACACACCAATTAGCACAAGTTTCAATGGGCTTCAGGCCCCCTTTTTACCAACATAAGAAAGTCAGCAAAATCATCTTAACATGACTAAACATAACAAACAAATCCTAAACTTGCTGTTGCACCTAGCTTAGCCTAGGTTGCCTATGTACCCTTATTGAGGGATTAAGCCACACGTAGTTATTTCTCCCATAAATCGCAATTAAGATAGTACAATAATGTACAAGGTGAAACCAACAATAAAATTTTAGATTCATTCTTTATTGAATTTCAACAAGCTATAAACTGAATCTCATGTCCTGAAATTGTGTACCTAACTATTTAATCAATTTATCATTGTACATCCAAACACATGTGTAACCAAACATTTTACCTGAAAGCCATAAATGCAAACGTTTGCATAGTGCATATCTCTTGCAATCACCCACCAAGGAAAATATGGAAAATATGGAAAATGTCCGTAGACATTCCAAAGGCAATTGTATGTCCGAAGGCAATCGAGATGTCTGAAGACATCTATATCTCCTAAAGTAACCATATTTCCAAAACCAAACGGGATGTCTAAAGACATCAATATTTATGAAGGCAACCATATTTGAGAAGGAAACTGAGATGTCCGAAGACATCAATATTTCCGAAGGCAACCGAGATGTTCGAAGACATGAATATTTCCGAAGGCAACCATATTCCAATTTTAAACTATTTAACACATATATAAAAATAAACATACTTATACCATGCTTGGAAAGTAAAAGTGATAGAATAATAATTCATAAATAGTTAATAAAACTCTCATAGCAAAATACCATTTTAAAATCAAACAACCAAACCACAAACACCTCTTCACCAAGTGGCCCCAATAGAGCCAATGAGGCCCACCATCTAGGTAATTACGCCAGCAGGGTCCCATGACCTATAATTTCCAACCCATAAATTCCTATAGGTCCAACAAAATCTACTAAACATGTCTCAAAAGTTTGGTCTCAATCGAGCGTTCAGATTTAAGCCAATCACACGATTGGTTTAAGCCAATCGGACTTCGATTCTTTATACGTAAGTTTCTACACAATCCTAGAGATACAGGGAACAACAAAATTTTAATTCGAACCGATCGAACGATCCAAACCTATCGAACCAGGATATCTCATAATAGGCGCAATATCTGTTCAATAGTCAAACGGTAATCCAATTCAAATCCAAGCATACCGTCGTTCTCGAGATGACGTGGGGAACATTTTCGGATGAAATGGCAGCCACCCAGTGGTCCATGAGCCACCACCGGCTGTGGACAGCGATGAGTGTCTTGAGAAATTTTTCAGTGATGGAAAATCCCCAAAACACCGGCCAATACCTATACCAATGGATCAAACACAACTAGGGGAGCATTTTTGGTTCCTTGACCCCAGCCAAAAAGTGGCCTGAAAACATAGCCAAAACCATTGGCCATTTTTGCAGTTTAGATCAAACTCTCAAATCTTATACTCTCAAACTCTTAAATCCATACTTGGATCGACGTCAATGGCTGGCAGAGTTGCCAAAATCGATGTCGGAAAGCTTGGAAGATCGTTAGCCATTTGGGGCTCAAATTGGCATCGTGCAGGACTTAGGTGGCTAGGTCTTAGCCCAGACGTGATCGGCAACCTATGGTGGTCCTTTTCTGACCAGTCTTGACCTCACCATGGTGGTGCCGACAACGTAGCCGAGGCCCTGAGCGTTGAGAGAGAGGAGGAAGAGATCGGGGGGAGAGAGAGAGAAAGAGAAAAAGTGACGCGCGTGTGGGCTAGCTTGTTGGGGCCCACCACATGTGCAACTGCACTTCCGTTGACCAAAATGTCTTTGTTTCAACTCTGATTTGGGCCCACCACTGTCTACGAACTCGTGAGCTTGAGCACTACACTAAGGAACCAAGAAAATTTTCAAAACTAGTCCTGAACAAAAAGTCAACCCTGAACCACCAAAGAACCCTAAGGTTAAAGTCGTCCTTTCACTTTAGAATTTTTTAAAATTAAATTATATTTTGGGATGGGATGTTACAATGTGGTTCATGAAAGAAAAGGCTTATTTATGCTCAGAGGGGCTATCTAAGGGATAATGTAGTAGGGACAAAAGTTTGTTTGGCCATGGTGGTGATCCTAGGTGCCTTAATCACTTCCTAGATAGAATCATGTGAATCAATACAAAGCCTTGAAAGATATTGAAGCAAGTTCTAGTAAATCATAATGCACTCATGAAAAAGAATATGCATGAGGCTCAAAAACTCACAAGGGTTGTACAAGTCTACACTAAAATCTACATATAATTCTTTAAGTCAAAACCAAATTCCATTAAATTGGCTATGTGCATTGAAAATATGGAAAAAATCATGTAAGAGAAATTTAACTAAAGATTCACATAATGATTACCAATCCTCAAAAGCTATATAACAAGTACAATTCAAGTGTTATCATTGACTTGTGGACGACTTAACTAAAACAACTCAATAAAAGGAAAAAGAAAATCTTTCTGGATTTTTGAATTTTTCGAATTTTTCTGGGTTTTGTGAGTTTAAAAACAAAAAATTAACAATTGAACTACCTCAAAACACAGAAGAAACAAAATAAGACTCGAACAAACAAAGAAAACAAAAAGTTTCAAATTGCAGTTTTTGGCAATTTTGACCTCTGTTCAGATTTTAGCTCATAACTTTCAAACCATTGGTCTAATTTTCACGTTCTTTGTATGGTTAGATTCAGCATGAAAAATATCACAGACCAAATTGTCAGAGCAGTTACCAATTAAAAGAGTTTTAAACAAAAGAAAACAGACATTAGCAATTATCACAAAAAAAAAGCTAAATCATTCCCCCCAAACTTAAATGAAAGATTGTCATCAATGTAAAAAGAATCAAAATGCATGCAATCAATCAAGCAAAGGGAGAAAAGAATTAAATATTATAATAAAGAGTAAAGAGTAAGGATTAGAACTCCTTAGGCAAATAATCTTGAGTAGGAAGTGTTGCAAACTCCAAGATCCTCTCATCATCATCATGCATCCAAAACATGGATTGCCCCCCAAAGAAGAGCTAAATTTAAAGTCTTTAGCCGGACTCAGCAACCATATATTTGGGGGATCATCGTGGTACATCACTTGAATAGTCTTGGTTTGTGTCATCAAAGTATCGATATTCTCTATCGGATTTGTAAGGCTTGATTCAATGAATGTCTTCTCTATAATTTGATCCATAACTTCGGCATGGAAACAATCATAAGGATCCAAAGGTCTTTTCAAACCTTCAAAGACCTGAAAATTTATAGTAATATCTTGCACATTTATGGTCAGTAAACCGGATTTCACATCAATTTTCATATATACAATAGCCAAGAAAGGTCTACCAAGGATGAGAGGGAGTTCACGACCCAAAATTTCAGCTTCCTCCATATCCAAGAAAACAAAGTCAACATGGAGGATAAGTTGATAAACATGGATAAGTACATCTTCAACAATGCCTCTTGGGTAATTCACATAACGATCCGCGACTTGCAAAGAGATTGAGACATACTTTAGTTCCCCCAACCCAAGTTGTTCATATACAGAGTAGGGCATTAAGTTCACACTTTCTCCCAAATCAAACGAAGCTTTGTCAAATTTTATTTTTCCAATGGTGCACGGGATTGTAAAGCTTCTGGGATCCTAAAGCTTGGGTGGCAACTTTCTTTCAAGCACAGCACTCACGTTTTTCAATAACATCACTTCTTCATGCTCTTCAAACCTCCTTTTGTTGGTGCAAATATCCTTTAAAAACTTTGCATAGGAAGGGATTTGTTTGATTGCATCAAGTAAAGAGATATTAATTTACACCTTCTTAGATTGCTCCATAATGTCTCCCTTACTTTTCTCTTTTCTAGCATGTTTGTCACATTGAGAGAAAGAAAGAGGACCATGAGTTGCTGTGTTTGGAGTATGAGGGACATGCTGCAAAAATTCGGTAACTTTGTCAACATGCGTGGCATCACTTTCAGATTTCAAAAAGCCCCCAAATTTCTTGTCAAGCTGCTGCCTTGTTTCTGTCATGCCTTCATCTTCCTCTATATCATCGAGCTCTAGATTTCCAATCTTATTATAAATCACTTTTCCACTTCTCAAAGTGGTAATAGCTTGAATCTGCTTATGATTCCTAGGATTAGCTTCCATTTGGCTTGGAAATTGACCTTGTGCACTCACTATTCTGTTCAGAGTAGTAGCTATTTGTCCCAACTGAACCTCAAATTTGGATAAGTGATGCAACCTCTTGTTCATATCTTTCTGATTTCTTCAAGATTTGAGATAGCATCACCTTGATAGAAGGACCTTCTTGTTGTGGTGGAGGAGCTTGATAGGGCTATTGATATGACCCTGATGAATTTGTGCGTGTCATTGTATTCTATGAATTTCTACAAGAGAAGTTTGGGTGTGGTCTCCACCCCGGGTTGTACATATTGGAGTAAGAATTTTTCGAGGGCCTTCTTCCATTGACCTCTTGCACATCTTCTAAAGTAGGATTTGATAGGCAATTTGTAGTGTTGTGGGTGATGCTAGCACATAAATTACATGGTTGTGCAGTTACCTTCTTTACTAGTAGCGTGAGAAGTCTTGTGAGAGCTACAACTTGTGCTTCCAAACCCGTGCTTGCACTAACTTCATAGATGCCTCATTTCTGTGTCGATGATGTAAGTATAACTCTTGAATCTTTCGTAGGAAAATCTGAATGCTCAGAGTTCTCACAAATTGTCTCAAATGCGCTGATGGCTTAATCTATAGTCTTGTCCATTAAGCTTCCATCAACTGTTGAATCTACCAGGCTCCTGCTTTGTGGGTTCAACCCTCTATAAAAGTAGTGAACTTTTTGCCATATGTCGAAACCAGGATGAGGGCATTGAAGAAACAAATCCTTATGTCGCTCCGAACATTCATAAAATTTTTCACGCTCTTATTGACGAAAACTCATAATATTTGTCATCAAAGCATTGGTTTTACGAGTAGGGAAAAATTTTGAAAGAAATTTCTTAGATAAATCAATCCAAGAATTTATGGATGCTTCTGGAAGAGAGTATAACCAGTTTGTTGCTTTATCCCTTAGAGAAAATGAAACAATCGAAGTCGAATTTGCTCTTCACTAGCACCGCCATAATTGAATTTGGAGTATATGGTGAAGAATGTCTTAAGATGATGGTATGGATTTTCCTCCTCCTTCCCATGATAACTGGGTAGATAGTTATTGCATTTTTAGAAACTGGATTTTTATACTTGCAACAAAAGAAAATTGTTATTTAAATAAGAAGAGAATAATAGAACTCGGGTAGGAAATCAAAAAAAACCCAAATTGAATTGTAAAGAAAATTAAAAATTGAAGGTTCAATGGGAAGAGGAAGTCGATTCCCAATTAAAGAATGAGAAATTTTGGTTGGGCGTTGGGTTGGGAGAAGCGGATGTATGAATGGGGTTCTAACTTTTGGTTTCTTGGACAGCCCCTCCTCTTTTGCTTCTATTGGCTACTTCTGAGAAAAGAACAAAGGTTTTAAATGGCACTACATAAACAAGATTAGAAGAATGAAATTGAATGGAGGAAAAAAAAAAAACAACTAAAGCCTGATTTGGACTGGAACTAAAGATTCCAATTTGAAGAAGGGGACTTTCTTATTGAAAGCAAAAAGTAGTGATGCTTGCGGGGTGTAGAGCTGCTACTTGAAAACAGTGAGTTCTCTTTATCGTGATGTCTCTTTTCTTTGTTGGAATGAGAAAATAATTCCCAATTGAAAGAGAAGAATGTCCTGATAGTTGGCGGGTTTGGAATTCTCTAATTGAAAGATGGAGTTGGTACATGAAGGAACTGCTTTCTTTTTCTCATTTTTATTTCACAACTTGCCCTTTTGTTTTAGTTGGATGTGTGGTCTTATCCAATACGCCACAGGAAAGTTGTCTTCCTTCTCTGTTTTTTTTTTCAATCTTGTATTACCTAAAACCAAAACACACTAAGAGAAAAATTATTAATAAAAATAGTAAAATAAGAAACAGAACATGAATTAAAAATAATGATAATAATAAAATAATAAAACAAAAAACAAACTAGAAACAAACTCAATTATACATAAATTAGGAATCCAAATTTTAAATTAACTTAGAATCCTCGGCAATGGCGCCAAAAACTTGGTCTATCCTTGCAAGTGCACAAGAATGATGTAGTATAACGTTTGACAAGTCCAAGTATCATTCCCACAAGGATTCCAAATTAATATAATATTCGAATACCAAAATTAATTCTAAATGATACGTAAGTGAATTTGTAGAAGTTGTTGTTGTGAAAGTTTATGACACAAACAAAAAATTAATCAAAGCAATTAAGAATAAAAAGGTTGAATTTTAAGGTTGAAAAACAATGATGAAGGTCTAGGGTTTCGAAATCAACCACAAGTGATCCAAGTTAGATTTCAATGCATTCAATAGATTCTTTCGATTCTATATGATAATTCCCATATATAAGTCCTTTTCAGGGCCTTAGACCATAATTTTCCTTAAGTGTGAGATTCTTTTCTAGTTCAGACAAAGATCATATACCCAATCCTGCAATCTATCCTGGTTAAGGCATAAATTTAACAAGTTAGATTCATTACCTTCTAGAAAACAAGAAAACCAAGCAAACCATTATTCTTAGTCAAGCAATAATGTAATTCACCACACTTAATCACAAGAAGCTAATTGATTTATATTGCGAGTTCTGCCTCAAATTCATCTTCCAATTTACTAGATGCACAGTCCTAAGGTGATCAGTCAAAGAACTTAAACAAATAGCAACAATTAAAATAGTGATTAAACATTCATCTAAAAGAAACTAAGAGGCTCCACTCTTTCTTTCCTCTTCTCAACATCATCATCCATAAAATAACCCACAAAGTGTAGGTCTCCGTCGTCCTCCAACATCCTTTTAAAAGCCTTTTGATACTTCAATTCCCCTTCCAACAAGGAATAGGTGGAATTCCACCTTGTACACACATCTAAGGCACAAGCCCTTTGATATCAAGTTTCTCAAAGGCCACACATCTTCTCCAGCTTTCCAACTTTGTAGCGTAAGAGTGGATGTACCTCACTAAATTAGTTATCCAATTCTTTCATCCCTTCAGACACAATTAAATTGAGAATATGTGCACAACATCGCACATACAAACAATCACCACCAAACATAAGTGTCTTGCTCTTGGTCAACCTACCCTTCATATAACTTATCATTTTATCATTAGGAGTAAGATTATCAACAGTAATAGTAAAAACCTTTCCATACCCCAATCATTCAAACAACAATCTAAAAGCTTTCCAATAGTTTCACCCTTATAGTTTGGAATGACACAAAAGCTTATAATTCTCTTGTGCAAGTCCCAATCAACATCAATAAAGTGAGCCAACAATATAATTTATCTTTTGAAGAGATGTCCACGTGTCTATGGTAATAGACACTCTGTTGTTAGAGTTTGTATAGGGAAATACACTTTCACTTAGTCCCACATTGGTAGGAAATTGTTTCCTTTCATGGTTTATTAGCACCAATACTTTAGAAATACTAAATAGGATATGGTCCTAGTGGAGGCAAAATTGGGCCTCATTTTGGTTTGGACTTGGAATATACATATATGTATATATTTGGTTAAATTAATATTCCTTTTTATTAATTAGAAATTCATTTTTAGATAAAAACATTATATGAAATTCGAATCTGTTAAACAGTTATTATAACTGTTGGATGAAGCGGTATTAGACCTCTATATTGACAATTTGTTCAAACCAGAAAAACATAGAATTTGGAATTGCATTATCATTATCACACATAAATACTTCCTGAGAGAAAGCATATACTGTTTGCCAGAAATCAAAGCCACAGTGTCTAGGCTTTGATTTGTGATAGTTTAATCCTGGCGGGCAAACTCCTATCGAACTACAAGCACAAGAGTAGGAGAAATATTGTCGAAAGGACACTGCAACTTTGCAGGACTCTATCATCTATCCAAGTCAGTATTTGTACTTCATACTATTGTTGTATTAATTTGATTTGATTATTTAATTTGAATATATTCTATGTTAATTTTATTATGTTATTTGGTTTTATTCTGATTGTTCAACAACAATCTTTAAACAGTAGCATGGAACAATCAGGAAACATAGAATTTGGAATTGCATTATTATTCTCACACATAAATACTTCCTAAGATAGCATATACTGTTCGCCAAAAATCAAAGCTACAATGCCTAGGCTTTGATTTATGATAGTTTAGCCCTGGTGGGTAGACTCCTATCAAACTAGAGAATTTATCAAAAATAGCCAAAATTTTCCCCCACTTTCAAAAATGTCAATTTTGATAAAATCTTTCAAATATAGCCAAAAACGCACTTAAATAGACACAAATGCCCTTAAAAATTAAAACCCACATAAACTTAAAAACAAAGATAATGTACAAACGGGATCCCGTGCTGCTGAGGTCCACAATCTCTCCGGGAGGGTCCACACCCACTGTCTGTGAGAGAGCAGCCATTGCTGTACATTGCAGCATCAATAAATAGGACCAAGAAACTTAAAAACTTATATTAGAGACACTAGTATTCAAAAATTATGTTTTGAATATTCAACTTATTGAAAAGCTGTCTTTCTTTCACACATAAAGGTCATCTAATCAAATTTGTAGAAAGCATCGTCATTGCATGAAATGAGGAGTGTCTCTATGGGAGTTGATCAGGAACTAAATAACCATACCAGAATGCTTATAGCTTGTTTTTCCAAATCACAAAATTGATAGAAAAATATAATAGTATTGAATCTATGTGCAAAGACTTTATCCTCACATGGGCCAAACCAAAAACGTTGCATCTCTACTGTATATCATCTCAAATCTACAAAAATTGTGAGGGAAAGCATGCTTTATTCCTCATCTTCAAAATTTTACACCAAAAGTTTAAGAAAAATATAAAATTAAATATTCATCCATTGTTCATACTAATTCATAAATTTAAATAGTAAAATATTACACCTATCTATGAGGTAGGATGAAGAGCAATCGGATTTTTGCAAGTTTGTCGATAATGGCCGGTTGAACCACATCTTGAACACTTACGAGTTGATGGTTCTTCTCCGCGTGATGGGATTCTCTTTTCCTTGCGTCTGCCGTACCTTTTTCTTGTAATTGGAGGTAGGACAATTCTATTTCGTACGTCATTAGGTACCACCCAATCTGTCTGATCCCCAACTGGCCAAATAGGTTCTGCATACGCAATGACCAATGAATTTGTAGTATAATATTGTGAACACATTGGGTAACATGAAATTTGTCGATGCCTACATGCAGCACAAGCATGTGCACATGGTAGTTGGTCAAGATCAAACTCTCGGCATGTGCAACACTTCCTCTCTAAATTTACAACTTCAACACGACATCCATCATATACATGAAATGAGTAAGCCTCAATAGGAGAAACCTGCATATTCAAGAAACAAGAAATAAATTTATAATACTCCACAATTATTTTATTTGAAATATTTTCAAAAGATACGTAGAATATTATGCATGCATATATTTCTTAAATAAAAGAACAAATAAAAATATCAGCAAAAACCACAAAAGAAAATGTTTGCCCACTCTGTCACATGTCAGCATATATTCCTTACTTGCAACAAAATAAAATTTAATGAATTTGAAATACCTGTAATGACAACCGTTTCTTGTTATTTTCTCGCACCAAATTGTTTGCCCACTCTGTCAAATGTGAATCCATTTTAGCTGCCTCAGTTTGACGTTCATGGAACCACTTTTGAAGTATATTCATTCTTAAATACTCCATAAAATTGGTAATAGGTAGTTTACGAGCATCTCTGGTGATTGAGTTGAGACATTCGGCAATATTTGTTGTCATTAGGTTGTATCGCTTCCCATTGAAGTGTGCACGAGCCCACTTTTCATATCCAGCCTCATTAAGATAATCACCCACTTTGGAATCAACATTAAATATTTGCACCATAAGACGATCAAATTCATGAACAAGATATGCTTTAGCAGCTCTAAAATACAGTGAATGAGCTCTCTCATGCTTAAAATGGTTCTTAAGATTCTGACTTATATGGAATATGCATGCCCCATGATGAGCATCCGGAAATATAGTGGAGATAGCCTTACGAATGCTTTCATGTCTATCAGAAATGAAAACTAAGTCATTAATATCCCCAATAGCTCCCCGTAATTTTGTCAAAAACCAATTCCAAGATGCATCATTCTCTGAATCTCCAACTCCGAATGCAACAGGATATATTTGGTTATTTCCGTCTTTGCATGTGGCAACAAACAATGTCCCACGATATTTACCTTTTAAAAATGTTCCATCAAGTGCAATTACTGGCCTAATAACAGTGCGAAATCCTCTGATGCAAGGTCCAAGTGACATGAAAAAATACATAAAATGATTATTACTATCAGTTTCAATATGAGTTATCGTACCAGGATTTTTGGCTTCTAACATAGCACAATATGATGGAAGTATCGCATAAGATTCCTCTGGCGATCCCCTAACCAACTCTAGTGCATGTTCCCTAGCTCTCCAAGCATTCACATAACTTATACTCACACCCATGTCCTTTCGCATATCCTCCATGATGTCATGGGGTCTATGTACTCGTGATACACCCTCGTACTTAGATTTTATGAATTGGCCAATAAGAGAACTACTTGCCTGTCGATGATGGCGATGAATAGCATCCAATGAGCATGAGTGTTTTGTAAAATATTTTTTTAGCATGAAATATGAGGATTTTCGTAAGTTGGATGCACGCAGTTTCCACATGCATCGATCATCAACACAACTAACTTCAAATCTTTCTTTATTGGATCTCTTCACTTTGAACTCATAATTTTTCTTCATAGCATCAATACCCAACTTCGTTTTTATATCCTCCTTAGTCTCATACAGTTGACCTACAATTATATCTCCACTTTCATTGCATAGCTCTGTCATGTCTGATCCATGTACATTGTTTTTATCCTTGTTCCGAGCATTTGGTTTGTTGGAGTTGGGTTCATTAGAGTGCACATTGATAGTTGGAACATCATCACATCCCATGTTTTTACGAGACAAGTCATTGAATTCAACATTATCTTGGAACGCATTATCAACCTCTACATGTGGCATATCCTCAAATTGAATGTTCTCACAAAGCAACTCATCTAGCTGTGTTGTATTGTTTTCCTCTTCATATTCTGAGTCCTCAATTTCTGCATTTTCCAAGTCATTTTCTGAATCATGGTATTGATCATTATCTTCTAAATCAGCTTGAATACCCAAGTTGAGGTCCATTGGCATTGGTTGATTGCTTCCACAAGAAAATATTTTACGCTTCAATGTAATGCACAATGGAATCTTGTAAGTCCTTGAAAGACTTTCAAAAATAAAAGCTCTCATATCATCATCATCAACTATTTCTGCAGGCCATGCACTTTTCATTGCATCGTATATGACTTTCATAGTTATCTCATACTCATTTCGGTCCACATTTACAATGTCATATACCTTATTCCGAAGCTCCTCTATCATAATTTTATCTGAAACAAGTAGTGCTTTAGTTTTGCAATTTTTGTACGTTGAGTTAACCCACTTTCCATCGTAGTTAATCAAAATTGTCAAACTAGACATTATCCTGAAAGGTAAACCAACATAATAAATAATACAATACACATTGAGAAAATATCGTTCAAACCATATATATATAATGTTAGAATAGCAAATATATATATATGATTTGTATATTTTGTTGTCAAAATAGCATATCAGTAATCATGTGCAATTTGAGTCTACCACAGGAGAAACACTCAACACCCACGAAACACAAGAAACAAATTTACAGAGAGGAAATTTCCAATTATTTCTGCTAGGGGATGGATTTGCCTAGATCATTGTAAAGTACTTTCTACTCTCTGGCCAATCCCAATGGGCAACACGTATGTATAGCCTCAGCACTCCCTAATTCAACTTTCAATGATCCAGGCAGACCCAAATTGGAAATATATTCATCCAAATCGAAAAAGAAATACAATTAATAAGTTCTTTATCTTCAAATCCAATCCAACAAACAAAATTAATTGTATTTCAAGTGGCCAACAGAAAATCATGGAATTAAAACAAAGACGGAATGAGAGAGAGAAAGAAAAGCAAACCTGGGATTACAGATTGGTAAGTTGAATTAGGGAGTGTAGGAATTGCTTCAAACCAAGGCTACAGACATGCGTGCTCAGCAATAGTTCGACCAAAGGTTACAGACGTGCGTGCGAATCCAAATTTTGTGTAGTAGGGTTTTGCTTTTTAGGTTTATGTGGGTTTTAATTTTTAAGGGTATTTGTGTCTATTTAGGTGAGTTTTTGGCTATATTTGAAAGATTTTATACAAACTGACATTTTTGAAAGTGGGGTAAATTTTGGCTATTTTTGATAAACACTCATCAAACTACAAGCACAAGAGTGGAGGAGAAATATTGTCTAAAGGACACTGCAACTCTGTAGGACTCTATCATCTATCCAAGTCAGTATTTTGTATTTCACACTATTGTTGTATTAATTCGATTTGATTATTTAATTAGAATATATTCCATGTTATTTTCATTCTCTTATTTGGTTTTATTCTAATTGTTCTACAACAATCTTTAAATAGTAACATGGAACAATCAGGAAGTAAGACCTCTCATGTAGAAAAGCCTGAGAAATTTGAAGGCACCGACTTCAAACATTGGTAGCAAAAGATGTTGTTCTATCTAACAACATTAAATCTAGCCCATATTCTCAGACAGGATGCCCCTGTGTCGAATGAGAATCCTGCAACCAGAGAGACTGTTGCTTCAATTGATGCATGGACACAATCTGATTTCCTGTGTGGAAATTATATCTTGAATGGCCTCGATGACACACTGTATGATGTTTATGCAGCATTCAAGATGGCTGGAGAAGTTTTGGAATCTCTTGAGAAAAAGTATAAAACTGAAGATGCAGGATCTAAGAAATTTGTTGCCAGATTTTTGGATTTCAAGATAGTATATTCCAAACATGTTGTCAAACAAGTTGAAGACCTCTAGAGAATTATCCATGAGATTCTTTCTAAAGGCATTAAGATCAATGAATCTTTCCAAGTAGCGTCTTTGATTGAAAAACTTCCACTAAATTGGAAAGAATTCAAGAGTTATCTGAAACACAAGAGAAATGAGATGAGTATGGAGGACTTTCAAACACGGGAGCCAAGGCAAACATAGTTGAAGGAAGCTCATCAAAACCAAAATCCAATCCCAAAAAGAATAAGAAGAATTTTGTTCCTTGAGCAAAAGGAAGGACTTCAAAAATATTAAAGGAGCATGTTGGGTTTGTCAGAAAGCAAAGCCATAAGGCTCAAGACTACAGGCACATAAGGGATTAGAATCATGCCAATCCTGCAAATCCAAACAACAACAGACCAAGGAACAATCAGGCCAATGTGACTGAAGAAAACCTGGCTGCAGTGGTGGTTGATACTGGAGCCAACCGCCATATACGTGGTGATAAGAATGCATTTCTTACTTACCAAGAGATACATGGTGGTAAGCAACTGTTTATGGGAAATGCCTCTGCATCTGCTCTTGTTGGAAAGGAAAAAGTGCTCCTGAAATTCACCTCTAGAAAGGAACTAACCTTCCTAGATGTGCTACATGTGCCAGACACACGAAGGAACTTGATATCTGGACCTGTTCTAAGCAACAAAGGATTCAAACTAGTTTTCGAATACAACAAAGTTGTACTAACTAAGGTGGAAATGTTTGTGGGAAAGGGTTACCTTGCTAATGGGTTGTTCAAACTTAATGTATCTGCCAATTCTATCAATAATAAAATAAATAAGGCTTCCCCTTATATTGTTGACTCTTCCTCTACTTTATGGCATGCTAGATTAGGACATGTTAATTTTCGTTCTTTACATAGAATGTATAATTTAGGATTGCTGCCTAAGTTAAATTCTATTGAAAATGTTAAATCTGAAAATTGTACACATAATTTAAATTTGGTAGACAAAGTTTTTAATCTGTACATAATAGGTCCAATGAGTTGCTAGGCTTAATTAATAGTGACTTGTGTGATTTTAGAGCAATGCCAAGTCATGGAGGGAAGCACTATTATGTTACTTTCATTGATGATTGCAGAAAGTATTGCTGTGTATATTTATTACATAGCAAAGATGAGACCTTGGATATGTTTAAGACATATAAAGTTGAAGTTGAGAATCAACTCAACAACAAAATTAAAGTCCTAAGATCAGACAGAGGAGGGGAAATCCACTATCTTTGCTGAATTTTGTGCCACAAATGGTATAGCTCATTAAATGACAACTCCTTATACACCACATCAAAATGGTGCTCTTGAAAGGAAAAATATGACATTTAAAGACATGATAAATTCTATGCTAAATTGATCTAGGCTTCCACATAATATGTGGGATGAAGCCTTACTTACTACAAATACTATCTTGAATCGAATCCCACATTAAATGAGTAAAAAGTCACCATATGAAGTATGGAAATGAAGGTTACCAACTTATTTATACTCAAAGTGTGGGGTTGCCTAGCAAAAGTTTAGGTTCCTTTGCCAAAGAGAACCAAACTTGAACCCAAAACTATATATTGTGTCTTCATTGGATTTGCATCCAATAGTGCTCCTTATAGATTTTTAGTCTTTCATTCTAAAGTTTTGATATACATGTGAATACGATATTAGAATATGTGGATGCTAAATTCTTTCAGGACATTTTTCCTTATAAACAAGGAAGGTTCAATGTCAATAGAAAGAGAACTATTGATAATTCTAGAATAGATGATAGTCATCCTACTTCATCTAGTGTTCAAGAAAATGAACATGATCAAGAACCTAGAGAAAGTAAAAGGACAAGAATACCAAACGATTTTGGACATGATTCCTTAACCATGACAGCTGAAGCTGAGCCTCAAACATATAAACAGGGCAATATCAAGTCCTGAAGCTACATTTTGGAAAAAAGCAATCAATAATGAAGTTGAATCCATTATGCAAAATCATACATGGGAATTAGTTGATTTACCGCCCGGTAATAGACTAAATGGGTACAAATGGATCTTTAAGAAGAAATTAAAACCAAATGGTACAATTGATAAGTATAAGGCTCGATTGGTAGCCAAAGGATACCATCAAAAGAAAGGTTTGGATTTCTTTCATACATATTCACTCGTGACAAGAATAACATCAATAAGGACGTTGATTGCTATAGCGTCAATTTATGACATGGAAATCCATCAAATAGACGTAAAAATCATTTTCTTAAATGAAGAGTTGGATGAGGAAATATATGTGGAACAACTCAAGGGATTTGTAGTAAAAGGTCAAGAAAAAAAAGTTTGCAAACTTGTAAAGTCTCTCTATGGACTAAAACAAGCTCCAAAGCAATGGCATGAAAAATTTGACCATACTATGATGACACATGGATTTAAAATAAATGAATGTGATAAATGTGTCTATATTAAGACACATAAGAAAGCATGTGTCATAGTTTGTCTATATGTAGATGACATGCTCATAATTGGGACAAACAAGGACATAATTGACTCTACCAAGAAAATTTTAAACTCTAGTTTTGACATGAAAGACTTAGGTCTTGCTAATGTGATTATTGGCATTATAGTTAAAAGAAATTCAGTTGGTTATGTATTAACACAGTCCCATTATGTAGAAATTATTCTTAGAAAGTTTGGTCATTTTGGAAGTAATCATGTTGTGACACCTTTTGATACAAGTTGTAAATTAAAAAAGAATGATGGTGAAGCTATTTCACAAAAGAAATATTCACAAATCATTGGAAGTCTTATGTACATTATGAATTGTACAAATCATTGAGTAGGCTTAGTAGGTATACAAGTAATCCAGGACATTATCATTGGGAAGCATTTATCATAGTTTTAAGATATTTGAATTACACTTTGGAGTATGGATTACATTATACCAAATATCCTCTAGTACTAGAGGGATACAGTGATGCCAATTGGATTTCTAATGATTTAGAAACAAATTCTACTAGTGGATATGTTTTTATACTAGGAGGAGCATCCATATCTTGGAAATCTACAAATTCTACAATGGAATCGGAATTTGTAGCTTTAGATAAGGCTGGCAAGAAGCTTAATGGCTAAGAAATGTTTTGGAGGATATTAGTATTTGGCTGAAAAATAATGTATACAATGGGAAGTCTAGACATATTAGATGAAGGCATAATACAATCAAGCAGTTGCTCTCAAATGGAATAACTTCCATCGACTATATAGAAGGAAGAAGTACCATTACGGAAGTCACATCCATAATCTTGCTTACAATACTTATATATGCACCTAAGTTCATCGTCATTCGTACCTTCTTCCTTCTTTATCTTATAAAAATGTGCCACACATTAGACTGAGAAGCACCTTTTCTTTTTAAGTTTTTTGTTGGTGGAAGTCGAGGAAGGACATTTGATGAACTATCCCTAGTTAGAGTAGAGCTTGGTGTTGGAGTAATTTGTAAATTGTACTTACAATAAGCCTAATTGAATTAAACAAATAATTCTTCATTCCAGCCAACAACATAAAATAAACTGATATTTAATCAAGCATATGGACTTATTTAGGGCCCCTTATTTAATAAACAATTATTCAATTAAAGTATTGATTGGACGCAGAGCTTGTGCAATTAGTATTGTAATTTCTATGATGGAATACTTGTGCAAACAATTATTAAATTACTCATGAATAGAAATACATGTGCAATTGAAGCAAAGCATAGAGGATTCACATCAAATCTTTCAAACATGTCACACCCCAATTATTATTATTTTTTTATTATTATTAGGGAATGTGAGGTAAAAGAAAAAAAAAGAAAGTAACAAACTTTCAACAATTATAATTTACATTGTATTATTACAAGCAAAATAACAAGAAAGTAACAAACTTTCAACAAAATACTCAAAACTATCCATAATCCATTCTTCTCGTCCTCAGCAAAACTACACTTCAGTTTCAAAGCCTGCAATAGATTCAATAAGGGGTGAGCATTACATGCTCAGTAGGGGTTCGATGCCTTAAGTGATTAGTGAGATTTATAATGTACAATTTATACAATGCATGAATGAACTTCAATTCTACCCAACCCATTAATCTATATAATAGGGCAAGCAAATCTGCATGTCCCATACCATGCATTTTACCACTGTGATTCCGAATGCCCCATTATATAAACTAACACCCATTTCAATCATCCCATAATTCCCCTTTTGCTAGTCATCTTGTCTACACCATTGATCTCCAAGCCCAATCACCCAATCGACAATTATACCGCCGATTTCCTAATCTACTGTGCACACGGGCTCGCCTGAACTTGGTCCCTACAATGGTTAGACTCAACTACACAAAAGATACTTCCCATTATCCTTTTTTTTCCATAATTTCTTTATCAACCCAAAAATTCCAACCACCACCGACAACATATGAATATGTCAAAATTCATCACATTATAATGATAATTGACAACATGTATATATCTAATATCAAGGATAACAATCAAACAATATAACCAAGCATAACAACAATCAATATTATCAAGCATAATGTAGTATTTACAATATTTAATTAACTCAATGTATGCAAAACAAAACTTCCCCAAGAAAAACCCCTACCTCAAATCCAAAGCTATTGTACACTTCCCAGTTGAGCTTTTTCCAAAATCTTATCACTTAGTTTTCACTCTCAAATTTTTAAGAAACTAACATAACTTTGAAGAACTTGTGCTTCAATAACTACTAGTTAGAAGTCTTATATAGTGGGTTAGAGTCGGCAAAACAATAGTAGATGAAGTTTTAATATTATGCCACCTAACTAACCTAGGGATCTCTAGGCTACAATCCTATGATTTATAGACTAAATTGGTGGCTTGAAGGAAAACTGCCACTCAATTTAGTTCTTAGCTGTTGGTTTCCGGTGAGTGCTTAGTAGCACTTGCCAAATACATTTATATATAAGAACATCTATAATTCTTACACCTCATCTCAAAACATAACACCTCATCTTCAATTGGTTTTTGAAGACTTCAGAATGCAACACGTCAAAGCTTAGTAGGCACAATATAATTCTAAAAGCTTTTGTGTGTAGATTAAATATTAAAGGAATTACTATAGTTAAAATCATAACAAGGAGGTTTGAACAAGGAGGTTTGATAGGCTACAGCTGGATTCACACAGCTTACCATTCCACTAACTAATATATATATATATATATATAGTTTTGAAAATTAATAATTATAAATATCAATTTTATGAAATATGAAATATGAGGTTTCACAAAACACCTCACCAACATTTCGACCTGATCCATCTCAAGTGTTGAATTAAAAATCCATAGGTTCCCTTGTAACTCCCTCAAAACTGAAAACTAATTAAAAAGCCAATTAAAAAGAACAAGCAAGGAGTGAAGAGTAAAAGAGCATAAAAACAAACCTCATGCAACCAATGATAACCCAAAATGATGTTGCACAATATTGTGGGTTAGAGACGGCAGCGGTGCTTGTGAGCTGCTTATGGGTTAGAGATGGTGATGGTGCAGTTGATTTGAGCTGACAGAAAGATGAGATATCATATGCTTGAGGGGGTTAGACATTGGGTGTTTGAGGTTTGAGTGGTTGAATGAGAAAAATAGACAGAGTTAATTTAGGGTTATGTTGTGATGTGTTCTAGTGTTTCACAGCATTGGATAACTTTCAACTCCACCACTAATAAGTTGACATGTATATATTAGTATTTGAGTACTAAAAATTTATAAATATTGGTACGGATAGAATCAAAATAATTAAAATTAACCAAACGTTTCTGCACAGATTGAATCAGAATAATTAAAATTTAAAAAATAATTATTTAACCAAACCAAACCAAATCGTCGATACGGTACGATTGGTACGCGAAGAATTCAAATGAGATACCCACCCCTATTTAGGATCATAGTTTTAGGCTTATGGAATCAGGGAAGTTACGTAATAACCCGATCCTAAATTAATATTTAATTATTAATTTATTCAAGTAAAAGACAATTTTACCTCGGGAATATTTTAATGGTTTAAAAGTTGACTTTTTGTCCGAAAAGGAATCTGGGGATTTCAATTGTACTATTACATGCAGCATGTCGAGATAGTGGGCTCAATCGGAATTATAACGAAGAAGTTATGATATACGGAAGCTCAGTGGCATTGTTGGATGCACAAATCTCATAGTCTGGTGCTCCAGGGCGAGGGGATGTGAGTTAACATATGACGTTCTTCTTTTGGATGCAGTGCGGTTGTGCGCAACCGTGCCAGCACATCTACCGTGCATCGAGATGGTGATGAGGTTCGGGTAGAAGATGGTTAAATGATGCGCCTGTTTTGAGTTCGACTCCTAATCAAACGATTGTGGCCGAGAGAGGAACTGATATCGGCCGTCAGGTTCACGGCCTAAGCTACAAGGCCGTTTAGTGGTGGTGTTGGTGGCGGGTTTTAGGCGATGCTCTGGCGCGTTGCTCAGAGAGCGACGGTCGTATGATATATGGGGTGAATAAGATGATAACAGAGATGGTGCTCCGGCGCCTTGAAAATCAAGGGTCGTATGATATATTGATGAATGGATTTTCCTTATAATCTACCACTACTCCTAGGAAAGCAAATAAAGGTATTGAAAGTGTATTACAGGAAAATATAACTTGCTCCGTGGGAGGCTTTTGGTTTGGTGTTTGAACCCTTTGAATGTAGTCTTGAGCTTAGTATTTATAGGGGGAGTCCTGGAGGGACAATCGAGGCTGAAAAGACCTACGTGGTGGAGCCTGATCGGGGCAAGTGGGTAGTCAAATCGGCATTTGGGATCGTGAAGCATGGTGGTGTGACCCCCATAAATCCCGGTAAATCTCGGCCACCACCCTGATCGTGGGTTCTGCCCCCTTGGCCGTGGGAACGCATTTAATGCCCTGGTCTGGTGGTTGGTGATCTGACCTCAAGTTGAAAGAACACTTGTGAGAATGTTTGTGCCTAACCACTCTGATTTCCATCACCAAATCCTGACTTCAGTAACTTCTCTTCTTCCCTCATGCATTAAATGCTTCTTGCAACTAGTGGGTTTGCTGCGATAGTCAGAGGCATTACTTCATTAAATGGGGCATGGGACCCTGAGGCCACATGGTGATTTAACCAAAGTATCTTCGGCCGTGTCTTTTACGGCCTTCGGCTTCGGCCTACAGTACCGCGGTCGCGAGGCCGAGAGGATTCTGCCTTTGCAGTTTTCTTTTGTTTTCAGGAAGGCGAAATGCCTAACGAAACGTGGCCATTTCAGTTCATGAGTAGGTGCTAGGGCCGAGAAGAAGTCCCTTCAGTCAGTTTATGACCGTGATTTATTAGGCACAAACATTGCCCCCACATCCCTGCATTCTTCGGTCGCGGCCTGGGCAGAGGCCGACTGGATTCCAAGGGATGGACCCTTTGCATTCCTCCTGAAGTGATTGACAGTTGGCGCTTTAAATATGTAGGTTGGATGGCGCATTTAATGTGCAAGCACGTCTTGCAGGCCATCATTGCCCAGACTTGCGCGAGCCGTCGTTTCGTCTCGTCAAATGAAGCGATGGCCTCTGGGCTTTCGACACGTCATCGCGCTCCTTGAGCACGCTGTCAGACCGTTACGTCTCTCGAGAGGACCATGCCTCGTTTCGAATTCCAGCGCCAATATAAAAGCCTATCCTTCTTCATTCCTTCCTTACGCTTTCAGAATTTTCAGACGGCCAAACTCTGCCAAACTCTCCTCTCAATTCTTCAACCCTTTCGAACTTCACATTTCAGCACTCCACCTCTTTCTACCCCAGTTATCCCTTTGTTAGTAACCAACGACTTCAGTCGCTTCTTCTGCATTTCTCAGAAAACTTACGAACTCTTCGTCCCTTTTTCTGAGTGCTCGGCTCCCTGGTGTTCATCGTGTTCATCACCCTTTCTTCGACTTTTTCCTTTAACACACCCTACTTCAATCTGTTTCAATGGCCTCCGGCACCTCTACATCTGTTGAAGCTCGGTCCCAAGTCTTCCAAACTGAGTTTGAAGACATTTGCCGAGAAATCCAGGGCTCGGTCCTACCCAACATCATCACGCCCTGGACTGATGATGACGGCGCCGCCACCGATTCCTGCGTCCCCGGCCCCTCTGTAGATGGCAGGATGCCAGAGAGGCTGGTGGCTCATTTGAAGAACAATCTGGTGGACCTCTCAGCCTTTAACGGGAGGGACTTTCAAGATTGGAATGTCGCCAGGCCTCAGCCCCAATGGCCAACCTCGACCCCGGACTGGGGAAAAATGGCTGCAGAGGATGGAGCACTTCTTCGGCCAGCAATGGAAGGATCAAGGCATCTACCACTTGATCAAGCTGTTCGATCGGCTGCTCATCATGGACCGGTCGTCGACCACAAATACTATGAACCTCCGGTTTGGCATGATGACGCCAACCGTTCTAGACATGGCCGCCCTATTCAGCCTCTCCCCTCTTGGCGTGGAAGTAAACGCTGCTCTAGTCGCCCCTGAGGCTGAAGGGAGTTTTAAGGCCACATGGCCTACGGTCATCAAGCTTGCTGGGAGTAAGGCGAAGAACATGCTCAACTATTCCAGCTTCTACAGCAACTTCGGCGTGGAGGATAGCGCCGATGATGATTCCATCGCTCCCTTGGGCGAGGTCGAGCATGCTGCGTTCTTACTGTACTGGCTATGCAAGTTCGTGTTTTGCACCCAGGCGAACAAAGTCACCCTGGAGTTCACCCATCTGGCCGACTATCTCGCGTAGGGCGGAAGGCTGACGCTCGGCCCATTCCTCCTTGGTCATATCTACCGTACGCTTCACGACGTCGTCACGGATGGGATGAAGCCGAAGCACGGTGGTCCACTATGGGCCTTCCAGTTCTAGCTGCAAGCTTACTTCCCAGAGCTGAGGGGGGCGGTCAATATTGCCGACACCGAGCCGTTGGCCAACGCATTCGCCCGAGCCCCCAGGAAGCATTACACCTCGACTTTCTGCTACAAATTTTTATACGGCTTGGTTGAGAGGATCGGGTCGCAGTTCCAGGTGTGCCTTGCTCGGCCGTACCCTTTGTTCCTGGCGCACGACCTCTCCGTGATTCCTGACGGCGAAACGGAGAACGATCTGAGGGAGATCTGGGGCTCCTTCCTGGTTGCGTGCGACCTTCACTGTGGCCTGTCCAAGGCTGGGGCCGAGGTTTATTTGCCGAACTTCGTGGCGCGGCAATTCGGCTTGATCCAGACGGCACCGCTTCCCCCGTTGTCAACCAACCGGCTCTCGTCTTGGAGGGCCGACGTCGCCCAGCAGCACAACGTGGCTGGCATTTCCTTCCAACTGCAAAGGGGATGACCTTCCTCACTCTGACGCCTTGGTTGCGTCATAATGCGTATGACGAGGATAGAAGAGTCTGGTACGAGGAGTGCATCTCGGCCAGATTCATTTGGCCTGTTGAAGAGGCTGTGAGGGGGGCTTTGAAGAATGCAGATTAGGACCCCCTCCTTCCCAAGGCTTGCAAGGGGAAGAAGGCCTCGGCCGTGCTTTCTCGACCGAGTACGCCGGCCGCGGCCGTACCCAGGGTGGCGGCCCCTCCTTTGGCCAGAGCAGCGATCGTGACTTCAACCGCGGCCCCAACCTCCAGAGCACCGGCTGTGGTGGGGGTGCCATCCGCCTCGCCGGCTTGACCAATCGCTGCCTTTGGTAGGCCTTCTTTCTTTTATGTTTTTCCGTCGGCCTCTCTGAGCCACCTTTGTCCTTGTTTATTTTGCTTCTTACCTCTTTTGCTTCTCTCTCTGTACACGTAGCCCTAGGTCACAAGAGGGATCGAGAGGCCTCAAGTACTGAAGCCGCGCCGGCCGAAAGTGTTGCGGTTGAGACGGCGGTGTTAGAGCGGCCTAGAAAAAAGGTCCTCCTTGTTCTTTCAGAGGTCGAGGACGAGGAAGAAGTCCCTCCTGTGATCGTGAGTGAAGCCCCTCTCGTGACCGTAAGTACTTCTCCTTGATTCTTTTTACCCCTTTTTTTTCAACCCACGCCCTCCCCCCTCTTTATCCATTCTGATAATCTGGTCCTTTCCTCAGGGCGAGGCAGTGGCCGAGAAGGTGGCTGTCGCCGAGGTGGCGGTTGAAGAGGCGACCACTGCCGAGGTGGCAGAAATGCCGCAGTCGTAGAGGTGCCAGCCACTGAGGAGGCCGTCGCGGACATGCCAGACGACGAGCTCCTTGCCGTGGAACCGACGCGGGCCGCCCTGGTGGAAGTCCCTTCGGCCGCCTCTGTCGTGCCTACCTTGGCCGTTACCGCGTCTGTCTAGCCGTTGCCGTCCACTCCTCGTCGTCCAAGCAGCATTGTGATCCTCTCGGTAAGCGTTTGCTTTCACTATGCTTTGTTTTATTTTTAGAATTGCGCCACATGCTTTTGACCAAATTTTTTTCTTCCAGCCTCCCCGGTCGTCGCTGCCGCTATCCACGGTCGCTGTGAGCATGCCCCCGGCGCCATTGTCCCAGGACTCGACGGTAGTGACTGAGCTTGCAGTGGTTGAGGCTATAGCTACTGACACGCCGAGCTCGCCACCTGTCTCTTCAACGGTCCTGACCGGGCTTATTTAGATTTTCACCTTCTCATTCCTCATGTCCCAGCTGGTTGTTTCCCATTTAAATCTCCTTTTCCATTTTCAGGAGACCACCTCCTCCGATGATCTCAAGGAGTTATACGCCAGCCTCCATGAAGAATGAGGCAGCTCGGCCTCGGCTCCCTTGGACGAGGATTCCAGGGCCATCGTTGAAAGGCTCCGAGAGTTCCTATTCTTTGGAGTTCACCAAATGACCACCGCCGAGGCATTCATGGAGTTAAGGTCCTGCCTGGATACGTCCATGGCGTTGGATCTGCTGGACTCGGCTCAGCTGGATGAGCTACAGGCTCGCTTGGCCGAGGGTGAGGAGATGATTGGTCGGTACGCTGAGGCAAACATGAGGATGACCGAGGGGTGCTTGCTCGAGGAAAAGCTGTCAGTGATAAAAGAACAAGTCCAACCTGCCATGGCCCGTTTGAAGGAAAATGACCTCGTTGTCCAAAGAGAGAATGAGGAACTTGCGCAGGTCGAGGTTCAGATTGTCGAGCTCCAGGCCCGTCGAGATCTCATCCTTCAGCGCCAAGATGGTGCGGTCGCGGTCGGAACCGAGCTGAAGTCTTCGGCCAGGCAAATCCTGAAGGCGGCGACCGAGAAAAAGAGGACACTGGCCGAGAGGAAGCTGATCCGGGCGAGGTGGCAGACGGATATAGATGGTGGGGACATTGCCTGGAGAAGGATAACATGCCTAATCTGGGGGATGTTCAGCGTGGGGGTTTAGGTGGGCGGCCGTTTAAAGATCTTGGGATGTAATAATTAAACATTTTCTTCTTTTTCCACATAGACACATACAAATATACGCATATATTTTTTGTTTTGATCGGCCATGACTGGCCGTTCTTTTTTCTTTTGTAAAAAAAAATGATCTCTTAATCTAAATACAAAACGTGGGCCTTCTTCTCTGAATGATTGAATGTATGTTGTTCGCTTTATATTGGCCGCACCGTTTGTTTAGCTTCGCTCGCCTACTTCCCCCTCTTTTTTTTTGACTTTTTTGTCGTAGGCCCTCGGTGCCATTTTTTCTTGAACTCGCACCGAATTGTAAGCGTCGAGTCTTGACTGTTCTAAATTTTCTAAACTCCGGGGCACGGTTTGCGCATAGTTCTTCGTCTTTCGCCTAAGTCGCTTGAAAACTCGAAGAAATCGAACCTCTAGCTCCATTAGTTTATCAATGTCATGGCCGTAGGTCAAGACACAAGGAGATGTGCCCATGGCCGAGTGTTTTGATGTGCGGCGTGCCCAAAAAGCCTTAGGGAGCAAGTCGCGCCAAGTCCTGGGCTTTCTAGGCGGGTACGGCTCAGTATAACTTGGTGCCCCCGGCCGCCTCTAGGCTATGCCATCCTTGGTCGTGCGCCGAACATCTTCAGTCCGAGGATCCTGAGGGGGCAACTCCAGCTGGGTTGGAAGTGGCCGCTGGACCTGTTGCGCATCATTCTGCGGCTTTATCTGCTGGGCCACCTGAACAAGGGGCTAGGCGACCGAGCTGGGCGGCATTAGATAAGCGTCGTAGGTTTGACCGGGGTGCGTATATGTTGCTATTGGAATAGCCGGACCGTACTGAAGGTGGGAGCCTGACGGAAATAACGACGCTTGTAACGGCAAAACAGTCGGATTGCTCTGACCGTACTGCTGTGACAAAGCAGCGGTCGCGTTGCTTGGGCCAAGATGGCCACGGTGTGAACTGGGCCAAGTTGTTGGACCGCAGAATGCGTGGGGCTGCTTTGCCCCAGTGATACGGCCAAAGCATGGAGTGGGCCGTACGCTGTTTCTGCTGGGCAGGTCGGTCCGGGATTTACCCATGTTGGCTGGGATTGCCCCCAGCTATTTGTCGGCGGCTGAGAATGCTAGCCGTAGCCTGACGCCTGGGTACGGCCAGAGGTGCCGAGGCTGCTGCTTTCGCCGTAGGGCTCGAACCTCTCGCGCTCTTGGCTTCTCTGTCCGGCTCTGGGAAGCATCACAGACGACGTTACCAGCATCCTCTCCTGAAAGAGCGTCCGTAGCTCTGAGGAGAATCTGTCCATTGCGGCCATAAAGGATGTCTCTATCCTGTAGGCCTGCTTAGCCATCAGACCCTCCACTACTGCTTGCTCTTGCATGGACTCGGCCGTACGATCCATCGTTATTGGAACGCTGGCTGAGATTCTGACCGCGTGTTCGGTCTCGGTGATAGTGATTGGTGATGTGGACTTAGGAGCCTCGGAAGTTATTTCGACTGTTGTGTTTTTGAGCTTTGCCTGTGCCCTAGTTTCCACCATGAGTTTTTGACAAGTGTCCCACTGGGCGTGCCAAAAGTGTTGGCTGTGCAAATCTCATGGTCTGGTGCTCTGGGCCGAGGGGATGTGCGTTAACACGTGACGTTCTTCTTTTGGATGCGGTGCGGTTGTGCGCAGGCGTGCCAGCACGGTTTACCGTGCGTCGAGATGGTGATGAGGTTCGGATAGAAGATGGTTAAATGATGCGCCTGTTTTGAGTTCGACTCCTAATCAAACGATTGTGACCGAGAGAGGAACTGATCTCGACCGTCAGGTTCACGGCCTGAGCTACAAGGCCGTTTCGTGGTGGTGTTGGTGGCGGGTTTTAGGCGATGCTCCAGCGCGTTGCTCAGAGAGCGACGGTCGTATGATATATGGGGTGAATGAGATGATAACAGAGATGGTGCTCCGGCGCCTTGAAAATCAAGGGTCGTATGATATATTGATGAATGGATTTTCCTTACAATCTACCACTACTCCCAGGAAAGCAAATAAAGGTATTGAAAGTGCATTACAGGAAAATATAACTTGCTTTGTGGGAGGCTTTTGGTTTGGTGTTTGAACCCTTTAAATGTAGTCTTGAGCTTAGTATTTATAGGGGGAGTCCTGAAGGGACAATCGAGGCTGAAAAGACCTGCGTGGTGGAACCTGATCGGGGCAAGTGGGTAGTCAAATCGGCATTTGGGATCCTGAAGCATGGTGGTGTGACCCCCATAAATCCCGATAAATCTCGGCCACTGCCCTGATCGTGGTTTCTGCCCCCTTGGCCGTGGGAACGCATTTAATGCCCTCGTCTGGTGGTTGGTGATCTAACCTCAAGTTGTAAGAACACTTGTGAGAATGTTTGCGTCTAACCACTCTGATTTCCATCACCAAATCCTGACTTCAGTCACTTCCCTTCTTCCGAGAGGAAGTCCCTTCAGTCAGTTTATGACCGTGATTTATTAGGCACAAACAGGCATAATCTTAAATTTCTCGCGAGCTCCACGACTAGCCAACTTCATACAGAGATTTCTCCTCCGTCCAGCCACCAATTCTGACGCCACAACTTGCAAACTCTTCATCTTTCTCTCCTCTTCGTATCCATAACAATTTCCAGCCCCCAAAACGAAGGAATTAAACCAAAAATTAGAGCCAAAATCGAGCCAAAATGGGTTGTTTTAAAACAGCAGCTTCCGACAAGTTTTCCGGCTAACTTCAGCCACCCCAAGCCGTGCAATCACACCCAAAACACTCCCCTACCTCCCCTATGTGTTTTCCTTCAAATACCCGACCCAATTTCAAGTAGAAATTGTCACATCCAAACCCAAAAGTTTCTAGGGTTTTCAAGAGACAAACTTGTTCGTTCGAGGGCTTTAACGGTGGAATTGATCTTCGAGCCAAGGTATAAAGTTATTCCTCTTGATGTCCTTGATCTGTAGGTATGATTATCGGCCTGCGGTTTGGAGTTTTCGAATCGCCTGAAAATTGCTCTAGACACCCGCTGGCGATGGTGGTGCCTGGCGAGGCGTCGACGAGGTGTCAAGGTTGGATTTTTGTCCTAGAATGATCCCCACATCGTCTCGAGCATGACGGTATGCTCGAATTTCAATTTGGTTACCATTTGACTATCAATTGGATATCGCATATTAGGCGTTATCCAGGTTCGATATGTTTGGACCGTTGGATCGACTTCATTTTCCAATGTGTTGACCTAGGCACCTCTAGGATTGTGTAGAAATTCGCGGATCGAGAATCGGAGTCCCAAATACTCCGATACAATAATTTAAAGTTTAGATAAACCATAACCTTCCGATTATGTGATCGTGAGCGATCCGACCATTCGATTCGGACCAAACTTGCAGGACAGGTTTAGTAAACCTTGTTAAACCCGTAGGAACTCTCAGTTTGGAAATGGGAGGTTGTGGGCCCCATGGGCCAGATTGACCCAATTTAGAAAGTTTGACCCTCAGTTGACCATGAGTCTTCCGAGGTAGTTTCACCCTTCGAGAAGTGCTAGAATGACCGTGTAAACGAGGCTTGACTGTTATGTGCACTATTTTGTTTATGTTTGGATTTTGAGTTTATGTTATAGTGTTTTATGGTATTCTTGGGTGTTATTCTAATATTCAAAGATTATCTTGTTATTTATATATTATTATTATTATTATTATTATTATGATTATTATTAAAGTATATGACTGAGTGATATTTGGTTATCTATGAAAGCCTATTGTTTTAATAGTGGAATATAGTATTATTTGGAATTTATATGTAAACAAGTGTTGATTAATTTTTGAATTACCTTGGGATTTTGATGGGTTTACAAGATTACGGTTGAGATTATCAGACTTTAATTTGATATTGAGGTTTGTGAATATTTTGTATCTTTATGAGCTTTATGCTTGAGAAAGGATTTTGGCTACCCATGTGGTCTACCCTTGCAAGTGCACAAGATTGATGTTGTATAGTGTTTGACAAGTACAAGTATCGTTCCCACGAGGATTCCAAATTAATCTAATATTCAAATACCTAAATTAAATCTAACTGATACGCAAGTAAATTTGTTGAGATTGTTGTTGTGAAAGTTTATGAAACCAACAATGAAATTAATAAAAGCAATTGAGAATAAAAAAAGGTTAAATTTTAAGGTTGAAAAACAATGATGAAGGTCTAGGGTTTTGAAATCAACCACAAGCAATCCAAGTTAGATTTCAATGCATTCAATATATTCTTTCGATTCTTTATATGATAATTCCTGTATCTAAGTCCTTTTCAGGCACTCAGACCATAGTTTTCCTTAAGTGTAAGATTCTTTTCTAGTTCAGACAAAGATAATATACCCAATCCTGCAATCTATCCTAATTAAGGAATAAATTTAACAAGTTGGTTTCATTACGTTCTAGAAAACGAGAAAATCAAGCAAACCATTATTCTTCATCAAGCAATAATGTAATTCACCACACTACATCACAAGAAGCTAATTGAATTATATTGCGAGTTCTACCTCAAATTCATCTTCCAATTTACTAGATGCAAAGCCCTAAGGTGATCAATCAAAGAACTTAAACAAATAGCAACACTTAAAATAGTGATTAAACATTCATCTAAAAGAAACTTAGAATCCATTAAATAGCATTAAAAATCATAACTATCCATGCTCGGGCGTCATCCTCGCCCTAGAGAAAAATTTAGTTACTCATGTTCAAAGAAAACATAAAATAAAACTTATGGATTGTGACGATGCTTGAGAACTTGACAATGGCAGCGACTCTTTGACTCTCCTTCAAATTCCAGCATAAGAGTATTTTCTGGTCTTCTTTAAATAAGGAACAAATCATCTTTTGACTTGGTAACTATGATTTCCTAGTTCAGCTTTAATTGTCTTTGATGCAAAATCCTACTAAATATAGGATCAGACCTTAGAAAATAACCTTGCATCCTTGTAGGCACTTCCCAAATGTAATTGATACAAATTAAACTCCAAGGATTGGACTTCAAATGGATTATTTTGCAAAACCCGCAGAACACATTCTGCCTGAACTGTCTGTACTAAAACGGCCACAACTCTCTCCACACATGTCCAAATCACGAACCGTAAAATTCTACAGAAAGCTAACATCAGTATATTTCCAACAATATAAGGCTCAACATCTGGTTCGCTCTAAGGAAGTACAGTATATTCTTTCAAGTTGACTGTTCTGCACAGCACATTCTGCTCCCAGGATTTTACATCATATTTCAATTCCAAAATTGCTACTTTTGCTTGCTTTTCCATATTTATTCTTCAAACCTAGTAAAACACAAGACGAAGTAAAAATGGACTAAACTCACTCAAGAACACAACAAGAATCTAAGAGAAGGATAATAAAAATGTATGAAATAATTGTTATATCACCATGTAAGAACTAATTTTGGGAAGTTGAGAAAAGATTTGGAAAATGGGTTTGTGAAAGTGGATTTTGTGGAATAAGAGAAATTTTATGATAAGTGTCGCAATATGGTTTTCAAACCCACCACAGGAGTACCCTCCCCCCCCAGGTGCCTTTGAAACAGTTTTGTCAATTATAACAATGCCCCACGAGTTTCGGGGACGCCTGAACCATGTGGTGCAAGGATATGAGTTCTCAGGCTGACTACATGTCCCCTGAGTTCTACGAGGATGTGCGGCTCTGGTTGACTAGGTGTCCCCTGAGTCTTGCGAGGAATGCGGCTCAGGCTAACTATATGTCCCCTGAGTCTTGCAAGGAATGCAGCTCGGGTTGACTCTATGTTTCCAAGGCTTGCGAAGATGTGTCGTTTATGTGACACTTGGAATTGATGGAATATTATTGGACCTGATGGAATATCATTAGAATTGATGGATCGTGAATGGGGGTACGCCTAGGTGGAGAGTATTTAAGTTTTGAGATGTTTTGAACTAAAAATTGAGGATTTTATCTTGGTATTTATGAGCAAATGTTTTAATATATGTTTTCCTACTTAAGAGACAAGGATTAAGGGTTTTCTAAGTTTTAATGATTTTGTATAATTCACGATTATTTTCTTAAGTGAAGTTTTATTTGACCATGTCGTTACTTGATTTTCTATACCCATTTTGTTCTCTTTGTGTTTCTTTTCCAATTTAAAAGTTATTCTCCTCTCATTATTTCTTTTCCTTTTTAATTTCTTTTCTTATTTGATTTTGCAAAACAGGTGGTAAACATAAAAGTTGAATACATAACTTGTCAATAAAATAAAGGGAAAGAACTACATGTGGATTGATCCCTTGTTAAGGGTAAGTAGGTAACCTAGAGTTACTAGGTGCAGCAGCGGGACCAAGTGATTGAAAATCTGTTCAGTTTAGTTATTTTGAAATCTGTGAACGTATTCATGTTGTTCCAAAAGTTGGGATCAGTTTTAGTTGGCAGAACAATTTATTTGATTTAAAGAGGCCTGAGGCCATAAAGATTTGAGGTTTGGTTGCATGAATTCTATTATTGTGCATGCTGAACGGTTGTGGTTATTTATATTGCTTGTTGTACAGGTGAAAAAGTTTGGGAATTGAGCAATTTATAAGGGAGGCTCTGCTGAATTTTCGGCAAAAGTCAAACCCTAAAGAAACTTTGGATTTCATTAGAATGGCAATTTGGCCTAGTGTGCTCGACACCTGCCAGGTGTCGGACATGCTCAGGGTTCGGCTCAGATTTCAAAGGGGAATTTGGGTTGGTTCCTAACAAGTTATCTATGATGGCGTTTGCTTTGCTTCACTTCCATCGTTCTAAATCTTTTAGTTTTTTTGGGATTGAGTTGTTGTTCATGGTTATATTGTTTCTCCTAATACCACAACCTCGTTTCATTGTAACCTCAGCTATATTTGTCTTAATTTGATTGTTAAAGAACTCTACTAATCATTGAATAGCATCTAAACTTGTGGTTAATTCAGACCATGTGAATTATAGTGATTGTGCGCTTCTTTTGAAGGAGTCAGGACCTCTAGCCAGCAATTAATAAGGCTCATACGACCACCATAGGAATAAAGCCTCATTGTAAACCCTAATGAGGATTACATAAGCTATCTTATTGTTATTGTTTTCTCTGATTCTGACTATGAATTGCACTCTTTTAAGTTACATTTTCACATATTGTATATTTGTGATCCTCACACTCACTTGTGGCCATATATAGTTGCTTACTGACCTTTGTAGCTCACCCTTTTCCCTTCCATTTCATATTAGCTCGGAGTAGAAGATTGGCTATTTGTGATGTATTGACTGCTCTAATGAAGAACTGTTTGTTTGGAAACTTTAGATTGTAATGTTGTACAAAAATTGAAATCGCTATGTGGAAATGGAAGTGTGTAAAGAGTTTGATTTGGTAACCTTGTAGATCCTGGTACTTCTAATTGAGCAAGTTAATGAGTGTAAATTTAATTCTTCTTTTAGTGAATTTGGGGGCGTGATAATTACATTTTCACACAAAGGCCAATAAAAATTTTGAATTGTCTAAAAATCATGAGGAATCTTTCCATTTGTTAAAACGAAAGATTACCAAGGTCCCGTGTTAGCCTTGCCAATCTACAAAAGCCATATGAAGTTGAAGAAGATGTGTCTAACTATGCCAAGGGAGCCATTTTATTTCATGATGGAAACCAGTATCCTACCAACCTGAGATGTTTAGTGGACCAATATTGAACTATCTGACTTACAAAAGGTCACTATATGCATTGTATCAAGCAGTGAAGCATTGGATAGCTTACTTTTTAAGGAAAGAAGTTGTGGTTCACTCATACCATAAACATCTTCAGTTTTTAAATACACAGTCGAAGTTGCAACAAGATTGACATATGAAATGGATGTCTTACCTACAATAATTTAATATTGTGATCAAGTACAAGAAGGGAGCAACAAATAAGTTGTGAGATATGTTATCTCGACCTTCTACACTAGCAACTTTCGCATTACTGGCGACTATGGAAATCCAGCCTATAATTCCTTCTCAGTATGCCAAAGGATATGACACATATGCTTATTTTAGTTCAACTTAGAAAAAGTTGCATATATATATATATATATATAGGTGTAATTTGTGGGGTCCCAAAAAAAAGACAACTAACCCCCGCTCTTCTCTTCTCTTCGAATTCAAAACGTGACCCCATGAACTGATTTGGCCCCCCAATTTTATCTCATTCTTCTCCAATTTCATTTTTCTCTCAATCACTTCACTTCATTCCTTCCTTTCTTTCATCATTTCCAATTTTCCATCATATTCAGACTCCTTCCACCATTATAATAAAAATCCTTTGCCATTATTAGTTTACTCCATTATAACCAGTTAAAGTTTAGCACTCTATACTTTGGAGTGTTATTTAGATCACTGTATTTGTGTAAAGATTGGAAATGTTGGGGAAGGAAGCGATGTCATTTAAATGGGTGTTATAGGTAGCCATCTGTGAGTAATAGGGATAAATCTTGGGCTTTACTTACTTAGTTGGGTCAGAGAAATCATCCACTTGAACTATGTTTGGGTGATCTCAAGTAGATCCTACGTAATGAAGAGAAGGACAGGTTTCCTCCTAGAAGTGAGTTGACTCTCAATAAGGGTAAACTGCCGAAAACCCCCACTGAACTATAACGCTTGTCGAAATGTCCACCTTGAATTATTTTTTCAGCCAATTTAACCATCAAACTATTTTAAATGGCCAATTTAGCCCCTACCGTTAGTTTCCATGTAGTTTCATCCAATTTTCCGTTAAAAATAATTAAATCTTTAAAAACTAAAAAAAGCAACCAAAAAAAAAAAAAAAAAAAAAAAAAAAAAAACACCCTAGCAACATCTTCCCCACCCCCATCCCCCAGACCCTCTCTCTACAATCCCACATTTGCAAAGTATTTCCAATGAAAGAGCACCAACGGTGGTGGAGAAGAAGGAGGATTTGAAGATATACCCACCTTTACAACACTGCCCTGGACATTGCTATGTTTTTCTAAGCAAACCAATTTGGGTTTAGGGATTTCTTCTCCTTCCTTTTTTTGGGTTTTGGGTTTAGGGATCATTGCTATCCCCTAGATCCTCTCTCTGCAATCGTAATGTTCTCAAGCATACCATTTCATCAAATACTCTCAAGTTGCACATAGCTCGAGTTTTTGGATTTGAGAGGGTGTTGGGATGTTCAACTTGAGGACAAGTTCCTCAAGGAAAAGTAAACCAAATTGAAGGTTTTAGGGCCTCTTATTTTGGACTACTATGAGAGGAATGAGTGGGAAGATTGCTCCGATTTCTCAGATGCTTATGAGTATTTGGCCTGGGAATTTGTGGCTGGTAAATTGGAGGATTACTATGATGATGATGATGATGATGTGAGTTATGATGGGATGTGGGATGATGAGGTATGGCTGGAGGAGCTAGAGTTGAGGTTCTATGAAGGAATTTATCAGAATGGGGATGCAGTGTATGGAGGGTACAATTGGCCTCCATCTCCTTAATAAAGTTGTGCTTTTTCTAATTTTTCAAACTGTTTGTTTTCTTAGGGATTTCTTCTCTTTCATTTTTCTGGGTTTTGGGTTTAGAAATTTACAAATCATGGCTTGATGGCCTACGACAACATCAGTTGGGTTGGGTGATTTGAGTTTCAAAGGTTGGGGGCTAAATTGAGTTTCTGGTTAAGGAGGTGAAGGGGGAGTGGTGTTGGTGATAGGCTGGTTTACTTTTCTTCTTCTATTTTCTATTTTGAATTTTGGTTCTTTTTGTTTTTACATTTTTTTTAATTTTTATTAATATTCTAGCTTGTAAAATGACAAATATACCCTTATAATTGACAGAAAATTGGGTGGAAGTGTAGAAACTTGACGGTAGGTGTTAAATTGGCAATAAAATTTAGGCTTAACTACTACAGTGCCCCTTGGAACATTGGTCAATTTTCACTTTACCCTTTAACAGTTAAAGTGACCCACTTTGCCCCCTTGACCAAGGTTTCGTGTGTCACTTAACCACTTTCCGTCAACACCATTCCAAGTTCAGTTCAAATGATGACGTGGTAGGGGTATATTGGTCAATTCAACTGAGCTGGGATTTTTCCCACCAATATGAGGTTGTGACGTGTACTTGTGGACCCCACCTCTAACATCTGATATAGCTAAAACAATCCAATTGATCTAAGCTGCCTGGCGAACCAAAAAATCCCAAATTGGCTTCCCTCCTCCCATAGAAGAAGATAAACCCCTAGAAATCAAAGGTTGGGTCTCCATGAAAATTGAAGATGAAGCCTGAAATAATTGACGGAGGGGAAGAGTTGGATGTGGCGGCACAACATTGCTTTTGTTGGAAGATAGCTCACTTACAAACTTCATGGATTGAGGGCAAACCCACTTCGAAGATTCCATGTTTGTCTAAACTCATTAGTGGTAAGTTATGTTTTTGAAAGTCTGTGAATTGGGTTAAATTTTTTTATTAATTGCTATTAATGGTTGATGCAGAGGAGGAAAAAAGGATGTGGGTTTTTTGTTTGGGTGGATGTTGAATTTCCACCTAGAGAGAAGTCTCTGATGAGTTGGCAACTTAGAAGATTGAAGGAACTTGAAAAGGATGTTGGGCATCGTCAATCAAGAGAAAAAAAGTTAATGGGTTGGCTTATTCTTTCATGGGGTTTAGTAATGTTGTTATTGTTTTGGCAATTTCTATAACACTTGCCATAAAATGTGGCCATTGTAATGGAGGAATTAGGCAGATTTTAGAAGTCCATATTTTGCAACTGTATGTAAAATATCATGTATTGGTAGGTATGTAATGATGGAGGAACATGGTTTGATTTTGCAACTGGATGTAACAATGTATTGGTACTTATCTAATGAATGTGGTTTTTGAACACAATGTGGGAGTTAGTTTTTGGATTTTGATACTTCCGTAATGGTATCAAAAGCATTACCAAAACAATAGTACCGCCAACACTTGCAACAGTTCATAAAATTGATCATGGGTTTGTCTAAACAGTTTATAACATTGATAAAATCCTTACAGTTTATAACATCCATCAACTCCTCACGGTTTATAACATTACTGATAAACTTAACAGTTTTGCAAAATAATAGTTCAATCAAAAGCCCCATTTGAAAGGGTTGTCCTTAACACTTGTCCTTAATAGTTGGACTTGCAAAATAAAAGTGCAATGAAAAGGTCTTCATAAGAGGCATTTTAACATAACACAGAACACTTGCACAGATTCAGAATCTCCAAGGTTGATAACCATCCAACAAATCTTTCCAATTGGTAAATTTCTTCCTCTTGGTAGGAGATTTGAACCCCTTTTTGTTTGTACCACTGGCAAAAGGGTGTGATGAGCTTGCACTTGGTTGAGATTCATGCACAGTTTGAGAAGTTTGGGCAGGTTGAGAACTTTGGCCAGTTTGAGAACCTAGACAAGCTTGCACAAATTTATTTCCTTGCATAGATTGAGAGCCTTGCACAGTTTGAGAACTATCCTTCTTTTTGGGAAATTAAATCCTCTTTGCGGGAGACTTGAACCTCTTTTTTTGGGCAGTTTCTGAAGTTTGGCTAGTTTGAGAAGCTGGGGCAGTTTGAGAAGTTGGGGCAGTTTGAGATGCTGGGGCAGTTTGGGAAGCTTGGGTTGTTTCAGAACCATGTGGAGTTTGAGAACACTGGCCAGTTTCCAACCTTCTTCTCGCCTAAAAATTGAAAAGGATGTCAATTTACATCAACTACATCCCATACCTCTTCCTCTTAATATGTATCAAAGGAAAGTCATTTACAGGTTGCTTGGCTCTTGATTGTCTTGTAACCCTTTTGGTTGATGTCGTATCTTGGGCAGTTTTCTTCACCTTTAGTTTACATGGGACCTAACATAAGAAGAGAATCACTTGAAAACAAATAAATAATAAATATTCAAAACAAATATGCATTGCCAATGTGTTTTGGGAAGAGACAAACCTGACTGTTGGTGCCTTCTTTTGCCTTAGGGCAGCTCCTCCTATTATGGCCTCCTTGTCTACAAAGTGAACACTTAGTTTCCAAGTTATACCTCTGCAACTTGGTAGTTGTATGATTAGATTTGGGTGGTTGTTCACCTGCTGACCTCATCCTCTTCTTCCTTGGTCTCCTAGGTTGTTTGTGATAAAGTGGTGGCATCAAAGGACTACAAGAAAATAGGCCTTAGTTGACACTTTTTTGCAAAAGCATCACCTATTCTATGAAGCTTCAACGCTTTTTAAAAAGCGTCAACTATATAGTAGGTTTTTTATGACGTTTTACAAGAAACGTCAACTATATATCACTTTCCTTGACATTTAATAAAGAACGTCAACTCTATATCACTTTTTGTTGACATTTTATTAAAAAAAAACGTCAATTAAAACCCTTGTAGACTTGACACTTTCTAAAAAACACCCTTAGGAAGAGAAAAAGAGAAAAAACAAAAGCTGACGCTTTAAACAAGCTAGTCTCAGACAAAAAAATAAAAAATTGAAGTTGGCATTAAGTTATAGTAGAGGAAACGCTATAAGAGAGAAAGAAAAAGAAACGATTGTGGGCGGGCACTGAAAATAAAAGCGGGATCTGATTTTTCAAGAGTGAAACCCCAATTTTCCAGAAGCTCTCTTTCTTTCTCACTCGCACTCTCGCTCTCTCACTTTCATTTTCATTATCTCTCTCTCTCTCTCTCTCTCTCTCGTTCCTTCTCACTCTCACGATTTCTCTCTTCTCTTTCGCTCTTTCTTTCTCACTCTTCCTCTGCCTCTCTTTCTCTATCGTTGTGGCTAGCTCGTGCTCTCTAGCGCTCACCCCTCACTCAGTCTCTCTTCCTCCATTGTAAGCCTTAATTATGTTTTTTGTAATATCTATTTTCGAATTATATAGAAATTGGGGAAGTTTCTGAAAAAAGAATTTCTAGGTCTTTTTCTGGGAATATGATTTGATTTTTAGGTTTAATTTTGTTGATGCTCTTTTTCGGAGAGGGTCAACTTAGAGAAAAAGGGGTTTGCCTTCAGCAGGGAAAGGGTCTGGGCCTTCAATAAAGGCTAGCCTGCAGAAGACAAAAATAGGGGAAGCAGTCGTCAAGCTCCGGGCACCGGTGTGGTGCCGGCCGAAGGCTCTCCGATGCTTAAGTCAGCTAAGAATGGTAACTTTTGCGGAGTAATAGTAAAAGGCAGAAAAGTAGTTACCCCTCTTACTAGGGTACTGTTCCCTTTTTTATAGGGAAGTGAAAGTTGGAGGTTGGTGTAGATTTCCGATGTGGGACTCTGTGCAAGTCGCCGCGGTGGTGACACGTGTCACGAGAATTAGGTTTAACAGTTTGTGAGCTTTGGCAGTCGGGAGTTTCGGCAGGTGCCTGGCACCTCGGAAGAGTGTCTTCCTTCGGCAGGAGAGAAGGCGTGTCTGCCTTGGTGCTAGTTGTTTTGAGACTGGATATGCTCGGTTGATTATGGTGTAAACAGTAGTCCCCCAAGTTCGCGGTCAAGAAGTGACTTCTGGGTTGGGAACTTGTAAGCTTTTGCGTGATCATGACCGAGCATTCCAGGTTCAGTGGGAGCCGTAGGGCAGTCCCTAGTCCCTTAAGTTGTCAAGCTAGAAGTTGCGTTAACACTTGGAAGGTATGATAAAAGCTGTGTTAGCCTCAGTGATTGTTGGTAGTTGGGTACCTTCGACAGAGAGGTAGGCTTGGGCCTTGAAGTCAGATTTGGGATCTTTGAAGTTGGGCCCTTCATGGTGGCCTTAGTGTTTGAGCTCAAGTGTATTTGGAGCTGGGTCTTTGGTAGAAAAGAGCCGAGTGCCTTGATTAAATTTGGAACTGGGTTCATTGTGAACTTGTTACAAGTGGGACTTGGCTTAGTGAGTGGATGAGTGATCCGTGAGCTGGCCCTTCGGGAAGATGTAGCTGGACCTTCGGCAGGTTCCCGTGTTCATGATCCCTCAATTATTATTATTTTTTGTCGTTTTTTTTTGAAACCTTGGTCCCTTGAAATTGGTGCTTCAGCAAGGGAGTAGCTCGTGGGCCTCCGGGCGTTTTAGAGCTGGTCGTGACCGTGCTTTGACTTTGGGAGGCAAGGGGCTAGGCCCTTTTTGTGTCGGCAGAGTAGCTGGTCCAAATTTGGGCCTAGGCAAAACTCTCCTTGTTGCAGCAAGGTGGCTGGGCTGGTGTTGGGCTTTAAGCAAGGCCTTAGGGTTTAAAATTCAGGGGGGTAGGGGATAAATAAGTCCCCACATTGCTTGTCGTTCGGCAACAGGGCCAAACCCCACTCTTCACTACTTCGGCAGGTTCCTGTTTTCGAGAGGCTAGGCCTTTGGAGCTAGGCCTTCGGCAAGGTCGAAGGACGATTATTCGAGGCTTGGCTCCCTTCTTAACATGATTATCTTTGTCACGGTTGTATGACCTTCGGCAAGGTTTGGAGCTGGGGTTTTTTGGAGGCCAAAAGGTGTGCACACATGACTAGACCTTCGGCAAATAGTGAGAGCTCGACAGGTGGGGTTCGGCGTGCTTTGGAGCTGGGCCGGGCTTAGCTTGACGTGCAGCAAGGCTCTAGTGGGCTTCGGCAGGGGAGAACCACATGAACCGCCATAAAAAAATTTGAATGCTCCTTGCCGTTCGGCAAGGAGCCAAAGAAATTTGGAGGCCAGGTTGGGGTTTACGTGTCCTAGCATAAGTGGGGCTGGGCTTTTAGTGGCTAGGGTTGTGTAACTTTGAGAAGGGTATTAAAATAAGTTTCACTATCTCTTGCCGTTCGGCAAGAGATAGCTGGGACTTTTGTGGGGCTTAAAAAAGAGCTAGGCAAAAACGCTGGGTAGTTGGGACTTCAAGGGGGTTAGGTTTCAGAGAGTTTTGAGCACTCGGCAAGGGGTATTAGGCGTCCCCAGCGTGCGCCGTCTCTACAACTTGTGTTTTCTTTGTAATCCTTGTGGTTTCGGGGCTGGTGTGGGGTGCTGTATTGAGCTGAGCCTTCGAGGTGTGCAGATTTGGAAGCCGGGCTGTGCTTGAAGGGAGGCTAGGCCGAATCTTCCAAGGGAGGCTACCGGGCTTCGTGAGCATCCTTACGGTGTGAGCACCGTTTCGGCAAGGAGTTTGGCCTTGAGTCAAGCCTTGGGGCCGGGCCATTGTGGCTGGGACCGTGGCACGGCTCAGAGCCGGGCTCTCCGTTGAGGTGCGTAATGTTGATGAGCCTTCCAATTGTTTCTGCACGCTCCTTGCCGTTCGGCAAGGAGGACTTGGTTTGGTTTGGGGGTGGGAGCCGGGGTCTGATTTTTCTGGTGTTTTTTTTTGTTTTTTTTGTTTGGGCTCAAGTCTTGCTGAAGCAAAAATAGGTGCTGAGCTGGAAATTGTAATTTCAATCTTAACCAATGGTTCTTGTTGTCTTGGCAGATTTGGCTAGCGGGTGCCTTGAGCAGTTTGGAGCTGGGACCTGTTTGCAACCTTTGGGTGTCTAGAGCAAATCAGAGCAGGGGCTGGGTGATTAAGCGAGTCGGGACCTCTTTGTGCACGGGTATGTACCTTGGGTCACGTTCGATAGCTGGGCTCTTGGGCTTGGCCTTTGGTGAGCTTAGGAATTTGCGGTTGTCTTTTTGTTTTTTAAGCTCAGCCGGATCCGCTGGGTGCTGGAGCATTCGGCAAGTAGAGATTTGAAGGTGCCTTGAGCACTTTGGTTGAGCTGGGCACTCGGGTCTCTTGAAGTCATTTTTACAAATTCGGAGCTAGGCTCCTTGAGAGTTATGGGGCTGAAGCGCTGATCTCTGGGTCCTTGCAGCTGGGCTGCTTGGGCAGATTTGGCTAGCGGGTGCCTCGAGCAGTTTGGCCTTGGATAATCGACAAGGGCATAGGCTTTTGGCATCCTCCGTAGCTGGGCTTGCCTTAGAGTTAGGCCTCCTTGATTGCGACTGTGAGCTAGGCTTTTGTGAATTTTCACTTAGCTGGGCCATTTGAGGTTGGGCCAATTTGGCAAGGCTTGGTGATTTGAGGCTGGGCAAAATTGAATTGTGAGGCCACCCACTTTGCATTTCACTTCAACTTCTTCCTTTCCTTCGTTTTTTTTTTTTTTTTTTTTTTTTTTTTTTTTGACTAATTTGAAATTGCAAATGCTGTGTAGGTACTCTTGTAACCCTAGGGCCTAGGGTTTGGGAGGGAAGGTGAAAGGTTGCTAGGGTTTCTCTTGTAACCCTAGGGCCTTATAAATAGGAACTTGGAACTTGGAGTGACGTAGGCATCATACTTGGAGATTTTTTGAGAAAGATTGTCAGAAAGTGAGAAGGAGAGAAAGATTTCTGGTGAGATTTTGGTGGTGGTGCAAACAAGGTTAGACCTCATTTCCCTTGAATTCTCGAAATGAAATTCAACTTTTTGTATAAACATGTTGAAGAGTATGATGAACACCTTGAGCATGAGTATGAACATGTTGAATGTATGCATCCAGATCAAAAAGCATGTAGAGGCTGTCCAATTTTGTGTTTTTGTGCTTAGATCCTCTTTGCATGTGCATTAGTTCCTTTTTCTTGTTTCTGCATGTTGTAGATGTCTGAGAGTGAAGAGGCCAGTGAGTATGTTTGTTCTGAAGAGGAGAGTTCCCAGACAGATAGTTTTGTAGAAGGGCTTATAGAAGCTAGGATGGGAGTGCATGAGGGTGAGATGGCTGGGCCATCAGTAGAGTCTGGGTCAGAGGCATATAGGAAGATGCAGAAGAAGTATAAAGTGTTAGAAACCAGTGTTGATCGGGTTCTAGCCTTGGCACATACACCGGAGGTGGGCTCGAGCAATCAGACATCACCATCAGAGTCTGTGGGTATAGCCATGGTTTTCAGCTGCAGAGGGGTGGACATCCGGGTTGGTGTTCCGTTGGGAAATCGGAATACACTCACAGAAGCCAAGTTGGTTGAGCTTCGGACAGATTATAGTGTGCCATCCTATGTGGGCCTGAGGCTACCTAGTGCTGCGGATGTAGTGAGATATCCTCCGGAGGGTTCAGTGATGATATTCACTGATATGTACCAGCATGGTCTCAAACTACCATTTCATCCTTGGGTGCAGATGATGCTGGCCAAGTTGGGGTATGCGCCGGGGCAATACAATCCCAACTTTTGGCTACTTCTGCATGGAGTTTACATTGCATGGTGGTTGGTTGGGTTGGGGGAGCCAACATTTGAGCAGTTTATGTACTTGTATTCGATCTCCAAGCAACAGGGGACCTTTGGCTGGGTACAAGCCAATTACCGGAAGGCAAAGGAGAGAGGTTACTTTATTGGGCATAAGCCGAGTACGCAGAAGTCTTGGCGGAACAGGTGGTGCTTGGCCTATGGTGATTGGGAGTGTCCTCCAGGGAAGATCGTCTCCAGACATATTCCAACCCACTTCCAGTCGATAGGTCCTTAGCCCCATCCTTTAAGACTAGTTGTGTTGTAGTGTTTTGACGCTTGGGTCTTTATTTATGTTTTATTGTTTTGCTTGTGCAAGCATAAATGGCTAAGTTGATATCTGAACTGTGGTGCAGGTTCGGTGAAGTGGGGACCGATCTCCAAGGAGCGAGAAGACGAGGTTGAGAGAGTGAGGTCACTGTTGTCGGAGACCCAGCGTGAGCGTAGAAACTTAGTCACCCAGAAGAACCTGTACGAGTCCGGACTCTTGCAAGGGAGTAAGTACCTGGGTCACTATTGCTGTTTGTCTTATGATTCATTTTGTAGTTGAAACTGACTTGGCTTTTGATGTGCAGTGGCAGGGATCATAAGGGGGAGCACGAAGGTGGCCATGGATCTGGATGATCCCGAGATGCAGAAACGGCTGAGGGAGTCTCGGGCCAAGAAGGCCGAGAAGGGAGGTGCCCAACAGGCTGCTGGGAGGCGTTCCAGAGATGAGGAGGGCCTAGTCTCTGATGTGCTGGGAAAGAAGAGAGCGCTGGAGGAAGCTCACCGGAGCGTGATGGGGACAGGGCCGAGGCTTCCTCCCTTTGACCCGCAGGCGCCGCCGAAGCTCCCCTTTGGTATGGATGATGTTTATGCCGAGGGGGTAGAGAAGGTGGACTTCTCTGGACTGCGTCGGCAGAAGAAGGAGGTGAACTTGGCCATGCATCGGCAGGAGGTTCCCTTGGTGAACGTCTTCCTGGAAGGCGTGAAGAGTGACCCAGAGGTTCTGGCGAGGACCCCGGCTACCTCCTATGCAGATCGGGCCCAGAAGACGCTCCTGACCCAGGCCTATGTAAGTTGGCTTGCCTTAAGACTTTGTTCATATAATTTGAATTTGCCTTGAACTGATAATGTTGTGTGTTGCAGGCTTATGGTGAGATGTACGTGAATATGGCCAAGGCAGATAAAGAGATCCAGAGGTTGAAGAGGCGCAATGAGATGGCCAAGGATAAGGTAGCGGAGGCGCAGGAGGCCATCCGAGAGAAGAACACCCTGGTGCTGCAGAAAGCGGCGATGGCCAAGGAGATGGAAGAGCTGAAGCGGTCGAGGGCCGAGGAGGTAGCTGCTGCCCGGGTCGAAGCGATCGAGTCGTTTCGGGTTCGGATGAGTTTTTTTTTTTTTTTTTTTTTTTTTTTTTTTTTTTTTTTTTTTTTTTTTTTTTTTTTTTTTTTTTTTTTTTTTTTTTTTTTTTTTTTTTTTTTTTTTTTTTTTTTTTTTTTTTTTTTTTTTTTTTTTTTTTTTTTTTTTTTTTTTTTTTTTTTTTTTTTTTTTTTTTTTTTTTTTTTTTTTTTTTTTTTTTTTTTTTTTTTTTTTTTTTTTTTTTTTTTTTTTTTTTTTTTTTTTTTTTTTTTTTTTTTTTTTTTTTTTTTTTTTTTTTTTTTTTTTTTTTTTTTTTTTTTTTTTTTTTTTTTTTTTTTTTTTTTTTTTTTTTTTTTTTTTTTTTTTTTTTTTTTTTTTTTTTTTTTTTTTTTTTTTTTTTTTTTTTTTTTTTTTTTTTCTTCCCGTCTATATACAACGTCGTTACCATGAAAAAGACCGCCGTGTTTCATAATTTATACGTCTTCATTAAAAAAATTAACGTCGTCTAATTCATATATCTTAACGTCGACAAATTTAATGGACTTCAAATACCGTCGTGAATTCATCCTTTTCCACTTCGTTTATGAAAGAAACATGCGACGTGGTAAATTCATGACGACGTCGTCTTTTGTAACGTTCAGGGTAAAGATCTCGTCTTTTAGACGTCGGTATTATGGGGATTGGAGTCGTGTTATTTTGAATTACATGGCGGTTCTTTATGCTTGTCCGAAGTGTTATCCTGGATAATTGTTTCACAATAGCGTCGTGGTTCTTCATTGTTACGTTGCTTTAAGACGTCGGTAAATATATTGCGGTCGTTGAATGCTCCAAAACGTCGTTATTTATTAGAACAGACGTTTGTTTTTCACATTTTTATCAAAACCGTCGTGTTTGTAATCTGGAACCAGTAATTTTTGTACTGATTGTTTTGTGGCCAAAACCTGTATAATGAAAGTGAAGAAATCACATTACAATATATTACAAAATTAATGTCATACACTGCCAATTACATAAAGCATCATTCAACCCACATATCTTCACACCCATCTCGAATATTTTGACTCCCTAACTCACCCACCACTTCATCAAATGTGTCAACATTTGGCATCCCTCTAGTAAATGGCTCACACTCAATTCTCACATCACCTAAGACATCATCACCAATAACATCATTATATTCTCTATTAGGCATTGATAACACTACCGACCAACCACGATGCATCGGGTTGTCAACAAAAAATACTTGTTTGACTTGAGAAGCCAAAACAAATTGGTCATTCCTATGTCCAATTTTACTCAAATTTACAAGGGTAAATCCAAGTTCGTCCACTACAAGACCAGAAGTATTATCTATCCAATCACACCTAAAGACTGGGATTGTAAACTTTTGGTAGTCAAGGTCCCAAATTTCTTGAATGACACCATAGAAACCCATATTTGAGAGAATTGGGTTTTTTATCCTTGGCACTAGCAACTTGCATAGTATGTGCAAGTAAATAAACTCCACTATTTTGAGTTGTCCGCACATCATCTTGTGCCTTGATGTTGAATTTAATACCTTTAATAAGATAGCTCCTATATAATGGCACTGCCATGTTTGGACCAGCTGCTAGCCACCTTAAATTTTCTGATACGCCATGATTGTCTTCCTCATTAAGTTCACTTTGAACCTGCAAATTAATCATAACTTAATTCAATCTAACATAAAAAGAAGAAAATTAAAAGTCCAATATGTTATTCAATAACATAAACCTTGAAGCGTAGCCATTGAATGAAAGTGCTATTGTGCTTATCCTGCAGCCACTTTGTTCTCTTTCTAAATTTTGGATAAGCGGTCTTGATGTGGATCATATGTTGCCTACATGACACAAAAATTCAAGTATTACGGTCCCAAACATATAAGATAAACATAAGAAATAATTTAAAATGGAAACTTAAAGAATAAAACTCATACGTACTCGATATAAGGTAGGACTTCCTCCGTATTCTCCAAGACATATAGATGTGCTTGGTTCAACAGGTCCCGATCAACTACGCTCACTGTGCAACCTGATAATGGCTTTGAAACTCCCATCTTTTGGCTTGAAGGCACTCCAACTGTACTAACATCAGATAAATGCTTGGTACAAAACTCTACAGCTTCTTCAGCTATATACCGCTCAGCAATGCAACCTTCGGGACGAGTACGATTCTGAACATACCCCTTTAGCACTTTCATATATCTTTCAAACGTATACATCCATCTAAAATATACTGGCCCACATAGACGAACTTCTCTGACAAGATGTACTACTAGATGAACCATGATATCAAAGAATAAAGGGGGAAAGTACTTCTCAAGCAAACACAAGATGTACTACTTGAAGAAAAAGCACAAACGAGTTATTGCATACCTTGCAGGCTTCTCCAAAACAGAACGAATTGCCACAGGGAGCAATTGTTGCATTAAGGTATGACAATCATGTGATTTAAGGCCAAGAAGTCTTTAATCTTGTAAAGATACAAGATTTTTTATATTTGAAGAATAACCTTCAGGGACCTTCATACCATAGAAAGAATTGCAAACCTTTCTCTTCTCTACTCTTGACAAATTCCAAGGCCCGGGAGGCAAACGAGTACATCTTTCTCCATACTCGGGTTGCAAATCAGTTTTGACCCCCATGTTCAATAAATCTAATCGAGCAGCAATCCCATCTTTATTTTTTCAGGGATCTCCAGCAATGTACCAATGATACTATCGCAAACATTCTTCTCAATGTGCATAACATCTGGGAATGCCTCATAGGAAGGTATTTCCAATACTCGAGATCAAAGAATATTGATTTCTTCTTCCAACAAACTCTGTCACCATCTTCAACCATATGCAACACTTCTTCTCCAGTTAATGGCTCGGGAGGCGTGCAACTTAGAGAACTGTGGGGATTGAATCCATCAGATGAAAGAGCCAATCTCAAGTTTCTCGGCTCATTACCAAACTCGGGGCATTTATCATCAAGAAGTTTCCAAGACGGGGGAATCCGCCGGATGAGACATTTGACCGTCAATTGATTTTCTAGCAGCATGCCAAGTCAAACTCTTAGCTGTCTCATGTGATCGAAACATCCTTTTAAACCTTGGAATTGGAGGAAAATACCACACCACCTTCGCTGGCACACCCTCTTTCAAGATTGAATCTTTGCCTTCCTTCCACCTTGAGATACCACAAGTAGGACAATTAGTTGAATCCTCATACTCCTTCCTATACAAGATGCAATCATTGGGGCATGCGTGCATTTTCTCATAACTCAGCCCCAATGCACACAAAGTCTTTTTTGCCTCATACATAGAGGCCGGTATTGTATTTCCTTCTGGAAGCAAATCGCCTTGAAGTATCAATAATTCTGTAAAACAGACTTCACTCATCCCATGTTTTGCCTTCAAATTATACAACTTTAATAATGCCGATAACTTCGTGTACTTTCTACAACCAGGGTACAATGGTTGATCTCCATCCCCAATCACATTGGCAAACTCATAAGGATCAGATCCAAAATCACCAAAATCATTATCATCCATCTCTATTTCTTCAGACACAAAACTGTACCTACTATGTTCATCATCTTCTTCAACATTTCTACTAGCATTAGTAGTTGCTTCCCAAGGTTCTCCGTGAAATGTCCAATTCTTATAGCTTTGGTCAACTCCATTAAAGTATAAGTGATCCCTTATAATTCCAACCCCAAACAATTTCAAATTCACACATTTAACACATGGACAACAGATATGTGTTGTAGTTAGAAGATTTTCTACAGAAAAGTTCAAAAATGCTTCCACCCCTAACTCATATGCCTTTGATCTTCTATCCGAGTGCATCCATGACTTATCCATCTCCGACACTATACCCTATTATATATAATAAAGTGAAAAGACAAGCAATGACCATCACTATAGCAGATTATATAAAGTTCTAATAGCAAGTAATATACAACACAGACGACGGTTTTTAAACAAAAACATACGTATTTGACATATATAGACGACGGATTTTCAACAAACGTCATCTAATTATAACCACGACGGTAGCTAAAGAACATCGTCGTGTATAAGTAATACAAACGACAGTTTATGAAAAAACCGTCATCGTATGCCTAAAAACGCGTCGATATCCCAGTTTATTTTCAAGATCCCAAAACCCTATTAAGAACACAACATATACATGAAACCAAGCATGAAACCAACATATACTAAGCATGAAAACAATAAATCCATTCCCAATTCAGCATAACAGGGAGTGATTAAAAGATCCGACAAAATTAAATCCATTCCCTATTCAACATAACAGAGAGTGATCAAGAAAACATTAAATAGAAAATCCATGAACCCATACCTCCAACAACATTATTAACAGATCGCAAAACATATATCTAAAACCCTTTAACAAAACAACATAATATCATTCAATGAATTTACAAGGGGAAGAGAGGGTTTGTACTTACAGGTTGACAGAGCTCACAGATTATGGCCTACTTGGATTCGACAGAGCCTGGAGAGCCCAACTTTGAATTAGAGATGAAGTGAGAGAGTGAAATGTTATGTTGCGCGAAATCTGAAAATTTTAGGGTTTAGGGTTAGAAGTATAAAACTAAGAGCCAAACCTGAAAATTTTAGGTCCCGCGAATATTTTTAGAAAGCGCGCTCTTTAAAACATCGACCGAAAAAACAACCGTCATTAAAAGTTCACATTAAACATGACGCTTATTACATTAAAAACGTCGTGGTAAAACTATATACGATGCAAAATCAAACAGAAGTCGTCAAAACTATGACAAACCATGGCGAAAGTTCTACCAAAACCGACGTAAATATAGTATTCCACGACTCAAACACTGAACATAACGCCGTTTATTTTGAAGAAACCACGTCGTCTATTGAACCAATAGGACTCGTCAACAACAAACCATGTCGGGGTTAATTAATTAACGACGTTGTAAATAGTAATAAACGACTCACCTGTAAAAAGTACGTCGTTAAAAGAGAAACCATGGCGGATGTTTCACCATTCGACGTAAACTCTATATTCCACGACTCAATCACTGTCGTTAAAAGTAATACCCTAAACTTTAAAACCCTAAATTATATATTTTTAAAATATAATTTTATAAAATTGTTTATGGTTTTATAGCCTAATATATAACAAACATAAAACCTAAACCCCAAAAATTATACTTTAACCCTAAACCCTAATAAATAACAACCCTAAACCCCAAACCCCAAACCCCAAACCATCAAACTATAAGTGATGTTATGACTCATCAAAACAATTTTATTTTGGGTGGTCATTTTAAACCTTTATTAGTCAAATTGCATTTTTTTTGAGGTTTAGGGGGAAGAAAATATATCAATGACTTCATAGGAGTTGACGTTGCATTTTTTGGATTTATTTTAAATTTATTTTGAATATTTTGAATTAAAAATAATAAAATATTCTTATATCAACAACAAACCACGTCGGGGTTAAGTAATTAACGACGTTGTAAATAATAATAAACGACTCACTTGTAAAAAGAACGTCGTTTAAAAGAGGAACCATTGCGGATTTTTCACCATCCGACGTAAACTCTATATTCCACGACTCAATCACCGTCGTTAAAAGTAATACCCTAAACTTTAAAACCCTAAATTATATATTTTTAAAATATAATTTTATAAAATTGTTTATGGTTTTACAGCCTAATATATAATAAACATAAACCCTAAACCCCAAAAATTATATTTTAACCTTAAACCCTAATAAATAACAACCCTAAACCCCAAACCCTAAACCCTAAACCATCAAACTATAAGTGATGTTATGACTCATCAAAACAATTTTATTTGGGTGGTCATTTTAAACTTTTATTACTCAAACTGCATTTTTTTGAGGTTTAGGGGGAAGAAAATATATCAAAGACCTCATAGGAGTTGACGTTGCATTTTTTTGATTTATTTTAAATTTATTTGAATATTTTGAATTAAAAATAATAAAATATTCTTTATCAACAACAAACCACGTCGGGGTTAAGTAATTAATGACGTAAATAATAATAAACGACTCACTTGTAAAAAGGACGTCGTTTAAAAGAGAAACCATGGCGGATGTTTCACCATCCGACGTAAACTCAATATTCCACGACTCAATCACCGTCGTTAAAAAGTAATAACCTAAACCCTAAACTCTAAATATATAATAAACGACTTACTTGTTCAAAGGACGTCGTTTAAAAGCAAAACCATGACGAAATTTTCACTAAAACGACGTCAAATGGACGTACAAACGGTATATCACGTCTAAATATCCTTTTACGTCGGTTTTTGACATAATTATGTCGTTGGAAAGTTATACACGTCGGTTACGCAATTTATTTTTCTTTTAAATTATGAAAACCTCAACAATTTTTAGGGAAAAAAAGGATGTATATTATAGACAAATTTGTACATTATATATTATAGACAAATTTGTACATATAAAAATATCAAGTGTTCCAAAAATCCTCTACTCCATATGAAGGCAAACAAGATCTGCCCATTCATTCCGGACTTCATCAATGGCTGCTTGGGGGTATGGCGCTTGCTCTTTTCCCTTGGCAAACTGCAATCCATAAACAATGATTATTAAGCTTTACAAAATAAAAAGAAATTCAGTCACACACGACGCTATTTTTCATAACCGACGTAGTATATCAATTCAACGACGGTAATTTTAAAGTACCGTCGTTGATAATACAAAAAACCACATAAATGTTTCTGAAAATTTTCTTCTTACCTTCTTCTCAAACTCCAAGGAAGGATCCATGATGATGTCCCTCATGAAGCGCATCACATAATACCCGCATTCGACACTTCTGGGTTGCTTTGGTGTGCCTGGTAGAGTTTTCCAAATTGGTGCTTTACGGCCTGGTCTGCCTATGTGGGAATTATAAATTTTTAAAGCACTGTTCATGATGTTTTGGCCTGCCTCATCAACCACACGATTTCCAGGCAGAGGATCCAGAAAATAGACGGTTTCCCTCTTTGCTCTCACAATCAGCAAGACCCAATGACGGCTGCACAAAATTAACATAAAAAACGACGGTTAATATAAAAAGTCAGCGCAAGAAAACAAACGACGGTTATTTATAAAAATCATACAAACAAAATCCTGTTAAGGAGACTAACCCTGGATTGTAAGGCATCATGAAAATCTGTTCACCATCTGTTTTCTGAAGTCAACTGGCTACAATTCGTGATCTGTCAGTTAGTGACCCAGCGTTGGCACTAACTTGAGCAGGGTCGATAAAGCCAACCATGCTGCACATATTTGCTTCTCTCAAACGATCATATAAGCACCTAAATATATAAAACAAAGATATATAAAAAAAGTCAGCCCAAAAAACACACGACGTTTATTTATAAACAAACGACGTATTATACAATTTCACACGACGAACTGTAAAAAAATAACTACGTGGTTAGTGGTTTCAAACAACGCAATAAATAAACCACCGACGTCTTATGCTATAATGTTTTTTTTTCTCAAACACAAATTTGAGTGTGAATTAAATATTTGATCAGGACAAACCTCATATATACTGCAACCACAGTAGCCCCAATTTCTTCCATGCCTGCAAACTGTGTAATATCTTCATGCAAGACGAAGGTACTGCGATCTGCACCAAACACCTCCTTCTCAATGTTGAAGGTCAAGATCTTCCCCTGAGGCTTTAGTGTCGTTTCCACATAACGACAAAGGGATTGTAAGGAAGATGGCACCTCCACATTTGAATAATCAACTACTTCATTACCCTGTTTAAAGAAATAAAGCAAAATAAAATGACGTGGTTATTCAATAAAAACGAGGTTTAAATAAAAAAACGTCGTCTGATAATAATTTAAACGACGGTAATAAAAAACAGTCGTGTTAAATAATTTATTACGTCATAGAAAACAAATTCCGACGTCTAATTTGAAAACAAACGACGGTTTTAAAAAAAAATATCGACGTCTGAAATTTGAAAAACAAATAAAAAGGCAAAGTTATGAGAATATACCTCTTTGTCATGCTTTTCTTCATCTTGTTTTCTTCTTTCTTCTCTTCATCATTTTGTCTTCCTTTTTCTCTTCATCTTTTTTTCTTTTTTTTTCTTCCTTCTTCTCTTCATCTTTTTTTTCTCCCTTCTTCTCTTCATCTTGATTTTCTAAAGCCCCAGATTTCTGTTTTAAGTAATAAAGAAATATATATATAAGACAGATTGTACAGAAAGTAAAAAAATTAAATCAAAACGTCGTGGTAAGGCATAACATAAGACGGTATGTAAGAATTATGGACGTCTTCAAATTATTAAACGATGGTAAATAATAAACGTCGTGGGATTTGTCTATTACGTCGGTAAGGACTAAAACCGTCGTCTAAAAACCACAAAGTACGACGTGGTATTTAAATACAAACGACGGTTTATTTATAAAATCGTCGTGGTATGATTTTAAAACGATGGTTTTCTTCATGCTGTTCCCCATTTTTGGCAGTATCATCCTCTAAATGTAGGGATCTCACATCAGCCCCAGAACAGCTTGCTTTGTCAGACATTGGATTTTTGGGACTTTGCTCTAGACCTTGGTTTTGACAGGGGCTAGTTTTCGGTTTAAGCATGCTTGGATCAAAATTGGGGATAAGTTGGGAAAGCTGACTCAGTAAATGTTCCCTCTCAGCCTCTACCAATTGCTTGGTTCTAGCCTCCATCCTTAAAGTCTCTTCCCTTGATCTAGCTTCCATCTTCTTAGTCTCTTCTTGAAGGACAATTCTTACACTTTCCTTCAATTGATCGGCAAACTTTACCTCTGTTGTCTAGGTAAATTGAAGTATTGCCTAGGGAAAATCCCAGCACCTACCCCTCTTACTCTCCCTGGATGCTCGGGACCCAAAGCCAAGGTCAACACATCATTACTGCCAGATACACTAAGACTGCCTTCAGCCACTTGTTTTTGCAATTCATCCTAAAACAAAGACATATAAAAAAGTCAGCACAAGAAAACACACGACGATTATTTATAAACAAACAATGCGTTATATAATTTCACACGACGCAATAACATAGAAATCGACGTTATAATATATTTATAACGACGTTACTTAAATAACGATGTGGTTAGTTGTTTCAAACGACGCAATAAATAAACCTCCGACGTCTTATGCTATAATTACAGAAAACATAGCAGTGATTCCATATTCAGACCTTTAACGACGTTTTTTAAAACATTTCGATGTAGTAATATCATTCACACGACGCAAAAATTAACCACCGACGTCTTATTCTATAATTACAGAAAACAGAGTTGTGATTCTAGATTTAGATCTTTCACGACGTTTTTTAAAACATTTCGACGTAGTAATATCATTCACACGACAGAAAAATATAACATAAGACGTAATAAAAATTATACACAGTTTAATAAAAATTTAAAACAGAGTGTGTAGGCTTACAATTAATTTTGCTTTCTCTGCCACCTTTGGATTCGGGATGTTACCATGTTTGTCCTGTCTAGCTTTCTTCCATAAGGTAGATCGATCAATTTCTACCCCAGGCATGGTTTCCTCCAATTGATCCTCCAAACCAGCATATCCTTTTCGAGACAATCGATGATTGTACTCAAGTTTCTCCCTAATCTGTGAATGTTGAGAATGCACAGACTCAAATTCTTTGGATAACCTTGAAGCTACAAAGGCATCCCATTCTTCTTTCTCTATGAATTTATATATTTCAGGGGGTTGGCTTAATTTCTCCCTCTCCTTGATGTATGGAAGGATATAATGCCTCGTCAGTGTAGACTTAAAATCCTTCCATTTCTTGGCAGCAGAAGATAACACCAAGGTCTTGCCCCCTTGACCTACCACAAAAGCCATGTCAACGGCTTCCCAAATCTGCTCCTTTATATCCTTGGGGATTTCAGCCCATTTCTTGTCCACAAGTGGGACTCTGGAGCGTGCCAACACACCAATGTAGGACTGCATCTCAGTATGTGCAGGGCCACATCCTTTCCCCCTTTTATTGTACTCAACAACTGGCTTGATTTTCTGAAATTTTCTCTTCACAACACGAGGCATTGTGCTCATACCTTGACCTGACTTTGAATCCTCAGAAATTGTTGTCGTGCTGGTTGGTTCTATCTCAGCAAATGAAACAAACTTCATCTTCTTCAAGGGCTTGTCTTGAGGAGTTACCATTCCAAGCTCCTTACCTCCATTTTTTTTGGAGCCAGAGTCCTTACTTTGGTCTTGAGAAACCATGGTTACATAAAAAACAAACCTGCAAGTGAAAATATTTCAGGAAAAAATTAAGAACACAAACGGCGGTTATTTATAAAATACGACGTATGATAAGATTTTACACGACGCAATAACATAACATCAGACGTAATAAATGTTTAAAATAAGAGTACTTAAACAACGACGAAACAATATTAAAGAAGACGTAATAAGAACTTATTACGGCGATATTTACACGACGTCGTGATATTTAAATTCACACGACGTGAATATTAATATAACGTCGTGTTATGGACATTCACACGACGTAAATAATAAGATACCGTCGTCTGTATAAGAATCCAAAAACGTTTTTCTTTCTCTGTGAATGTTTGATTGCAGGTTTAATTTCTCTGAAACGTGGTTTTTGTTTTTCCTAATTTGATAAAATACAAAAAAGAAAGAAAGAAATGTTTGGCATCTTATATAGACGACGGTATCTTAGTATAACGTCGTGGTATTAACATTCACACGGCGTCAATAATAAGATACCATCGTCTATATAAGATACCAAACCCTACTTTCTTTGTCTTTGTATTTTATCAACTTAGGAAAAACAAAAACCATGGTTTAGAGAAATAAAACCTGCAATTAAACAAGCAAATAAAAAATCGACCATCATTTTAAAAACAACTTAGATCAATTTTAAGACGACACTAGGACGACTGACGAACCGTCGTGGTCTACATATTTAACCACGTAAATAAGAAGCTACCGTCGTCTTATTTAGTTGAAGTAGTTGTGTTCAAAGTTGGAAACTTTCCCTCTTTGTCTGTGTATTTTATCAAACTTGGAAAGAATAAAAATGATTTTCGCCAGAAAAAAGGTAAAAAGATTTTCAAAACAAAAACCGTATGAGCATGCAAAATAGCAACAAAAATAGTGAGAAATGAAAGCTTACCTTTTGCGTGCAATGAAAGCTTTCTCTCGGAGTTTGGTGTTTAAGTTCAGAGACGACGACGAAGACGAGAGGAAGACGATGAGATACTCTAACAGTGCTCTGACAAGGAAAAAAGACGAAAAGTTTTCTCTCGGAAATTGAAATTTTTTCTCGGGTTTGGAAACAGTGCATGTGTAAGTCAGGTAGACGAAAAGTTGTATATATATACAAACCGTTTCATAATAATAAGACGGCGGTTTACATAGAACGACGACGTATAAATAAATAAACTACGACGATAATTTGAACTTAGGACGTGGTAAATAAATACGACAGTAGTGTTGTAGGTACCGCCGTAGTAAACTCCTAAATAAAAGTCGATAAATCAATATCTTGCGTCATGGTAGAAGTATTTAACACGACGGTTTTTTGTAATTTACCGACGTTGATTTTTATAATATACGTCGTTTTTTTGTAATATACCGACGTTGAATTTATAAATAGATGGCGGTTTTTGTGTAAGGACCGCCGTGGGTTTTAAAAATTTATTGTATAAATTTGTCGCTTTCTTTCAGTTTCAGTTTTCATTTAGGTTTCCAAGTTCTTCCTCTCTCACAGACACTCTCTCTCACATCTCGAAGACAATAATTTGGATGTCTTTCTCAAAGAGAAATGGAGCTTACTCTCCAACAAATCTATGTCCACAAGAGGAAGCTTGTCAATCCTGATAGGAGACTTAGTGCTTCTGAATACTCCTTGCTTTCCATCAAAAGAGATGCAAGCTGGCCTCCACTCGCTGTCGAAGGAAAGTTCGCTTCTCAGGGAAACCTGAAGATCAAATGTGAGCCTCTGCTCGATTTTCTTGGCTAAGAAGATCCGTCAGATTTGTGATAGAAGAAGATGGGTTATCGGCATTAGTGAAGAAGATCCGTAGAGCTTCTGAAGAAGAAGATGGGTTTTCAAGAATGCGATAAAGAATAGAAATGGCTTCAGATGGCCTCTAAAGCCTGAGCAATCGAATCAGATGGCTTCAGCTATCAATGCTTTGAACTATCCAAGTCCTGCAGAAAGAGAACGGTTAAAGAAATTGAAACAACGACGGTTTTCTGTTATACCGTCGTCTTTTTTTAAACTAAGACGACGCAATATTTTTTTCGCAACATGGATTCGTTTTTAAAACGTCTTATGTGTAATATAACCGACGTGGATTTTATTTTTATAATTATAAATATAATTTTTTTTCCCTTGTTCTTTCAGTTTATTTTTCAAAAACAGTGCCTTATAAATAGAGTTTTTTTTCACGAGGAAATTAATGTTCTAGAATTTGCAAAGTTTCTTTTTTGGGTGACTGATTTAAATCAAATACGAATATAAAAACGACGACTGTTTGTTGTTATACCGTCGTCTTTTTTAAACTAAGACAACGCAATATTTTTTTCGCGACGTGGATTCGTTTTTAAAACGTCGTTATGTGTAATATAACCGACGTGGATTTTATTTTTATAATTATAAATAGAATTTTTTTTCCCTTGTTCTTTCAGTTTATTTTTCAAAAACAGTGCGTTATAAATAGAGTTTTTTTTTCCCGAGGAAATTAATGTTCTAGAATTTATAAAGTTTCTTTTTTGGGTGACTGATTTAAATCAAATACGAATATAAAAACAACAACTGTTTTTTGTTATACCGTCGTCTTTTTTTGTCGTCTTAAGTAGACTAAGACGACGTAATGTATTTGTTCCCCGACGTGGATTATTTTTGTTAAACGTCATTAGGTGTAATATAACCGACGTGGATTTGGTTTTTTAATTATAAATAGGGTTTTTTTTCACGGGTGCTTTCAGTTTTAGTATTCGATTAGGGTTTCAACTTCTTCTTGCCCCTTTCTCTGTCTCACCTCATCTCTTAGGAGGCAATTGTTTGAATGTTGGTGTGTGTGTATGTTTGTGTATCTGATTCACAAACATACACACATCACCAATTTTCAAAAAATTGTCTCTCTGATTGCAAATCTGTGGCTGCCGTCGTGAAGTTTTAGGAGGCAATTGTTTGGGCGTTGATGTGTGTGTGCGTTTGTGTAGATACACAAACGCACACACATCATCAACTTCCAAAAAATTGTCTCTCTAATTGCAAATCTGAGGCTGCCGTCGTCAAATTTCAGAAGCAATTTTTTGGATGTTAATGTGTATGTGCGTTTGTGTATCTCAAAGACACAAATACACATACATCATTAACCTCTAAAATATTGTCTTTTTGGTAAGATTATGATGAGGAACAAAGTTCCATCTTGTAAGATTTCCTAACCCTTGTGATCTCAGAAAAATCTGATTATGTCGGCGGTTTTCTATATAAACCGTCGTGGTTATTTCAATTCTTGTCATTAAGTATATCTACCGACGTAGGATAACAAAATCCAAGAAATAAATTGTTAAAAAAAATTCTTATTCAGACGACGGTTTAAATATAATGTATGACGTATAAAGTGAATAAATACGACGTTAAATTGTATAATACATCATTAAATGAAAACCCCAACGTGGTGAGATTTAAAGATACCGTCGTAGAAATACGAGAAAGACGTCGTTATATTTATCTTTGCCGTAGTTGTACATTAATTTAATACGGCGGTATTTTGTATTTTACCGCTGTGGATTTATTTCTAATTATACGGCGCCTTATATGAAATCTTGGTCGTGTTAATTTCTGGGTAAAAACGGCGGCTTTTTTTGAAAGACGGTTTTTTAATTAGGTACGTCGTGTTTTAGGAACAGCCATTTGAATCTCCATTTTTTAGTTGTCTAAGGTGTTATTACACGGCGGTTTTCACTTAGACCGTCGTTTTTTTCTGGTCGTCTTTGTCACTTTTTGTAGTAGTGATGGTAGTTGTTTAAATTCAAAAAACAAAACTTCTTCCAAGTATCTTAAGTCTTGTGTTTGTATGTCAATAAGCTTATGGAAACAATTCCCATACACATTTACTTAAGACTTTTGGCCAAACCCCAATGAGCTTCTAATTTTGGGTCTTGTGACACTTAAATCATAATATTTGAGACCCAACTATTTGAGATTCTCTTTAACTATTACCAAGGCCCAAATGCATTTTTACACGTAGTAAATCATTCACATCAAATCAATCAAATTGATTTCCTCATTCTCATTTGTATTACTCAAAGTTAACTATTTAAGGCGTGCGATCCATTAGGTTATACTTAGCAAGGTAGTGGGAAAATATTAGAACTTTTTCTAATCAACTGGAATTAAAACCCCTTTTTAATTCTTCTTTTATATGGATCGATCACAATCAATCCTAAGACTTTCACGAGCCAAGAGTGACATCTAGGAATATATCAAGGCTACCCAAGCTAACGAGAATAGATGAAGAACCTATTCAATTGGAATTGCAATGCAATACGATCCATCTCTTATACAAAATTTGAAATCATATTATTAGGATACGGATTGATTATGTCAAACCCCTAATATGATTTATAAACTCATGTGATTCAAAAGAAGATTATTAAGAATCACATTCTAAATCAATCTCAAAATACTTTGGCCAAAGATTTGCTGAATCGCATCTGGAAACATTCTTTTTCTTTATCGAAGGTAGAGATTCCTTATTGTACATTCACATGCCCCTATGATGAATTAAGAGACCCCAACACTTAAGACAAATATTTTACGGCTTGCCTTTGAGAGCTATCAAAGATCAATAACGCATCACAGGACAACCATGATGCCTCAGGTCTAAGGACTAATTTGCATTATTGCAATTATGAGTTCTCGTTTGACTTGTAGATAAATACTCCATATGATAACTACGATTGATCGCGTTCAATGTACTCATTCAATAATGAGCACCCACATACTTGTATTAGTGTCAACTACAAAATAAAATCCCAAACTATTAAGGAAACAAAATAAAAATCTCCTAAAGCAAAACAAAATCCCAAACTATTAAGGAAACAAACTAGGAAAAAACCATTCTTTGACTTGGAAACATGTCAGCCAACTTGCACGCACGTTTTGGGGTCATTTCACTTCCTAGAAAATTCTGAAAAAAATATGAGAAACGTAACTTGATCTCTAAGATTTCCAAGCATATATACACGCCACTAGGAAAAATCAGAAAGGTCTTCAAATCTTCAATCTTCCACAGCAATGCAGTTCTGACGGGATTTCAACTTAGGCTGTCTTGACTTGCAAGTTTGGAGCATTTAGCTTGGTAGAAAATTATGAAACTTTGACACAATGATCTTCAATGTCTTAGCTGTCATCTCCAATTGGCATCGCGCTAAAATTCATTCGAAAAGTCAATTTTCAGTCAAAATCCTTCCAAGAGCATAGAATAGCTGGAAATAAGGAAAGTAAGTTAATAATGCTCTTTTTAATTAACTTTTCCTACAAAAACCAAATATAAGAGGTATAAAAATATAGGAAATAATGCACTTATCAGGGCCAAGGGATTGAAATCTTGGGCCAACTCTTGGGTCGGCCCATTTGAGCCTGTCTAGGCCCAGCCTGATCAATTCATAAATAAATAATAAATGACAATAATGTTGGTGATTTAAGATCATTTGTAACACCTCAAATACACTGATCAAGATAAGAAGTAGGAAGAATTCTAAATGGTGAAGGTGATAAATGGGGCCTTTTTAGAACTTTGTGGTACACAATAAAACCCAAGACAAGAATACTGATTATTGGTCAATCAATTTAATCCACATAAAAATAAAAAAAAATTGTGTGAATTATGAGGAAAGATAAAGAATACTTATATAGTAAAATCTGAAAAGTATATTTTTTTTTCTTTAGATTTTTAATAATTTTCTTCTTTGTTTTTTTAATTACCTTTTTTTGATTTCCCTCTCATAATGCTTTTAGAAAACATTTTGGGTGGTAAGTCGGTGCGATATCCTCTTTCTCCTTCTGCCCTGTACTCACGCTATGAAGAGGCTTGAAATATTTACGTTCATATCTTATTCTTGGTCTAGGGATCACCATTTACCCAAGCTAGATGAAAGAAAGCTATCACGTGGATTGACACAAAATTTTTTAAGGTGGTCACCCTTAAAGAGCTCAGAGCCTGAGTACTGGCCAGAAAGAGAAAGAGGACATTGCAACGACTTACCACCCAAAAGGTTTTATGAAAAATATTGTCAAGGGAGTAAGAAAACATGTTAAAAAACAAAGAAGAAAAATGTTAAAAGTTTGAGAAAAAACATACTAAACCAAACCCTAAACCATTCTTTTGCTCTTCTCTCCACTTCTTCTTATCTCATCATCATCATTACCACCCCTCTTCTCAAAATTTCTTCTTTATTAACCCCTCTTCACAATCTCGATTTTTCTCTTCCTCTTCAAATTTACAACTCCTCAAATATCAGTCCAAATATATTATCCGACGTTTCCATTGCTTGGAGACAACTACAGTCTGAACCACAGCCTATGATTACAACACTTAGAGGATTAGTCGTATTAGATAGTGTAGGGGCCTTCTTGTTCCAACAGCTCTAGATGGACTTGGGCTGCTGTAAAGAAAGAGTGACGTTGCTCCTTTGCCTAGTTTCAAGAACTAGACCCTAAAATAATTCAAAAGAATGCAGATTCTTAGGGAATACTCTGGTTTTTCTCACCAAGAAGATAATGACCGATTTTCTCACCCTAAAACCAACACCACAACACTTGGCCGATTTTCGTATTCCCATATAATTTGCCACCTTGGAAATGCATGAAAAAAGAATACATGATGATGACTGTTTTGATAACTGAGGATCCTGGGAGGTCAATCGATGTTTACTTAAGGCCGCTGGTTGATGAGCTGAAGGATTTATGGACAAACGGTGTTCACACGTACGATAAATCAACTGGGAAGATGTTCACTTTGCGGGCAGCAGTTATGTGGACTGTGAATGATTTCCCAGCATATGCAATGGTTTCTGGGTGGAGCACAAAAGGTTATATGGCATGTCCTGTATGCAAGGAAGATGTAACTTCTGGTTGGCACGCTGGAAAAGTTTGTTACCTTGGTCATCGGAGATGGTTGCCATGGGACCATGAGTGGAGGGAAAAAGATAAAGAGTTCGACGGGAACACAGAGCGTCGCCTTAGACCCAGAGAATGGTCCGGTGATGAGATATTGGACCAGCTTAACCGGTTGGATTTTGCTCCCTTCGGGAAAACAGTTAGTCGTATCAGACCTTCTACACATATGAACTGGACGCACAAGCCTATGTTTTTTGAGCTCCCATATTGGTCGAAACTAAAATTGAGGCACAATCTAGATGTGATGCATGTTGAGAAAAATGTATTCGACACATTGGTGGGCACGATTCTAGATATCGAGGGGAAGACAAAGGACACGATCAAAGCTCGTCTTGATTTGGAAAGAATGGGCATACGAAGGGGTTTATGGATGAATAGGGACAATGATAAAGCTAGAAGGGATCTTGCATTCTTTTCTATGAAACCGAATGACAAGAAAGAGTTTCTAAAGTTTGTATCGTCAGTAAAGTTTCCCGATGGGTATGCTTCTAATATCGCACGTTGTGTGAATGTTGACGGGGGTAAATTTACTGGACTTAAGAGCCATGACTGCCATGTGTTTATGCAACGCCTACTTCCTGTTGGTATTCGACACCTATTGCCGAAGATGTAGTGAAGCCAATCATTTTGTTGTCCAGATTTTTTTCCCAACTGACGGCAAAAACTTTGCGAAAAACGGACATGTTTCAGTTGCGCCATGACATTGTCCAAGTCCTATGCAAGTTTGAGATGATATTTCCTCCAGCTTTCTTCACAAGTATGATGCACGTGATGGTTCACTTGCCAGAAGAGGCATTGCTTGCTGGTCCTGTCAACTATCGCTGGATGTATCCAATAGAAAGGTATATAATCCTTATCGTTTGTGTATGCATCATTATCACATGCTTGCTAATTTGTATCATATCGTTTTATTTTGGCAGGCTTCTCGAAGAGCTGAAAAAAAGTGTACGCAACAGGGCGAAGCCCGAAGGATCATCGTAGAGGCTTGGGTTCAATATGAGTCGCTTACTTTCTGCGGAATGTATTTAAAAGATGTGGAGACGGTTTTCAATCGTCCTCAGCGCAATCATGACGGAGGTATGAGAAATGAAAAACTTTCTGTTTTTGCCCAAAGCGCACGACCCTTTGGAGATCCTGGACGCGGAGAGTCGTTTTTTAGAAATGACATGGAGGTAGCACATTGGTTCGTGCTGAACAATTGTGATGAGATCATGGGATACTTATATGAGCATGAAGAGATGATGAAGCGAGAACATCCATCACATTTGGTTGCCCAGAAACACCGTGAATTGTTTCCACAATGGTTTTTGGATTCTGTAAGTTATCAGTGTTTGTTATTTGAGAAATATAAATTGTAGTTTTTAATTTTGTCAGACTAACATATGAATGGTTTTGTATAATATTAGGTGAATAAGTTGAAATCATCGAATTCCCCAACTTACAGTGATGAGTTATATAACTTGGCGTTCGGCCCGATTCGCGCTGAATTGTTCTCGGGTTGTAATGTCAACGGCATCAAACAGCGGTGTCCATGTCCCAGGTGGAGGCGAAAGTACGGACATTGATTTCTATGGCAAACTCACAACTGTCGTGCAATTGCTTTACAAAGATCGATACCAAGTGATCATGTTTAAGTGTCGATGGTTTGACACCAACCCAAATAGGCCGGGAAGTGTTAAAATCGATCATGGCTTACTATCTGTGAACATGAACAGAACTTGGTATGATGACGACCCTTATATTTTGGCAAACATGGCAACACAAATTGTGTATCTAGATGACCCCAAAGCCGGAAGCGGTTGGAACGTTGTTCAAAAGATGGATCATAGGAACGTGTATGCTATACCAGAACTAGACCCAACTGACAACGACGTTGACAATGTGGCTGACCAACGTTTAGAATCTTCAATGGAAAATGATGAGGAAACACTTCGAGATACTAATGTTATACAAGAGCCATTTCAAATACAAGGAGTGTCTTCAATCGAAATACCGATTCAGTCAATTACAATTGACTTCGGTGATCTTCCGCGATACGATGTTGCAGTTGGCCCGAACAACTACGATGATGTAGTTATAGAGGTGGCGGAGGAGGAGGAGGAGGAAGAGGATTGGGAGACCGAAAGTGATGATAGCGACGATAACGAAAGTTATTATAGTTCAGATGATGAATGATGAATTTTTTTTGTAATTTTATTATGTTAGTGGACATATTTTGTGTAATGCAAATGTTTTCATATATGTACTTCTTATATCCAAACATTATATATGTGTAGAAATGAAACATTATTAAAATAAATGTAGTTACAAACCATTGGTAAATAAATATATCCAAGTAATTTTAATAATAAAGTTTAAATTTATTTTGACAAAAAACTTTTAAAAAATGACCTTGCGCGACGAAGGCATAATTGTCGCGCACATTTTGCGCGACGGCAAAACGTACACGTCGCGCATACTCTATTATTTGCGCGACAAATAATTCCATCGCGCAAGTAACTTTTGCGCGACGGAAAATGTACACGTCGCACAGACTCTATTATTAGCGCGACAAATAATTCCGTCGCGCAAGTAACTTTTGCGCGACGAACAAAAAGACCTCGTCGCGCAAACATATACATATATATATATTTCTGATATATACACACGTATATATTTGAAATTGACGATCGAAGTAGTTCACTGTATTCACATAGGGTTAAACAATGTAGCTGTAAAAAATCATCAAAATTAGAGTCAAAATAACCGTTAAATCATGACTTTTCGTTTATAACCGTCGAAACGTTTTGTCCCGTTACTTGATCTCTGAATGTTTTTTTTTCTCATTTTCGACGTATACGATCTCGAAGTATAAACAAACATATTTGACGGCTGGATTACTGAAACTAGTTTCCTAGAATGCGTATTCCATCAAAACACAATATTCATCAAAAATGAAGAATTTATTTATACATTCATTCAGTATAACATAAGATTATGTGATGTCCTGTACTGTAAATATCTGAAATTGAAGATCGAATTACATCTCTGTATTCTTATAGGGTCAAGAACAGCTGTAAAAAAATTTCAAGATCGAAGTTAAAATCACCGTTGAATCGGGACAATTTGTTTAGAACCGTCGAAAAGTTTTGTCCCGTTACTCAATCTCTGAATGTTCATTCATTATGATTTTTGACGTATACGATCTTGAACTATAAAAAAAGAAGATTGCCGGTTGGATCATTGAAACTAGTTTAGGAGTTCGGGTTTAGGGCTTAGGGTATAGGTTTTAGGGTTTAGGGTACAAGGGTATGGGTTTGCGCGACGAAATCACCTTGAATTCGTCGCGCAAAAGATTACCGACGAATGAAATTGAATTCGTCACGCAAAACGATGAAAAAAAATTGCAGCCCTTCTCCGCTCCAACACTTAGCGAAATTTTTTTGGGAAATGACCCCCACTACCACCCATTTACTAATATTAACTAAAAATACCACCCCTTCCCAATTTTTGCAAAACTATAACCTATAAATATAAAATTATTGTCCTCCTATTGCTGATTTATCACAAGTTCATAAATTTTGGTCTCTCTTAGCTCACGCAGCTCTCTCTCTCTCTCTCTCTCTGGCACAGCTCTCTTTCTCTTTGGTATTTCGCAGCTCTCTGTCTCTCTTGGCTCTCTCTCTCTCTGTAGCACAACTCTCTGTCTCTGTCTTTGCTCTCTTTCTCATACCGCAGCTCTTTCTCTCTCTAGATTCGTTATGTCTGTTTCTCCCCATATTCGGTCTTGCTCTCTGTTTGGAAACCCGAACCCCTACCTTTAGGTATGTCTTCTGAATAGCTGCTTGCAACCGTGAAGCTCTAGTGGATTGCCGACCTCGAAAAGGTAGTGTTGATGGTTATTTTCTTTTAATATCAGTGGGATTATGTGAAATGGGTTACATTTTGATTGTTTGGGTTTGTGTTAAATTTGTTTTGGCTTTAATTGCTTTGGGTTAGGTTTTGTTGAATATCCATCCTGATTCATCTGGGTTTGTACCAATTGCACTTAGATTGGTCTGGATATGTGAATCTTGAAACTTGGGATTTTCCATTTGATGTAGTAGATCTGTATAGTGTGATTCTGATGTGTTACACCAGTGTTCCTCTTATTTTACCGTCGTATTGTTGTTATGTTGCTGTTATATTGCCATTATATTGCTGTTATATTGCTGTTATATTGTATGGTTATTGTGGTTATATTGCTGTTATATTGCTGTTATACTGTATGGTTATTGTGGTTATATTGTGTTAATGAACTGTTGTTTTGTCATGGTCAGAAATGGAGACAATTGTTATTCTCGTGTGCTACAATGGAAAATGGGTCACCTCGAAGAAGATGTGCAAATACGAAGGGGGTGACTCAAAAGGCTTAATAGTTCCACGGACCATCAAATTTGCTGAACTGTTGGACCGTGTGCATCAGATTGGTAATACAAACAGCAGGGAAGACAAGGTTTGCTTAAAATTCTCAGTTTTGGTGGCCTCGAATGAGTGGAAGCACATAAAGATTGAGGATGATGATGATGTCAATTTTTTTATGAAGTACAATTCTGAGGTAACACCTTCAAAACTAGCTCCCTTACTCGTGAGTATAGAAGATAAAGGACTCACAAATGATGTAGTTGATAGTATGCATATCACGACAAATAGTAGTCGGATGGGCCGTTCTTCAGTCGCCATTGTTGAAAGCAATGAAGTAAGTTGGAATAATACAAATGGCAATGATGTGGGAGGTGAAGTAGGGACAGATTTTATGGATATGATTGATTTTAGCGAGGTGGAGGACATGCATGGTGGTGATAATGGTACTGAAAGAAATGAAGTGTCAGTGTACTCTGCCCCTCCTATTTTGGGCTGCTTGAACACATCTGCCCAACTGCCAATAATTCGTTTAGGAGGAGAATCTGAACCCATTCGTGAACATTATTGGAATCAAATAGGTGAACAGAACCGGTACAATGAAGCCGGTGTAAATGATGGGGAAGCATATTTGGATAGCGGGTGTTCGCGAAGTGATTGGAATCCGAAAATTACAGTTGGGCAAATTTTCTCTAGTAAGAAAGCATTGTTGACGGAGTTACAGTTGACGGCAATAAGAGGCCACTTCGAATTTAAGGTGCAATTCTCCTGCACAAAGAGGTTGCTTGTGGTTTGTTGTCAACGTCCATGCCCATGGCGGGTCCGAGCATCGAGATTTGGAGAATACAGCTTCATGATTGTGAGGTGTACAACTGTCCATGAATGTGATTTGAGGTTCATAAGTGAGAACCATCGTCAAGCAACCGCAGCACTTGTAGCCACTTCATGTAAAAGGAAGTTGAAGGATTCTCGGACAATATACACACCAAGTGACATTATGAGAGATGTGAAACACAACTTTGGTTTAAGAATCCATTATTCGAAAGCTTGGAAAGCAAGGGAGTTAGCTCTATTGTCCATTAGAGGATCAGCGGAGGAGGCATATTATATTCTTCCAGCTTATTGCTATGAATTGGAGCGTATGAATCCCGGCACAAAAACACACATCCAAACTGATGAGAACAATCACTTTGTGTATTTATTTATGGCGGTTGGTGCATGTATTAGAGGGTTTTGTTCTTCCATGCGCCCAGTGATAGCTGTGGATGCCACTCATTTAAAATCCAAGTACAAGGGTGTTATGTTTGTAGCAAATGCATTCGATGGTAATCGAAATATATATCCTCTTGCTTTTGGGATCGGGGATTTGGAGACGGATGCATCATGGCATTGGTTTTTCACTAAACTTCATGAAGCCATTGGTGAGTGTCCCAATCTTGTTATTATTTCTGATCGAAATGTTAGCATACAGAATGTGTGGAACAAAGTTTTTCCAACTGCGCAACATGGCATATGCTTTTATCATATGAAGGGGAACATGAAACGCACTTGCAAGTTGAAAAAGCGTGATCCAATACTTATGCACTTTGAGCAGGCTGCGAAATCTTATTCCATTGCTGAATTTGATTGTCATTTTCGCAAGATCAAGCGAAAGGAACATGTTGCTCAATATCTTGAAGAGGCAGGGTTACATAAGTGGTCTAGAGCTCACATGGATGGACGCCGCTACAATGTAATGACAACAAATATTGCGGAGTCAATCAACTCAGTCCTTAGGTTTGCAAGGACGCTGCCAGTGGTTCATTTGATAGGGGAAATTATGAATCTCCTTGTCAAATGGTTCACCGAACGTCGTGAGTTGGCTTTGAAGTGCACAACAACATTGTGCCCCAATTTTGGAGAGAAGAAGTTGAGGAACAGGTTGGAGGATGCTGCAACGATGAATGTGGTTAAAGTGAATAATGCACAGTTTAATGTTTTGGACGGTCATATGGATGGCCTCGTAGATTTGACGAACAACACTTGCAGTTGTAGAAAGTTTCAGCTTGAGCAGCTACCTTGCAAGCATGTAGTTGCAGTTTGCCGCTTCTTGAAAGTAAATTTATACTCAAAGGCTTCTCGGTATTACACTCGGAAAACCTGGATGGATGCTTATTCGGATAGCATCTACCCGATACAGCCTCACGGAATGTGGGATATTCCTGAAGATGTTCGAAGTCGAGTTGTGCTGCCTCCCATTGCAAGGGTCATGCCAGGCAGACGAAAGAAGATAAGAATTCCCTCGCAAGGAGAGGGCACCATTAGAAGAAAGTGCTCAAGGTGTGGTTCCGCAGGCCACAATAAAAGCACCTGTAAAAACACTATTCCACTGCGCAATGTATCTTAGACAATATGATTTCTGTTGCTTTGGTAGGTCATGTCAACTTTACTTTTATTTGTGGTGGGTTTCGTGTTATGTTGAATGGGAATTCTTTTACATTTGCATAATTTGGGTTGCATTGCTACAGCATGCTGTATTGCGTCCAGATTGCCATTATATTGTACTTTTATTGCCATGGTATTGCTTCCATATTGCTATTATAATTTGAGTGCGAAATTAAAGGGCCTGGAATGTAATTCCAAATGGATCCAAAACATTCAAGTTCTTTGAATTCCTTTATGACACAGTTACCGTGATACTCCGACTATACCTTCTTTTGTGATTACAAATTCGGCCGATGCATAGGCCACATGTGGGGCAAATACAAGGTGAAATGTCCTATGTGTTTGACTACATATCGTTGTTGAAGGAGCATTACGAATGTTAACCCCAATAGATTGCTCATGTCCAATGGATAATTTAGGGGTTGAAAGAGGAAGGAGCACGAGGTTTTGGGGTGTCATGTTTCTGTAATTGGGGGGGGGGGGGGGGGGGGATGTGATGCTACAAGGCATGCATTATATATATAGAGTTCATTTTGAAGGTCTGTAATGTAGGTCATATGTCTTTTAAGGGATGTATAATTCATCCTTTTTCCAGGTTGTAATTACTTTTATTTTTTGTATTTTTGTATTTTTTTGGACCAAATAATTTTAAAAACATTCTGATGACTACGTACTGTAATATGATCATATTGTAACCCTATCACTACTCTATTGCACCCTTATTGACATAATATTGCCATTATACGCATGTTTATTGTATAGTTATTGCTGCTATATCGCCACTCAACTGGACACTGATAAACTGTATACGCACAAAAACAAAAAGAGGCATCATCATTCCATAAAATCCTATTTCCAAACTTACATAATACAACAACATTCGACCAAAAAAAAAAAAAACAACAACAGGCCACCCCATCGTTACATAATACAAAAAGAGGCGACCTCATAGTTCCATTTCCCTGCTATTGACAAATTCGAAGTTGCATACTCTTCAAGTGCGGCGACCACGACCCATGAAATTCATGACCCCGGCCACAGTCATGTTGTCCCAGTTTCCTGCCGGATCCACTATTTTTGCAAACTTACGAAATAGTTCGAATCCGCTTTCCACTTCTTGTTGCTTCAACTTGGCCATTTCTTCTGATTCCTTGAATACCATAATTGCAGTGGCAGGGGCAATTTCAATTTTTCCTTTCATTGCCTTTATATGTAGGAGATGCATGCGGGCATGATAACGAGAGCGAATTGTGCGGTTTTTTATGACACCCCATCTAGCTTGGCCCTCCACAATTTTTGAAACTATGTCTGCATGGAGATTTTTCCAAAACATTGTATTGGCTCGACATTGCTGCATGCCATGGACCAAGTCTGCAGTGAGTGAATTGGGTGACTTGCCTTCTGTTTCAATCTTCCCTCCTTCAGTAATTGAAAGCGTTTGGTTTGGTGTGAGGTTATGATCCATGGTCTTCGATATTTATTGTAGGCTGCTGTATGACTTAATTGGAAATAAAGGGATGGAAGTGAGGCTGATGGGGAAGGTAATGGCTGCAGTTAATGTGATTGCCGTTTTCACCTTCCATTCAGCTAGGTTGATTAATAAATAGGCAGCCTTTTCAGCATGGAGTAAATGACATTTTACCCTGCAATCAGTTATAATGCAAGTGTTACAATATTTCCAAAATATATCGGAACAAAACAGCAGTTCATTTCCTATTGTATTATGACATATATATTGGAATATTGGAAAATAGGTAATGCTTGCCTTAGAAGACGACGGAAGGCTAGCAGTTTCTTCAATGTCCTCATCTTTTTCTTCTACAGAGGCAGACGTGCTGGTTTTTTGTTCAGCGTCATCGCCAACCAACTCAACAAGTTCTTCAGTGTTGTCAACACTGTCACCCCAAGTCCAATACGCCTGCTGCTTGTCAATTACAGATGGCCGGATAAGTTGCACATCAACCTGCAATTTACGCAGACAATAGAAATATCAGTAAACTTATAAAATTATATTTTCATATGCCTAAGATTATCATTACAAACTGAACTAACCTCACGGTTTTCGAAGACTTGGCTCATGAGCTCATAAAAACGCGGCAAAGTGTTGCTCCTCCAATGTAGTATACGAGGGATGTAGGCATTATGTTCGTGCACCACCAAATGTAGTGCAGCCAACGCTGGAAATACCTCATAAGCCCAAATCTGGTTTCAGGAAGAAAAGCCTTAGAGATCACATGCTATAACTTTAAATAGGGCATGAAAAGCGAAGAATACAATAAAGAGAAATAATTAGCATGTATTAATTGCAGTCTAAACCTTGCCCTATGATTGACAAAAGTTAAACGAAATACAGCCATCTAGAGATGCATAGAGGCTAAAAGTGGTTCGGGCCACATTAGTCATTAGTCTAAGAGCATTCAACACAAATCAGGAAAAACAGATTATTTCCTAATATCCAATATCCCCCACTTACATAAAGGGGTGAAAATGTAAACTTGTTTTTCTGACAACTTATTTCTATAATGAGGTCATTAGTGTTAACTTAGGGTTGTTGATAGAAAACACGGGGCTCATCATCAATATTAATGATATAATATTCAGCAAAAACAGAATAATATTACTAATTAAATAAAATAAAACCTTCTGTCCATTTTCTATTCTTGAATTCCCTTCTACCCCTGACCCCCTCCCTTGAATGTTTCTCCCCTTTCCCATCAATTTTTTAACTTTGCAAATTATTATATTTCTTTGTAGAATTCTTTTTTTAAATACCACAGCCGCCCAGAACAGCCACCCAATTTGCTCTCTCTCTCTCTCTCTCTCTCTCTCTCTCTCTCTCTCTCTCTCTCGCTCTCTCTCTCTCTCTCTCACACACAAAATATCTATCAACACACACACACAAACACAATATCATTAGTCAAAAGAATCTGTCAAAAAACAATAACAGTGGACAGAGTTCCTTTTATTCGTCTTCATCCTTCAACAACTAAACCAATCAATCCCCCAAATAAGTAATAATTACAGAAAATAAACATGAACAAATGATGTTTTAGCTCCTCCAATGCAGCTCTCAATTTCTCTCTCTCTCTCTCTCTCCCCCATTACTGTTTTAGAACCCATTACTGTAAACAAATGATATTTAACTTCAACAGGAATCGAAATGTGCTCACCTGAAGTGCAAAGGCAAAACCCTTTAGGTGGTACTCTCTTGGTCTACCGGTTGCCGTTGTCTTTACTTGCTTTTCAGATTTTTTTGTTTTCGAAGCTTTTTTCGGCCCTTTCACTCGCTGGTAATCTGCACACAGTGCCCTCAGCAGTGACGCATTTGTCTTCGCATAAGACACAGCACCCCATGGATATTTACCAAAATCTTCAAGGTCTTCGGCCAACTTCAAATATCGCATGTCAATGTGGACATGTTTTTCACTGCCCAACAGCACAAACACAGCGAAGTATACAAAGCCGAGCTTCAATGCATCATCCGCATCAGCGCAGTCGCGGAAGGCTTTTTCTAATTCCAACAGGCTCACTGTTTTATTGTTGCCAAAATACTTCCTTTTCAATGAGCAGTTGTCATTATTGGGAATCGGAATAAAGGGAAGGTTTCCAAACCTTAGCCCTGTGACGACGCAAAATTGCTGGGGTGTGAATTGGATCACCTTATTGCCAACAATGAATTTGATCCCGTTCACTTGGGAAACAGTCTTCGGATCAGCTTTCCTCAGCAACAATCCGTGTACAATTGGCGACGTCCACTTCAGGTCCTCGATGAGTAGGAGATGCCCAAAACAACTCTGTTCGAAGGTTCGTAGCTGTTGCTCACTGAATTTCTCTTTTATCGTACTTATTGCACTCTTTGTATGGGATAGCCGATGCTTTTCCTTGGAACTTTTCTTCCTCTCCAATCATCAACTTAATTGGCGAAACCATGTTTCCCTGCACGGCATTATTATTAAGAAAAATTCAGTCCGTTGCAATCTGGACAATAACAAGCAATACACAATTCAACGGCCTATTATAGGATATTAAGTGAAAATTAAACACAAATTACAGCACATGAACCACAATAAATTCCCACACTAAATATGCATCATAAAATGAAACTGAAAACAGTGAGAGAGAGAGCCAATTTCTGAAACTATGATATGAGTACAATAAGTGGGCAATAATTTTATATTTAAAGGTGTTAGTTGTAAAAAAATTGGGAAGGGGTGGTATTTTTAGTTAAAATTAGCAAAAGGGTGGCATAGAAGGCTATTTCCCTTAATTCTTTGAAGCCAAGAGACTCCAACTCCCAGCAACTAGCGTATTTCAATTCTCATATGCTTTGTTAGCACGGTGAGCACACCAACCTGAGAAGTGGAGGCACTTCAATCTAAAGCACCTCTACGTTTGTAAGTTTTTCCTTTTCTTTTATTCTTGTTAAAGTTCAGATAGTGAAGAGAAGATCTGATGATGCACGTTAATTTTTAAGGTCAAAATGACCATTAAAATAATAAACTCAAGGGATATTCATGTCGGGTTGTAAACACATTATTCAAGTGCTGAGTTTAGAATAAAACTAAAAATATGGCGACCCTCAATTCTTTACTGCCCTCAAGTCAATTTCTCGTGAGACCAATCAGACCATGTAAGTACCATACATCCATATCCTCATCAGACTAATTAAGATTTAGGAAGACAAGATCTCCGCTGCTAACTCATCTATCTCTACCATAGCTTAGCCGGGAAAAAAAAATTCCCCATCTCTATGCCTAGGGAAGCCGGCAGAGCAGTAAAGCCCAACAATATACAGGGGGGTTACAATAGCTAGGTATCTGTCGTCAAATCAATTCAATGACCAAACGAAAACTTATCAATATAACCGAGGGAAACATTTGCATTTAAGCCTCAAACCTGAAGCACTAGCTTTCAAGAATCACTATGAAAAATGGCATCTTTAAAGAGAGGATGCTTTTAAGGTCCAAATTCTCAAACTCTAACTTCCACCAGATTCACATCATAGAAAGCAAGTTACCTACTGGAATACAGTCCGCTTGGAAGAGTGCACAGATCACACCTAATATCGGCTGCATTTCAAAGACATAAGAGTCATCATCAGTATATGTTTAGTATTCTAAACAAGGTCATACAGAACAACATACAAAGGAAATTGAAAATGTAATAGCATGAGACTAGCTCGCATCATGCTATATGGCAATACAGCAAGTCAGAATGAAGAGGTGACTGCAAAAAGGGTGTATAGGATAGGAGACACCGACAAATTTGCCCAAGAAAAATCTTCACATATTTTCCAACTTTTTCTTATGCAGAAAAGTTAACCATAGTTTGGTCACACAATACAACGTGAAGGCAATAACAGTGGAACTAATCAAACGGACTTGTTAGGCTCACTTAAATGTGATGACAAAAACAATCCCAAGTTGCTCAACACTGTTGTCACTTGATGTAAATAACAACTTACACCAAGGCAGATTTCCTAATATAACAAATACACTGACTTCAAAATGTTATTCCTCAGCCCCAACATTCATATTAACATCGATATTGCACTAAAATCTATTGTCAATAATTTACAGTCAACATAAACACGGGTTGTCCAAACCAAAATGATTCAACATCACACTATACCAACAATGATAACCCAAAAGGTAATGAGAGAGAGAGAGAGCGCGAAGTTAAGTTATAGACAGTTATTAGAAAACAACTTGTTCTCAAAAATGCATTATGAGCTTGAAAGCAACTTCCCAGCAACATGGTGAAAGTGTTAAGATTGTCATTCAAGTAACAAATGAATGATAAATGCTTCAAATATGAACAATAACAGTACAAAAAATTTAACTTGGAACAGATATTTCAAAAACAAAATTGAAATGAAAATTCAGTGGAAAAAGATTAGTCTAAAAGATTATTAGGTTATGGGCCCAATTTGAAAGTTAATGACTTTTTTATTTTTGAAACAGCAGAAAAACGTTAAGAAGTTGAATCACTAGTCACAGCAAGAACAAAATAGCACAATAGAAGAGAAAATGCTTGGCACCAACATCTAATATACAAACTTAGTAACTTCGATACCTCAATTGGTGGTTATCTAGGGACAAGGTAAAACAAGTATATCAAGACCAAGAAGACAGCCACCACCACCCTTCAAACATAGATAGGGAAACCCATAAAACATAGAAGGCCCCAGAAATTAACTAACAACATGTATCTATTCTAACTGCTACACTTGTGAAAAAAGAGGAAAAAAGAAAAAAGCCCTGATAATACCTTACGCATGAGCAGTTTTAAACACTACTCCAACTCCAAATTTCTATTTATATTTAGAATAGACTGGGTTCCAAAAGTTATGCAATTCATCAACTACAGTACAGTAAATCAAATCCATAAGCTAACCCAAGATTCCCAAAGGTGAACGAAGCCCAAACGTTCTGTGACAAAATGAAGAGTTTGATTTCTGTGAACAGTGGCTGCGAGCCAGTGACAGTGGGTGTGCGTTATTACCCAGTTCATAGAAACCCATAAACCCAAACCCAATTTCTGAGCAACCAAACCAATTTCTTAGAAATCCAGACACCATAAACCTTCACAAAAACCCCACATTTCAAAGAAAATGGTTATGAACAGTACCTCGTCGATGTCAACGATCGATTTCCGCTTGGATGAACGGCCACTGTTGACGGGGAAAGAGCACTGCGTCGAAGAGAGAGAGGTACACCAGGAGAGAGATGGGCTGAAGAGAAAGAGCGAAGACAGTGAGAGAGAGAGCCAATTTCTGAAACTATGATATGAGTACAATAAGTGGGCAATAATTTTATATTTAAAGGTGTTAGTTGTAAAAAAATTGGGAAGGGGTGGTATTTTTAGTTAAAATTAGCAAAAGGGTGGCATAGAAGGCTATTTCCCAATTTTTTTTGGCAAAAGCTAGATTGCGCGACGAACTCAAGTACCTTCGTTGCGCAAAACGATGAACAGCCCTTCTCCGCTCCAACACTTGGCGAAATTTTTTTTGGCAAAAGCTAGATTGCGCGACGAACTCAAGTGCCTTCGTCGCGCAAAACGATGAAAAAAAATTGCAGGCCCTTCTCCGCTCCAACACTTAGCGAAATTTTTTTTGGAAAAAGCTAGATTGCGCGACGAACTCAAGTACCTTCGTCGCGCAAAACGATGAAAAAAAAATTGCAGGCCTTCTCCGCTCCAACACATGGCGAAATTTTTTTGGCCAAAAATCTAGATTGCGCGACGAATTTAGGTCTCTTCGTCACACAATATCATTTCATTTATCTTCCCCGCGCAAAATCAAATCCCAAAATTTGGGCGGCTGGACAAACTTGGGCGACGGCACTAGTTTTTTCGTCGCGCAAAGGTGATATTTTCAGAACTTGGCGCGACGAAAGTATGTTTTTAGGTCCCGCAAAGGTCATATTTTCAGAACCTTGCGCGACAGAAATTCAGTTTTGCATCGTGCAAAAGTTATTTTAATGAATTTTGCGCGACAGACTTGGGTTATTCGTCGCGCAAAGTCGAATAAGTTTTCTGAAAATCGCGATCTTCTCCTTCTTCTCCCAATTTCTCAAATGGAACCCTAAAACCTCCCTCTCTCTCCGCCGTGACCTCAGCCCTTACTCCGCTCCAATTCAGACCCTGCCGCCAATCACCGTCAAACCCTGGAGCTTCTCCGCCGTCGCCGTCCATCCTGCCGCCGTGATTTCCTCCGTTTAGGCCGAATCTTCGCCGCCGTTGTTCTCTCTCCTCCGGGCACCAAATCCGGCAATTGAGGTATGCTTTCTGGACTATTTTTTATGCTTTAGCTGATGGTTGGGTATGATTTGATTCCGGCCACTTCCGGCCGTTTTTCGGGGTAGGTCCGAGAACAAAAGTGCCTCCAATTGATGTTTTGAACCTAGGGTAGGAACCTTGTCCCTTAATTTGTAGGATTTCCCGGTGATTGTTATCGCTTTGGGCACCCACGCGCTGCCGGCGCGTGTGGTGGCGCGTGGGGTACTGTGGCATAGGGCATTGGGTCCCAGTGCAAACATTTCGTTGTCACGAGCGTGTAGGTGTACTCGGATTGGAATTTGGTTATCGTTTGAGTCTCGAACGGTTCGAACCTATTGTGTGATTTTCGGGTTTGATATGTTCGGACCGTTGGATTGAGCTGAAACTCACGTATGTGGTACCATGTATTTATAGGATCGTTTAGGATTCGACGGATCGTGGATCGGAGTCCCGGATACTCCGAAATCGCAAACCCTAGGTCAAACTATGATTTTAATTAGTTAGTTCAATTTTTTAATGACACTGTATGTGCTAAATTTGATGAATGAAATTGTGCAGATGTCAGACTTGATTAGACGTCGTAGTGCGATGACGACTACACCAAGTTCGGAGCCCCGGCTCAGCCGGTATCAGCTGCCACTGCTCCAGCACTGATGGAGCAGGACCACGTGCTAGCTGGTCCTGGGGGATCCCAGGCGGCTGCATCATCATCTTCTTCGGTGGTGCAGCCTCTTAGCGCTAGGCGGCGACACCGGCCCGCTACCACCACCGACACCACATCGACTGACTGTACTGGTGCCTCGGGGGCACCTCTAGGTAATACCCTTCCACTTTCATTTTTTTGTTTTTAACATTTTTTTAATTGGGAATTTTATGGTTCAATTTGTTATTTATGTAACAGTATTGTCATATCCCTTTGCAGCCAAGAGGAACACCCGAGGGCCGTGTCGGCAGCTGAAGACGGCAAAGGTCACCCGGGTGACCAACAGTCGTATCAGCATCGGATATGACGAGCGCCATCGGGCTGCACCGACGGCGGACTTGCATAGCTCCTTGGCCCACGACATTGGCCACGTCGTTCGGACCCATTGCCCGATGCCATGGAAGTCTTTGAAGGTCATGCCTGACGAGATCAAGATGCAAGTTCGCGGCCAGTTGTCGGTATGTTTCCTATCTTTTAATTATTTTTCTTTCAAACTTTATATATTTCTATTACTTAATGTATGTAATGAATTTATTGCAGACGAACTACCACTTAGAGGACATCAACGAGGAGACCTTGGCGTACGTCAACAGACTCTTCGGTGAGAGGTACAAGCAGTGGAAGAACGACTTCCACCACCATTTTCAGGCGTTTGATGATCCGCAAGTCGCTCTTCAGGAGAGTTGCCCGAAGGAGCTTGAGGGGCGGGAGGATAGTTGGGCGTGGCTCTGCGCTCATTTTCAGGCGCCCGATTATGTGGTATTTTTTTAATATATTTGTTTAATTATTACATATTTCTTATTAATGTTTATTTTATTTTTTATATCTCATTATTATTTAATTTATTTATATTTCAACTATTGCGTTTTATTTTTTGTATAACAGAATAAAGCCCAAGTGAATAAGGGCAATAGGAAGAAGAAGACTCTTCTCCACCATTCCGGCTCCAGGCCCTTCTCATATAGGATGGATGCACGGCGTCGGGTAAGAATAATATAATTTATATTTAATTTTTAATACGTCATTATTATTAATTTATTTTGTTCATACTAATATTTTCCTTCTCTTGTTCAATTAAGGGGGGGTCGAAATTCCCAGAGATCGACGTCTTTGGTGACGTTTATGTTCGACCTGGGAATGAGTTGGCCAAGTCCCTTCATGTAAGTATTATTTATTTTTAATTCTTATGTTACGCTTTCAATTTATATGCATTTTCGAATTTATATTTTATGTAATGTTAAACAGACGACGATGGTGGAGAGGAGCCAGTTGGTTCTTCAAGAGTCCGCCTCCCAACTTCCTCTCGAGACTCCGATCGAGTCTGTGGATCCTCCGCATGATGCTGGATTTCATATCAGACTCTCGGGAGGAGGCCGGGAACGTATTGTAGGGGGATGGGGAATGCCCGACAGAGGGAACCTCGACCGCGGTCATCGTCGCAGGCAAACAGTCAGGTGACTGTTTTGACATCGCGGGTTGCCGAGCTTGAGGGTCAGATGTCGGTGATTCTGCAGTCCCTCGCGCGGTCCGGCATTCCAATCCCGAATTTTGGTGCGTCGACCTCCGAGCCCGTCCACCCCGAGCATCCCCAGCACACCACGGCCCCTGCAGACGCCCATACCTCCGAGCCGCATGTGGCAGATGACCAAGTAGATTTTGGAACATTATTTGATTAGTTTTTTATTTTTATAATTACTTTTACAATATTTCTCTTGTATACATTTCTTTTATTTTATATAATAAATGTTTTCTTTGCGATTAATCTTTTTATTGTAATTTCATTTTAATTATTAAAAAAAAACCAAATTTATTTTTTTACAAAATTAAAAATCAAATAATAATAAATTTTTTTTAATAATATATATTGCTTTTGCGCGACGAAACGTAATTCGTCGCGCAAAAACATTTAAATAAACCCGTTGACAAATATATTTTAATCATGCGCGACGAAGAATTTCGTTGCGCAAAATGTGTATGCGCGACGAATTGTTTCGTCGTGCGAAATTTGTATGCGCGACGAATTATCTCGTCGCGCGAAATTTGTATGCGCGACGACTATTTTGTCGTGCAAGGACTACGTGCGCGACGAATATTATTTCGTCGCGCAAAGTTCATGTATCTCGCGCGACGGAAGAGTCCGTCGCGCATTGTTTTTGCGACGACCAGTCTTTCGTCGCGCAAATATTTGTGCGACGGACATTAGGGTCGTCCCGAAATGTTTTTTTTAACAAAGTTGTTATACGTCGCGCAAAACAGCGCGACGAATGATATTTGTTCGTCGCGCAAATCCTTTCTTCACGAACTTTGCGCGACGGACTGTGCGCGACGAAACTTCTGTCGCGCATAATTATGTGCGACTAAAATCATTTTTGCGCGACGAAGACCCCTTCGTCGCGCAAAGCCTAAAATGTAGTAGTGAGTGCCGTTCGGTGGCAATGTTTTGGGTTTTTTTTGTTTTTTTTTCCGAATCTAACCGAAAGTTGTTTGTTGTGTTGCAATGTCCTTGAAACGGCCGATCGCTACGAAGAGGGAGACAAAAGTGATCGAGCGCGTTCAGTCAAGGATATCAGAGGAAGGTCACTTTCACAAGGCTCTACTTGATTACAAGAACTTGTACAAGGCAGGTCTAATCAGCGAGCTTGAGTACCATCGAAGGAAGGAGGAAGAAGAAGAAAAAGATAGGCAAAGTAAGTGATGCCGTTCGGTAATTCATCGGTTTTGTGTATTGTAGCGTGTACCGAATGTGCCCTAACTTTATGTTTGTGTGTTTAATGCAGTGGCAGGAGGGAGAGAGATGACGAAGACGAAAACTGGTTTCTCGCGGCCGAAGACGAAGACGCCGCGCTAGGCCGAGGGTGCATCGGCACAAGAGGGTACGCCGACTGATCGGCGGCGGGAAAAAAGGGTGGCCGAGGCCGAACTGATACGAGAGGCCCACCTCCAAGTCACCGGGAAGAGGGTGATAGAAGGTGCCCTCGATGTGACCCCTCTACCGAAGAGGCCAAGGGGGCTGAACGAGGAAGCAGCCGTCCTCGTGCCAGACGATGACGAGGATACCGAGGCTGACCTAGTGAACATTGCCTGCCCTCGGAAGGTGGTGTCGTTCGTGAACTGCTTCATCGAGGGCGCTCAGATGGAGCTTCCAGAGTTGGAGCAGTTGCCGATGAAGTCCTTGCGCGAACAGGCCGGTCAAGCCTTCCGCCTCCAGGCTGCCGTAAGTGTACTTCCTTCAGCGTTGTCCAAGTGTTTGAGGTGATGGTAGTGCTAACATGGGTTTGTGTTTGCAGGCGAACATGGAGATGTGGCTCGGCATGAAGCGGGCTGTCAATACGGCCGAGCATGTCCAAAAAAAAGGGGAGGACGACCGAGCCAAAGTTGCCGAAGCTGGTAAGATGCTGCAGGAGGCGGATCGGCACGCAGAGGAGAATGCCGCCAAGATTGCCGAGCTATCTTCCAGGTTGGCAGAGGCGGAGAGGGCGGCAGTGGATGCTGACGAGGCGAGGGCGAGGGCAGAGGCGGCGAAGGAGGCCGTGCTTCGGTCTCGGGTGACGGAAGTGGAAGAAGCCAAGAAACAGGCCATAGCGAAGTACCGAGACTCGCCTGACTTCGTGGCATTCCTTGACAAGGAGGTGATGGTGCAGTGCGAGGATCTCATCTACCGGTTCAAGCGTTTTAACGCGGACAAAAAATTGAATTTGAACTTCCTCCGGGAACCGCCGCCGTTGCCCGAGAGGGTGACCGAGGATATGGTAGAGGCATACCTCGGGGAGGATGCCGAAGCGGAGACCTCGAGTGGCTCGGAGTCAGACAATGAGGAAGAAAATTGCCGTTTGAAAGTTAGATTGTACAAAAGCGTAGTGGCGGAAAGTCCAGTCACTTGTAATAAAATTTCAAATGTTAAACATTCCAAGGGTGGCCGAGGGTGTGACCAACGGAGCCACGCAATCGGTAGGTGCCGGGTCGGCAGATGCTGACAATTTCATAGGGTCCCTCCCAGGAGGGGCCGAGAGTGCCTTCAGTAGGATTTCTTGTTGCTAAAGACACTTTACGGAGAACCCAGTCCCCCACCTTGAACGATCGGTGTTTTACGCGCGAGTCGTAGTACTGAGCCATTCGTTGTTTGTAGGTAGCGTTCCGGAGCTGTGTTTGCGATCGGTGTTCGTCAATGAGATCCAGGTTGAGGGCGAGCCGCTGTTCATTATGCTGAGGGTTGTAAGATGCCGTTCGGCATGTGGTCGCATGTACCTCCACCGGTACTACAGCTTCGGTACCGAAGGCTAAGGAGAACGGTGTCTTTCCAGTTGACCTTCGGTATGAGGTGTTGATGGCCCAGAGTGCTTCTGGTAGCATGGCAGGCCAATTGGCCTTGGCGGCTCCCAGCTTCTTCTTCAGCGTTTTCTTGATGATTTTGTTGATGGCTTCCACCTGTCCGTTGGATTGTGGATGTGCCGGAGATGCAAAGAAGATGCTGATGTTGAATCGGGAGCAGAGATGCCGAAACTGTGAACGGTCAAATTGCTTGTCGTTGTCGGTTACGATGGCATTTGGTAGGCCGAATCAGCATAGGATATTTTTCCATACAAAGTGTTCGATCTTAGCTGCCGTTATCGTTGTGAGGGCTTCGGCTTCGGCTTTTGTCTATTTGGTGAAGTAATCGGCGGCGACGATTGCGAACTTAAGCTGACCCGTGCCTGGCGGCATGGGGCCGATGAGATCAAGTCCCCATTGGGCGAATGGCCATGGGCTAGCCATCGGAGTGAGTGGTTCGGCAGGAACTTTCGATACAGATCCGAAACATTAGCACGGATCGCACTTTTGCACAATCTGGGTGGCATCAGCGTGGAGAGTTGGCCAATAATAGCCTTGCCGAATGGCCTTGAAGGCCAAGGATGGGGATCCCGAGTGATCACCACACGCACCCTCGTGTATCTCACGCAAGATGTAGTCTCCCTGTTGTGGTGTAACACATCTTACCAACGGTAGGGAGTAGCTGCGCCGATAGAGGACGCCATGCAAAAGAAGGTACCGAGCCGATTATCGTCGTACTGCCTTTGCCTCGGTTTTGTCAGTTGGTAGGGTGCCGTCGGTGAGGTGGGCGTGGATCGGGTCCATCCAACTAGGATCCGGACGGACGGTGTTGATATCGGCTTCGGCCATGCTCCGCCGAGCGAGAACTTCGATGGCCGACACGGTCGTCGATTGCCAAAGCGAGCCTAGAGAGAGCATCAGCATGGCTGTTCTCATATCTGGGGACCTGGTGGATGTAGTAGGTTTTGAACTGTTTGGGTAATCGGCGGGTCTGCACGAGATACGCAGCCATTGATTCATCTTTTGCTGCGAATTCGGTGATTACCTGGTTGACGACGAGTTAGGAGTCGCTACATATCATCAGCCGTTCGGCACCCGAGCTTTGGGCAAGCCGAAGGCCTGCGAGGAGTGCCTCGTATTTGGCCTCGTTGTTGGAAGCACAAAATTGGAAGCGGATAGCATATTTGATTGTGGTGTCATCCGAAGTCTTGAGGACTAGGCCAGCGCCGCTGCCCTGCCGATTGGATGAGCCGTCCACGTATAAATTCTAGTGAGGGCTTTTGTGATCGAACGTGTTGTCAGCCGAAGGTGGATCTGCAGATGCCGAAGGTGGTGTCGTGATAAGGTCGATTGGTCGACCGTCCTTGGGTGGAAGTGTGAACTCCGAGATGAAATCGGCCACGGCTTGTCCTTTTTCAGAAGGCCGAGGGTGGTACATGATATCAAATTCACCAAGCTCGATGGCCCATTTGATCAGTCGTCCTGATGTCTCTGGCTTCTGTAAGACCTGCCGCAGGGGTTAATTGGTCAATACGTCGATGCTGTGAGCCTGGAAGTAGGGCCGAAGCCTGCGTGCTCAAGTTGGGTGTACCGTTGCTCGGCGTCCTGTAATGGATGGCTCATATAAAAGATGGGGAGTTCGATGTCGTTCAGTCTTCGGAACTCAGGGCCGATACCGAGACCGAGAGATAGATGACGAGGTCTTCTCCGGGAAGAGGGGTGGACAGCAGAGGGGCTCGGCTCATGTAGGCTTTCAGATCTTCGAACGCTCGGTCGCATTCGGAAGTCCAATCGACCTGCCGTTTGCTTCCTTTAAGAGCTTTGAAAAAAGGGGCGCACCGATCAGTGGCTTTTGATATTAAACGGGCCAAGGCGGCGACTCGGCCGGTGAGGCTCTAAACCTCCTTCTTTGTCCTCGACACCTGCATATTGATGAGTGCTCAGATCTTCTCAGGGTTGGCTTCAATCCCCCTCTGGCTGATCATGAAGTCTAGGAATCTGCCGGAAGAGACGCCGAAGGCACACTTGCTCGGGTTCAAGCGCATGTTGTATTGTTTCAGCTTACAGAACATGAGGGAGAGGTTCCAAAGATGATCGCTGGCGGTCCGACTTTTGACCAGCATATCGTCTACGTAGACCTCCATTGAAGTGCCAATGAGTTCGTCAAAGATTTTGTTGACTATCCGCTGGTACGTGGCTCCGGCATTCTTTAGGCATGACGTTGTAGCAATAAAGCCCTCTGTCAGTAATGAATGTCGTATGTTCACGATCCGTGGGATGCATGGCGAGCCAAATGGGGTAGGTGACTTCCCGGATAAAGCCGATTGCCTGAAGCTTGTCTACTTCGATCTTCATAGCCTCATATCGCTTGGCGTCACAAGATCGTCTCTTCTGTCATACCGGTTTGGAAGAAGGGGAGATGCTGAGTTTGTGGCTGATGACGTCCGGGGAGATGCCAGGCATATCATTGTAAGACCAGGCGAAAACTTCCGAATTGGCCCTTAAAAAGGTAATGAAGTTGGCTCGGAGAGACGGACTGAGGGAGGTGCCGATCCGGACCTGCCGATCCTACGCGTCGGAGATGGAGATCATCTCGAGCTCTTCGGTAGGCTGAGCTTGCATCACGTTGTCGTCCCTCCCTTGCCGTTCGACAAGCTTGGGCGGGTAACGGTCAGCGTTTCGGGCGGCTTTTGCCCTGTCGCCCCGAGTGGCCTATTCCTCCGTGGATGATATGTAGCATATCCGAGCGCTCAATTGGTCCCCTCGAACCTAGCCGATTCCCGAGTGTGTAGGGAATTTGAGCAGCAGCATATGTGGAGACAGGATGGCTTTCATTCGGGTGAAGGCGGGTGTGCTGATGATGGCGTTGTATGCGGTTGGGCAGTTGACTACCAGGAAGTGAGTGTAGATGAAAGCCCTTCTCGGGCCGAAGCCGATGGTGAGGGGAAGCTAGATGCTCCCGATTGGCTCGACCACATCGTTCGAGAAGTTTAGAAGAGGAGTGATCTCTTTGTTAAGGCTCTGATGGTCGATTCCGAGATCGTTGAAAGCATCGACGAAGAGAACATTGACCGAACTTCCGGTATCGATGAGGATTCGTCCTACGTCGAAATCGGCAATGTCTGCTCGAATGATCTTGGGATCGGAATGGGGGAAGACGATGCCCTTCTCTTCTTCTTCGGAAAAGGTGATGGGTTCCCATCCGAATCACCGAATTTTGCTGTTGCGCTCCTCAGTGAGGCTGAGGACCTGAGGGTGCCGAACGACACAGCACGTAACTCTTGGCGGATTGACGGCTGGAGTCAGCGATCGGTGTATCGAAGCTGATCATGTTGATCTGCCGATTCCCCCGGTGCTCGGGGCCCGATTACGCATTCAAATACTGGTCTAGTTTGCCCTCGCTGATCAGTTTCTCAACGATCCTTCAGAGGGCAATGCAGGACTCGGTATCGTGGCCATTGTATTGGTGGTATCGGCAGAAGACTTCGGTGTCCTTGTCGACTTGCCGAGGACATGTTCGTAGGTCGAATTGAGAATGGTGAAGACCTCTGGCGGTCAGTCGCTTTTGGTGCTTCGGAAGTTTCGGCCACCCGACTCCTTACTATGTTTGCCTTCGTCCTGCCGACCCTAGAACGAGTCCCTTCGCTTGTCCCTGGTTGTGTAAGGTGCGAGTACAGTGGGTGCTGTTCGGCAGGGAGCCTGATTAGCGGTCTGATGTGGCGGAAAACGGTCATAGGTGGATGCCGAAGGTTGACCTGTGTTTGTCGTCGGGCCAGCAGATGCCGAAGGCATTCCCTTGGAGTTGAAGTGTTCGGCCTTGGCGTGAATGGCTGTCTGCTTCATGATTTCGTCGTAGGTGGTCCAATTGCTGATGTGCACTAGGTAGCGAAATTGGGAGGCTCGGAGGCCGCTTTTGAAGGTGCCGAAGGCTGCTCGGCCGTCGGTTTTCGGGCACCAAGAGTACTCGTGGCTGAATCTGGCCGCGTACTCCCGAAGGGGCTTACTGTCTCCTTGCCGAATGGTGTAGAGGTCGTCGGCAAAGTATAGACGATTGGTCTGTATCATAAAATGATTGAGGAAAATTTGTTTTAACTGGTCAAAAGAGTCTACCGTACCTGGTTCCAGCCGATAAAACTAATTCAGAGCTGCCCCGGCCAAGGTAGATGGGAACAACAGGCATTGGCCTTCATCGGTGAGTCCTTTGCAGCCCAAGGCCGATTGAAATGTATGGATGTGGGTGACGAGGTCCTCCACTCCCGAGTATAATGAGATTCGGAGGGCTTGTACCTCTTTTTCAGGTCGGTAGACTTGGATTCGGCTGGTGAATGGTCCTGGTTGTACTTTCCCCAGGTTGGGGTTCGGATCTGATTCTGCTCTTCCTCAATCCGGTTTACTTTTTGAAGGAGGGGACGGATTGTAGGATCGGTAGGAGGGAGGTTGGTCCCGAAGGGTTCTGCCGTTTTGGGGCCGGTTGGGAGGCGACCCTCTTGTCCTTGTGCCTCGTGGCCTGTCGTCGGGCGCCCTTGTTGCCGATCATTCCTTCTGGCCGATCCAAATGCCGTCGACTGGCGTGAGAGTGTCGTGTCGAGGGAGGTCGGAATGTAATCAGATTCGTCTGTCTCCTCTAGGCCGATCACGTCGTACCTCCGTCGAAGGGGAGATTTTGGTCCGAGCACGTCCAGATGCCGATAGTTGAGTTGTGATTGGACGGGAATCGGTGTTGTCTGCCGCTCTCGATGTCGGGCGTTGATTCTGTCGCGATAGTAGGAGTAGACTTGGTATTCCTGTGGCGTTCTGCCGAAGTTGGGACAAACAGCCTTCGGGAGGCGGACGGTCCGTCCTGAGCTGGCTGCTTTCCAGCCCTTTGGTCATTTGGTGGTTGTTCCAAGCCATCTTGCTGCTGGGTTGAACGTGACTGTTGCTCGTGAAGCTGTTTCTGGGTGTCGTCCAGTTTGGAGGAGAGGATATTGTTGTGTTCTTGCATTTTGATCATTTCCCGCTGCAGGGCTTCCGTCCTATCTTCCAGGGTGCTCTGCCGACATGGCGTTTCCACTCGAGGTGTGCCGGGCGGCACAATAGGGTTCTCTCGGCCTGAGAGGCCGAGGATGGGACCGTCGGCCGCAAGGGGCGAAGGCGGGTTCATAGTTTAGAAGTAAAAGGGAGATATGGGTTGATTGTCAATCGGATTCCCACAAACGGCGCCAATCTGTTCGCACTAAATCTGAACAGATAAGAGTTTAGGCTAACTTACAAGTATGCTGATCGTTGAGGATCGGAGTGACCTTCTTCCGTGATGTCTGAAGGTTCGAGCGGGGGCTGGATCCAACTTTAGGAGGGGATACCGGTGTGGTACCTGCCGAAGGTACTCCGATGCCCAAGTTAGGGACTAAGAGCGATTTTATTGACAGTGGAAGCACTAATCAAGTCAGAAAGTCTTACCACTTGGCTGGGCCAAGGGGCTCTATTTATAAAGAGCATTTGTCATGCTCTTTGCACTTAGTTTCGATGTGGGACTCGTGGGAGTGTCCTCGGAGGTCGACACGTGATTGTGACAGGCTCTGGCAGGAATTCTGAGGCAATTTGTCAGAATCAGATTGATGTGATGGTTGGTCGATCGGTAGACGATACCGAAGGTTGGCGTAGGTAGTGATGATGCGTTACCGACCAACTGAATCGGTACTGAGTGCCGAGAGAACATTCGGTATGGCCCCAGTTGAGCTAGTCTCTTACTTTGAGGGCGTTCCACGTATCGCGACGTGAGTGGGTGGTCAGATATGGTACAAACACCCTATAAGAACACAATGACTGAATTTGATCTTCAATTTAAAATATTTACACTAGTGGATACCACAAAATCTTATGTTATATTTAACGAAAGTATAAATAAACTCTTAATTGTTAGTGAATATATTGTCTTGATGGCATACGCATTCAACAAAACTAGTTTCAATGATCCAACCGTCAAACTTGTTTGTTTATACTTCAAGATCATATACGCCAAAAATCGGAAAAAATAAACATTCAGAGATCAAGTAATGGGACAAAACTTTTCGACGGTTATAAATGAAAAATCACAATTTAACGGTTATTTTAACTCTGATTTTGATGATTTTTTTACAGCTACACTCCTTGACCCTATATGAATACAATGAACTAATTCGATCGTCAATTTATAAAATATATTTTCTAACAAAAACCCAATCCGAACAACAATAATATATTTTTATAACAAAAGTCCGATCCGATCTAAAATAAAAAATTTAAAGCTACTTAATAAAAATATATATACCGTTTAATTTCTTAAGTGTTATGCATACAAATAAAAAACAAAAAATAAATTGGTTTAGGAGACAGAATGTTTGGATTACGCCATGCAAAGATTTTAAAAATAATTTTTTATTTTATTTTATTTTTATAAGGACTTTGCGCAACGAAGTTTATTGTTTTGTCGCGCAAAGTCACTTTGAGCAATGATGTATAGTCGTCACGCAACGAATTGTTTTTCGTCGCACAAAAGTTGGTCGCGCAAGGTTTTAAGCGACTAAGTTTTGAGTTTCGTCGCGCAAAGTGACTTTGAGCGACGAATAGTTTTTCATCGCGCAAAATTTGGTCGCGCAAGGGTTATTTTTTACTAGTGTAAGTGTGGTGAGGTTTTGAAGAAGCTCAAAGTATTTGAACTTACAAGTGGGAGTTATACAATAGCTTTGGATTTGAGGTAGGGGTTTTTCTTGGGGAAGTTTTGCATACATTGATTTAATTAAATATTGTAAATACTATATTATGCTTGGTCATATTATTTTATTATTATTGTAAATCCTATATTATGCTTGGTTATATTATTTGATTGTTATCCTTGATATTGGATGCATACATGTTGTCAATTATCATTATAATTTGATTCATTTTGACATATTCATATGTTATCGGCGGTGGTTGGAATTTTTGGGTTAATAAAGAAATTATGGAAAAGAGGATAATGGGAAGAATCTTTTGTGTAGTTGAGTCTAACCATTGTAGGGACCAAGTTCAGGCGAGCCCGTGTGCACAGTAGATTAGGCAATCGGCGGTATAATTGTCGATTGAGTGATTTGGGCTTGGAGATCAATGGTGGAGACAAGATGACTAGGCAAAAGGGGAATTATGGGATGATTGAATGGGTGTTAGTTTATATAATGGGGCATTTGGAATTACAGTGGTAAAATGCATGGTATGGGACATGCTGATTTGCTTGCCCTATTATATAGATTAACGGGTTGGGTAGAAATGAAGTTCATTCATGTATTGCATAAATTGTACATTATAAATCTCACTAATCACATAAGACATAGGACCCCTACTGAGCATTTAATGCTCACCCCTTATTGAATCTATTTCAGGCTTTGAATCTAAAGATTAGTTTTTGCTGAGGAAACAAGAAGAACGAGTTGTGGATAGTTTTGGTTGTTTTGTTGAAAGTTTGTTACTTTCTTGTTATTTTGCTTGTAATAGTACAATGTAAATTACTTTGACTTAAATAAAAGTTTATGTTCAATTTTCATGTTTCTTGATATTAAATTCGTAGTTTTAATTTTTCTTTTACCTCACATTCCAAAAAAAAAAAAAAAAAAAAAAAAAAAAAAAAAGGAAATTGGGTGACAAGTTCTGCTAAGATTTACATTCTCAGGTTAAGTATATCTCCCTGATTTCTGCTAGGATTGCATTATCAGGTTGACCATTTGTCCTTGAGTCCTGCTAGGGGAATTTTCTGTTTATTTGCGTTATCAGGTTCAGTATATCTTCCTAAGTCCTGTTAGGGGAATTGACAGATTATTTGCGTCCTCAAGTTGGCCACGTGTCCCTGAGTTATGCTAGGATGTGCCACACATGTGGAATGGACCATTCCACATGTGTAGTACTTGAAATTGATGGATTATATTTGGGATACACCTATGTGGAGGACAATGCAATACTGTGTGTTTATACAGTTAACAGGATATTCTTCGCCACCGTGCTCATATTATCTGCACAGGGTTGGCCAGAATCCCCAGTCACCTGCCCGACTTGTCTACACAGGTGGTTGACTAGTTTCCCTCTTCCCCATTTGCCTTTGGATTTAATGACATTTCTCATATACCCTTTGGTGGGTGATAGCAAGATATATACACTACGAGGATGGTTGCAGGTATGGCTTTTAGGTAAAAGGTTTGGTTATGTAAGTGTTTCGATGTTCAATGATAAATTGATTGAATAGTTAGGTACATAATTTTTGAGCATGATATTTGGTTATATAGCTGGATGAAAACAAATTAAAGAATGATTCTAGAATTTAATTGTTGGTTTTACCTTGAACAATATTAACTTATCTGAATTGTGATTTTTGGTACAAAGAACTACGTGTGGCTTGATCCCTCAGTAAGGGTATGTAGGTAACTTAGGCTAACCTAGGTGCAACCGCAAGTTTATGATTTGTTTGTTATGTTCAGTTAGGTCAAGATGTTTTTGCTAATTGGCATCTGGTTTATACCTTGTGCATGCTGAAAGCTTGGGAAATAATTTTGTTTGATATGCAAGTAGATTTTTGGGTTTTGACCAATTTCAACAGAGGCTCTGTCGATTTTTCGGTAAAAGTGAAGCCCTAAAATTGTTTTGGAATTAGGGTAAAAAGGTATTTTAGTAGTTTGGGCTGACACATGCTTGGTGTCGGATAGGGAAAGGGTTCGTCACGGATTCCAAGGGGGAATTCGGGGTGGGTCCTTTCAACTATTGCTCCAAATACCCTTAAATATGAAATAGTGTCCATCCGTCCCTTAATCCTATTTTTTATTTACACATTTCTTAACTTTCACTTTTCATTAAAGGCCTTACTCTTATCACCTGAATATATTCCACATCTTAACTCATATATATCTAAGGCCTTCTCCCACCCCTTAGATATACCTCGACCCAAACACAAATCCAAAACACAACCATATTTATGATGCATATGTAATGACACTCAAACACATTTATCTCTACGGAATAATAATAATATTTCAAGTATAATCACATGAATAATAATATTCACCCAACATCACATAATATCCACGGAGCAACATCAATAATAATATTCACATGACACCAAATATTATTTCATCGAACGTCAAATAATATTCACCGAACAAAACAACAATAATATTACTATATATAAGCACCAAGATTAAAAGTGACATAGCCAATCATCAGGAAATTAAGAAATTCCCGACTTCATGTCCAGTTGGCTAAAGTACCAATTTACTCTTCGGAAGTTCTCCGAGGATTTGTCGAATCTACATTTTTGATCCAATTCCTGAACAAATTCAAATCCAAATTATTATTGAGTAGTCTTTGCTCTATTTCACCTAAGACCAGTAAACCTCAACTTAACACCTCAACCTTACGCATTTCAAAGATTCTGAGTGAAAATAACGAAAATGCCCTTGGGACCAACCCAGGGTCCAAAGCGGTCAAATCTCGTTCAAAATCATCTAAAACGGTGTCCTACGCTCTGTCGACACCGAAACAAGGCTAACTACACCTGTTGTCCAAAAGTCACCATTTGGGTCACGTGGCCCCCATATCAACCGACATTTCAAACAAAATCCGCCTCGACGCATAACCTCAGATTGACTCAAGACCTATACCATCGGATTTGGATCGAAAAATCAAGTCGAATGGACTAAAAATATGGCGTCAGAGGCTGTTGAAATAGTCGCCATGTGCCGCCACTCGCAGGAGATGCAAGTGGGCTTGGCTGCGGTTACTGTTCATCATTTTCTAAAAAATTATGTATTTTTTTTGTTCTAGAGTTTTGTACTTCATTTTGACTGACCAAATATCAGCAGAAATTAACCAAATTATAACGGTTGGAAAGCCTATTAATTCTAGTTTCTAATCCAATAAATCAAACTCAAAACAAAGCTATAAAGAAAGAGAAATCAAGCTCCAAAGTTGGGCTCATGGCTGGTTTTCTACAGATTCTGCAGAAAATATCCATAATCATTCTTCATCCAATAGCTCAATCCAAAATCACTTGATAAAATACCCATAATCATTCTTCAACATAATATTATTTTTCACTAAAATATGAAACTCCACCTTTATGTGTTTACGGCAGTGGGTTTCTAGAAAGCGAGGATGTGTTTGGGTTGAGAAGGCCAAAGCTCGTTTTTGAGTGATTTCCAGCGAAGGGTAAGCTTGCCTATGTCTTCCTTGGTCTCCCGGTTCCTGTGGCTAAAGCCTTTTTTATAGACGCAGGAGGAGCAGTCGTTGGTCTAAAGCTTTAAATGGGGACAGTTGAAGTTGGACCAGTGATTGGAATATTGGCAGGTTGGTAGTTGGTTTTAAGTGGTGGAAGAAGACTGCAACTCAGCAAGTCTTTGACTTAGAGCATCTCCAAGGGAGATGTCAAATACCAAACATCAAATTTAAATTTAATGGCTGATGTGGCAATTTGACATCTTACACAGCTTTACACTCCACCCGATATGTCAAATTAAATTATTATTTTATTACATTTTAGTGTTGATTCATTTTTAATTAAAAAGAAAAGAAAAGAAAAAATAATAAAATATTCATTTGACATCTTGCTTTTGGGATGTCAAAAATAACATCTCAACCTCCAGCCTTCATTCCACATCAACTTTGACATATCGGTTGGAGTAATGTGAAATGTTATTTTTAGCTGTTAAATGTCTATGTGACACATTTGACATATCGGTTGGAGATGCTCTTAGTGATGGAAGATAGGAAATTGGAGGTTGGGTAATAAGTGCTGGAGTAAGACGACATCACAAGAAGTCTCCGTGGTTTAGTGCTGGAGGATAGGAAATTGGAAGTTGGGTAATAAATGCAGGAGGAAGACGCACGCTGTCTGCTTGCCCGCTCAATAGGTTCAATCAGGGGTGGCATTTTAAACCGAAAAACCGCAAAAACCAACCGACAATTTACCGCAAAACCGCAATCGCGGTAAACCGAACCGCATTTGTGGTATTAAGAACCGAACCGCATTTGCGGTTGCGGTTGCGGTATTTGATTTTCAAAACTTGCGGTTACCGCAAACCGCAAAGTATAGCCGCACAGATGATGAGGTTGAGTTCTACAAGGAAATGGAACATATGACAACTTGTAAGTAATTAGTTTATTTATGCTAATGTTATTTATGCTTCTTCTTATAATAAAATGTACTAAACTATGTTGTTTTATTTGTAGATAACATTACTATGTTGTTTTATTTGTAGATAACATTACTATGTTGTTTTATTTGTAGTGCTCAAACAACACAACGGGGTTCTTCAAATCCACTCACCACCAACACTTGAGTTTGTAACATTGGTGCATTGCATTTTCCTTTTAGTTTGTAACTTTAATTAACTTTGAATTGGATTTTTCTTTTTAGTTGTAACTTTAATTCATTTTGCTTTGCATTTTCCTTTTGGTTTGTAACTTTAAAGGATTTGGAATTGGAATGCTTGAGAAGTTTAACTTTAATTGGAATGCTTGGAATTGTAACTTTAATTTTCTTAGGTTGTGAATGCTTGAGAAGTTTAGGAGATTGTGAATTTATATATGTTTGAGAAATTGAGGTTGTGTATTTATTTATTTAGGTTGTGAATTTATATTTTTGTGAATGCTTGAAAACTTGCGGTTTTAAACCGCTAATTCGCGGTAACCGACCGCATTGCGGTTGCGGTAAACCGCAAAACGCGGTCGGTTTGCGGTTTCAAAAATCACCAAACCGCAAATAGTCGGTCGGTTTGCGGTTTGAGTAAAAATTCGCGGTTACCGAACCGCAACCACCCCTAGGTTCAATAGCAATATATTCTACATTTTACGATTCTTTTTTACTGTTCATCAGTTTGATTAAAAAAATTTATTTGATAGAGATCTAAGTAGGTTTTCTATGTGTACATCGAATGTGGAAAGCATGATTTGTTTTTAGCTTCTTTCTATACATAATTTAAGCCTCCATTGTATTCAAGCTTTATGTCAAGTCACTATGTTGACCCGATATGAATTTTAATTCCACACGCTTTCATATTGAATGATGGCTTCTCAAAATATAATATCTGATAGAACAAAATTAGCTTTTTAAAATTTGATCTGAAAACGACTTGGGAACAACAAGACGAACAACTCTACATAGACTAACTTCATTTATTTTCTTTTCGTGTGAGTCACAACTCAAACATTTTTGTTTTCCAATTAAAAATTTCTTTTTATTACAACAATTTTTCCACCCACCAACTGAGTGTTATAGCTAGCCAGATCAATTTTTGCCACTCTCAGCCTTGTCCAAAAACCCTCTTCACCTTGTATAGAAAGCCTCCCAATTTCTGTTATTAGGTTATCCCATACCTATAATTTCTGTTATTAATATAGATTGTATCGACAGAAGTTAGAGTTATGCCGAACCCCGATGTAACTGTGGTTGTGGAGAAGCCGGAAGAGAAAGCTGAACGGTTTGGTTTCTTTTAACTTTGAAGTCAATACATAGTAACTCTTCTTTGATTCTTTCTATCTGATAGGGTGAAATTTTATACTCATGTTTCTTGTGTATTTTCCAGTGATTCAGATTCAGACTTAGATTTAAAATCATGCTCATATTCAGATACTACAAGTAGTGGAGAATCTTCCGTCGAAGAATGGCAGCTATCAAAAGAAAAATGGCCAAATATGAAGGTGAAAATTCTTGAGTGGAAGAAGAAGATGTTTGCAAAGTGGAAGCAGATTTTTGCAACATCATGTGTGTTTGCTGTTTCACTGGATCCTTTGTTCCTCTACATTCCTATCATCAATCAGGACATGAATTGTCTGAGATTGGACCAAAACTTGAAGATAGCAGCTCTTACATTAAGATCTGTGACAGATATCTTTTATATTATGGACATCATTATTGAGGTTTATACATATAAGATCTGTTCAAGTTTAACCATTGAACTTCATCACATCTCCAAATCAGAATTCTTAGGGAACACCTTTTTGCCGACGCTAGCTAAGAAGATTTGGCAGTCATACATCTTAATTGACATTTTAGCTATTCTTCCCCTTCCACAGGTAAGACAAGTCCTTCCTGGAGGTAATAGCTTCCTTATGTCTTTACCAGTGATATTATTCACACCACATTTACTGACTCAGGAAGTCTCTACCATATGTATGTGGGACATACCTGTATTAGAGTCAATAATGGGAAGTATGATATAAAAAGCATCGAGTCCTGTTTCAATATTTTCTCTCACCATATATAATATTCAACTTAATTATTGGCATAAAATTGTGTTGTGTTCAGGTTTTACTCCTCAATTTCTTTTCAAGAATGGCGGCTTCAAGATCCTCGGAGACAAGCAAGTTTATTATGAACTTTTTTGTTCTGATGCAATATATACCGCGGGTTATTCGCATCTACCTATCGTGTGAGGTATCAAAAAAGTCTCCCAAGAGGGAGACTCCAATATGGGTTAAAGGTGTACTTAATTTCTTTATGTACATCCTTGCTAGTCATGTAAGTTTCAATCTTATTATGATTTATTTTAACTCCATGAAGTTAGCGTTAAACAAATTAAGTATTACAAGCAAGTTCGATCAAGTTAACTAAATTATTGATTATTGTTCAGATACTTGGAGCCATATGGTACTTTTTTGCTATTCAACGAATGACAGCCTGTTGGCAATATGCATGTCAAAATGAAAATGGGTGTGACCCTAATACTTTTGGTTGTCATCACCAAACATTCAAAGATGATTTGTGTCCTATAAGTTCACCAAATGCAACGATCTTCGATTTTGGGATATTTCTTAGTATCCTTCAGTCTGGTGTGCCGTCATCAACAAATTTTCTACAAAAGTTCTCGAACTGCTTTTGTTGGGGCCTACGAAATTTGAGGTTTGTACTTTCATCTTACATATCAAATATTACTTACAATATATGAACAAAAACATATTCAAAATTCAGGATGGACAAGGTTTAATATTAAATAGATGAAGAATATTGTATGCCCTTAAAACATTAATTAGAGTGCAGATGAAAGACATCAACCACACTATTTTTTAACATAACTTTTTTGTCAACAAAAAAGGATTAAATGTTAGCCCTTCTAAAGTAGAATAAGTTTCATAATATAGAGAAGTTAAGGATATTTCAGTAATTTAGTGTAACACCCCAGCCCTAATTTTATTGACTATTTAAATTATTTAATTTATTTAATTATGAAATTACAATTTTGCTCTCGGGGGTAGGAGTATTTTTGTCACTTTTTAATTCGGAAGGATTTTGGGGAAAGGAATGGTACTATTGCGTAGATCATGCCGAGATGAGTTCGTAGACACATAGTGAGCTCAAACCAGAGTTGTAACGAAGAAATTACGATCAAAAGAAACATAGTGGCAAAACTATAAATATTTCGAAATGGGTTTATTAAAATCAGATTTCCCCTCATCTCTCTCTCTCTCTCTCTCTCTCTCTCTCTCTCTCTCTCCCTGTGTGTGCCCCCCCCCCCCTGTATAGCAGCGATGGTTTTCTCTTAACTGCTGCTACTCCGGCCACCACTCACGCAGGGACCGGTCCCAAAAGGACCGGCTAGCCTCCCTCTACCAGCCCCACCCCTCAGTCGTAGTCGGAAAAAGCAAGAAAAAGGCCGGTTTCAACCCGTAATTTTCGGAGCTCATTCGGACGATTCCAGCTACCAATTCTTCGATCTAGGTATGCTTTTTCATCCTTTGAATGTGTTCTAGCTGATGGTTGGGTTGCTTAGGATCAATTTCTGCATTTTGGTTGTGAATTTATCGCTTGAAATCTGGCCGGTTTTCGGGCTCTCGATTCCGGCCACTTGTTGGGGTTCGTCCAAGAACAAAAGTTGCTCCATTCTTTGTTATGATCATGTAGGTATAGGTTTTGTCCAGTGATTTAGAGATTTTTCCGATTGCCAAAATTGCTTTGGACACCCACACATGTGCGCGTGGGCCACTTCGTGGCTAGCCTTTGTGTCCAAAAATGATCCACATGTCGTCCCAAGCACAACGGTATGTTCGGATTTTAATTTGGTTATCTTTTGACTGTCGATCAGATATCGCATATTTGGCGTTATCTGGGTTTAATATGTTCAGACCGTTGGATCAACTGCAATTTAAAATATGTTGATCTAGGCATCTCTAAGATCGTGTAGGAATTTGCGGATTGTGAATCGGAGACCGGATGCTCCGATTCAATGACTTAAAGTTGCGTTAAACGATAACCATCCAATTGTGCGATCGTGATCGATCCAACAGTTCAATTCGGACCAAAATTAAAGGACGAGAATAGTAGACCTTATTAAACCCCGCCGGCCCAGTTGACCAAGTTTTTCAATTGACCATGAGTCTTTCGAGGTAGTTTCACCATGCGAGGAGTACTAGAACGACCTTATTAACGAGTCTTGACTGTTATTTGAGTTATGTTGACTATGTTGGGATTTTGTGATTGTTTTATAATATCGTATGAAATTCTTGGATTATTAGTTTGATAACTGAAGTTATGGAATGGATGAGTATGAGATACTTGATCAATGGATTATGAAAACGAGTCTTGGGTCTCGGCTATGATTATTAGCAAGTAAATGGATGTTTGTTTTTAAGTGTACTTTGTTCTAATATGGAATTTCTTGCGTAATGAGTTTTGAGTGAAAATTGATTTAATATGGGTTAATGAGGATATGGGATCTCTAAAGGTTATTATTTATCATTAGTTAATATTATTATGATTATTATTAAAGTATATGGATTGGGTGATATTGGGTTATTTACGAAAGTCTATTGTTTTAATTATGGAATATAGTATTTTATGGAAGTTAAGTGTAAACAAGTTTTGATTACTATTTGAATTATTTTGGGCCTTTATAGAATATAGGCTTGAGAGTTTATTTTCTATACTAGGAATAAATATTTGGGAAAATTGAATTAAGGAAGGGAATATTATTTTTATATTATATATATATATATATGAGGTTATAAAAACAAGCTATTGGTTCAGTCTCGGCCTGTATCATGTGACACGAAACTTCCCGTTTATATTTTGTTATTATTAATATTATTATCATTATTATTATTATTATTACTATTATTATTAGTGCCATTAATATTATTTATAAAGGATTATGTGACTTTGAATAAGATACGGTGTTTTGAATTTTATTATCTTATCTTAAGGGATTTTCAGAGATTGTTTATTCCTAAGTATTTGAGTAGTGTTTTGAATATTAATAAAATCGAAATGGTTTACTTAGGTTTGGTAATGGGTATTTCGGTTAATTTGAATATGGATTATATGTGTTGATGAATTGTTATTCACTTTATGATTAAATAACTAAGCAAGAGATTAATATAAGATGTGGGTACTTTATTGTTTGGTTATGTGAATATGAGATTACACCATGCTAAGTACCATTCCTTGGTTATGGTACCCACACGTGGCGTTGGATTATTCGGCATGTGATAAAGCAGTCTGCGTGCATAGAACATGGTTCGGTTGGGCCACACGTGGCTTTGGATATTTCAGCGTGTGTGCTGATTGGGACACTGGTTACTTTACCACAAGTGGTGTTGGATTTTCCGGTGTGTGGTAAAGGATCCCTACACTTGGGTTACTGTTACTTTACTACGAGTGACGTTGGACTCTCCGGTGTGTAGTAAAGTAACTGAGAGAGAACAAAAGGGATTATTATACTATGTCGGGAAAAGATTAATGTTTAAAAAGGATTATGTTTGGTATGATGTGATTTAAATTAAAGGGAAAAGATAATTCTAGAATTAACGTATTAGTATTACTGAAAATGATTGTATGTTCTCTAAACCGTGATTTTTTGTAGTAAGAACTACGTGTGTCTTGATCCCTCACAAAGAGGTATGTAGGTAGCCCGGGGTCTTACCTAGGTGCAGCTGCGAACTAAAGTTTATTTCTAAAACTTTAATTTGGTCATTTGGATCTAGTCTTTCTTCTTTTGTTTATGAGGGGTTGGGTTTTGATTTTGTCGATGGTCCTGAAGCTCGATTGAAACCGAGGCGTGATTGAAATGATTATTCATATTCCCGTTTGACTAAGTGGGTGTTGTTGAAAGGTGTTTGTGGTTAAGATAGGTATGATACCTATCTTGGATTAATGTACGATTTGGGCCCGAGTCTTTGAGCTACTTGCGATTGTGTTTGGATGGTAAACATCACATGGTGAAAATTTGGGAAGTTATTTTATGTTGATTACAGTGGGTATTTGTAAAATTGTTTGGGTCTGTATTGTTAATGTATTATTTGACTTAAGAGATTGTTGGTGGTTTTGCTTTGAATTATTTGAAGGATAGAAGCCTATTCTGCAAACTGTGTGTTATTACATTGTGTGTGCTGGCAGTTGATTTCTTAAACTGAGATATTTACAAGTGAAACAAATTTGGTAAATGTTCGTTTTTCAGGGGAGACTCTGCCGAAATTTCGGCAGAAAGTCTCGTCCCTCTTTTCTTTGATTTGGAAAAGATGATATATTGTTAGTAAGTGGGCCGGCATCAACTTGATGTCAGAAATAACACAGAATTCATCATGAGTTTCGAGGAATTCAGGGCTGGTCTTGTCATTTAGTCGTTGACCTATTTCACTATAACTTATAGTAAGAGTTTAAATGAAACATATAGAGTAAAAGCATGGGGCAAAATGACAGAATTGAAAAAATAGGGCAAAATGAGACAAAGTAAAAACATAGAGTTTAGAAGCACAACATAAAATACAAGGATAAAGTGAGATTTAAATTAAATAAACACGAATGGCAAAACAACAATTAAAATTTCTTGTTTTAAGAGAAAATTGATAATTGTACTCATAAATTAAGCATAAAAATCATAAGCCACAAGGGCCAATACAAATATTCACAAAAGGTTAATACAAAGATAGAAGCATAATAACCACACAGGGTTAATCCAGATTCATAGAAACACGCATGAAATATCAAGCACACAAATTGTATTTCCACTAATAGCCATATAAGGCCAAAGAACTTTCGGCATAAAATCCCCAAGCTTGAAAAAGCCATACATGAATTGTAGTGCCTAAAACTATACAATTACAACTTTTAAACTCTCACAAGTAGAGACGAGACTATAAACGAACACCCAACTCACAAAGCGTTGATTACAATTCAAGAAACTGTCAACAAACAACATGTGAGTAAAAGTCACTCATCTACCTCATCTATCTCAAAACCGCAATAAAACCACTAGTGCACTGCTATTTCGTCGTCACTAAAGGTTCCAAAAATAACAAAGCCACAAGAGCTGTCAATGAAATCACCAATGCAATCAAGCAGAAAATCCAGGGAAAAAACTAGTAAGCACCCTGAAGAAAGAGGGGAGGGACGGGGAGGAGAGTAATGGGAAAGGAGGGCACCACCCCAAAAGGGGGGCCGAGATTGGACCTAGATTCCTGAGGTCATGTTTTTTTTTTTTTTTTTTTTTTTTTTTTTTTAAAAGTTCGTTAGAGTTTATACTAGACTTTATTCTTTTGATGTCCAAAGAAAGATTTCGACCAAAAAAAAAACCCATAGAAAGACTTGAGCAAATTATTTACTTTATTAAGTTATTCTAAACTTTTTTTTTCAACTATTCCATATTTATTGCGTATTTTCTTAGATATGCAACTTTAAATTTTTTCAAAAGTGGTTGTCATTTTCTCAGTCTTGTTTATTCAACCGTTGTTTCCTTGTCTTTTGTTTTTTTTTCTTTGTTATCTTGTGACCAACTTATATGTGATACGATCCTAACAAATACGTACCACGACACATTTATTATTGTCACTTGCCACCTAAATGGATTGAGATTTTCTAATCACTGGCTTTTTCTTTTGAATTTATTTCTCGGCATATAGCTTTCGGTTTTTAAGAACAAAATTATCTATATTGGGTTACCACCATGGCGTTATCCCAAGCTAATCACCTATAGCCATGTATTTTAACTCGATATGGCAATGTGTGATAGGTTTGAGATTCCGCCACTGGGACATCCTTGTTGCATGTAAGTTTTTTTCGTTTTTTAGGGCCCTTTACCTCTTTTTTTTCAATTAATTTTCAATACTTTGATCATTGCAATTCTTTTTACTCATTATTGTAAGAGTCTCGCTCATCGTTTATAGTTAACTCTCATGTATTGGACAGCTGTGGGTTAGTTCAGTTTGTCAAGATAGTGTATCTACTACCTTACATTTTAAGTTCGAATTTCCTTCCCTTTAAATTAGATTAATTTAAAGTTAATTTAGAATATCGCTTGACTAAAAGGTTCTATTCTCCCAAATCTTGAGGACTAATACGTAAATTACATATTCTAAATTAACGGAACTACGCGACAAAGAAATCAATATACAGTCCACATACTAAAGTTTACAATAATTAATAAGTCCTGAAAGTTTTAGAAAATTTACAAATTTTAAATCACATTGGATTGTTGTAGGAGTGGAAAAACTAAAAATAATCCAGGTCATGGGCTTCAGTTTGGGCATTTCGAGAATTCGCAATAATGATTTGAACTAGGATGGGCATTCAAACCGGAAAACCGAGCAAAATTGGGCTAAAAAAACAGTGTTTACAAAAAACTAACCGAGTTGACAAAAAAAGGACGATTTTAATTTTAGTTATTATAGTGAAAAAACTGAACCAGGGCAAACCAGACTGATTGTGTATTTTTTTTAATAAATTTTTTAAGCCTAATGCAAAATTTCTAAGTCCGTAACTAATCTTTCCCCTAGAATGTGAGCGCGCACTCTGTCTCTACCCTTCCCCAACCCATAGCCCAACCCTTCCTCCTCCATAGCCAACCAATTGAGATCCATGACCCCCAGCCCTACCCACTCCTGTAGGAAGCCACCTTAGATCCAGTCCTTGCCAGCATCGCGCTCCGATCCCCTCTCGGTTTCCTGGCATCGCTAGCCACGTAGGGGAGGAGGTCTCCTCCTCTCCGTCCCCTCTTATCTCCCATGGACCTCCTTCCCCCTCTCCTTCTCCTTCATCTTTTCTTTCTGATTCTCCGCTTCCCTTCTATGGGTGTGGTTTTCATTGTCTTTTTATTTTTTGCCTAAGTCTGATTCCTTGGTGAGATGGTGGCTCCTCCCCACCCCTGTGGTGGCTGCTCCAGCTTTATGCTTGGTATTTTGTGGCTAGAGGAATGCTAGCAACCTTCTCTCTAACCTTCTCCTTTGGACCTTTTCCCTTTTTTCCTTGACATGTGTCATTCTCCTTACACTTAAAACAATGTCATTAATATATTATACAAGTTAACTTTTAATTTCCAAGTTTACCCTTATTAAATGTATTCAATTTATCCCAAAAAAATTTCACAAATTTCTCACCATCTTATTATTATTTTTTAACGTCAAATTTTTTTAATTTAAGAAAATGTCTGCTTTTAAAAAAAAATAGGAAATGTCCCTTTTTTTTAACATCAAGTTTAGACTTTTTTTTTTTAAACAAACATTTTCTTTAAAAAAAAATGGATGTTAAAAAAATTTATTAAGATGGTAAGAAAGTTGTGAATTTTTTTTGGATAAATTGAATACATTTAATAAGGGTAAACTTGGAAAGCAAAAGTTAGCTTCTATAATATATTAATGACATTGTTTTAAGTGTAAGGAGAATGACACATGTCAAACAAAAAATGGAGAAGGTTAGAGAGAAGGTTGCTAGCATTCCCTTTTGTGGCTGTTGTCCCAAATTTTATTTGTGTCCCCTTGTATTCTCCAAACTTTCCCCACAATCACATATGTTTCATCCTTTACACCCCTCCCTATTCTGGCCTCCTCCCAATCTAGGATTTGCCCTCTCCCTTGGGCGGTAGCAGCTGCACCTAAACACAATTTATCGTGTGTATATCGGAAGGTGAGTGGAGTCTGTGCTCCGGTGCTTGCACCACCTCCTTCTAGTCCTTTGGTTCCTTTGGTGTTGGTACATTTGGCCTTGGGTTGGTTTATCTCGGGGTTTTTCTTTGCGTGGTTGTTGCTTTCTCTATGGTGCACTTGAAGATTCGGGTTTGCTGGAGGTGGTGAGTCTTGGGTTCGTGTCTTCAGGTTGATGAATGAATGTGTTCTGGGCAATTTTTGGTATACTTGTGGGTCTATATGTGCAGCTATGCTAACCTATGTGGAGGTTGACTATCCTCGTATGTGGCCATGGTGGTTCGTTATCGGTCCTCGTGGTGGTGGTCACGGCACTGTGTGCTCGGTTTTTCCTTTTTGTCACTTTTGTATTGGGACACTTTAGTGCCCCTGTTTTTTATTTAGTTTTCATTTTTGTTAGGGGTTCTGATCCTTTAGTTAGTTCGGAGCTTGGTTCTAGTGGATTCTCCCCCCTTTTGTATTTGTTTCTCTTGCTGTTCTAGTTGTGTATTTCTTGTCCTTTTGGGTTTATTAATGCACTAATTTCAACAAAAAATAAAATAAAACTAATCTTTCCCAAAGTCTAACTCCAAATCACCTCTCTTTTCTAGTCCCAATCACATCCCTTTACATGAAATTTGGCCATTTGTGAATTTTTAAGCCAAAAAAATAACATTTTAGTGTGGTTTTGTGAAAAAAATAAATTCAAAATTCAAAACAAAAGATTCTGTTCCAAAATCGAAAATTGAACCGACTTATGAGCAAACTGAACCACATCAGAACAAATAATGTTTTCGACAAAAACAAACCAAACTGAACCGGATGAATAATATCAGTTTCGATTCCGATTTGGGGTGAGAACCAGACCCTGCCCACGCCTCCTTTGAACATAAAAAAGTGTGTTGTATTTTCTTAAATTTTCTTTAGTACAAGCGATAGTCTAAGGTAGGGTTTCACACACACACACACGCAATAACAAGGTGCCATAGGACTTTGAACCTGAGATCACTAGTCTGCAAATCAAGACATTTTTCCACTAGGCTAGACCATGTTGGCAATATTTGTTTACTTAAGCATATTGAATTTGTAACTTTATACTTGCATCTTATATTGCTCCATTTATTTTTGCAGTTCTCTTGGATCTAACCTCCAACCCAGTACTAGGACTTGGGAAAACCTCTTTGTGGTTTTTATTTCTATAACTGGCTTGCTACTATTTATATATCTCATTGGAAATTTGCAGGTTGGTGCCCCATTTAATTATATATATATAATATAAAAATTTCTTGATGCCATTTTGATCCTGTAGCTTTGGGTTTTTTTTTTCTTTTTCAATTATTTCCATGTGGTTTTAACTTTATTCATAAATTTGTTTTTTATCATACAAAACAATAATTCACTCAAGAAACTACTAAACACACTCAAGTTCCAACCAACATCACTCCCAACATTCTCTCGATGCACCCACATATTTCCAAGGACAGCTTGCCTTCACCATGGATACGGCCAAGGAATATTTACTGTGTATTCTTCTATTCTTTTCTTTTTTTTGCCTTCACCATGGATACAGCCAAGCTTGACGATTGTTTCTTCTTCTTTTTTTTTGGGTCAATTTGCTTATGTAATGATTTTTTATTGTCTCATTTAATGGTGTCTATATATATATATAATGTATATTTTCGCTGAATTTTTTATTTGAATATGTTTCGTAACTCACAATGATCAATGCATATGATTGATCATTGTATTATACTTTAATTAGAATATAACTCTCACTTGCTTGTTGTGGAATAGACATATTTGTCCTTGGACACTACAAGAATACAGGTGCATAGACACAAGATGAAAATAAAACGGAAAATGGAAGCGAAAGGTCAAGAGCTAGAATTATGGTTGCCTAAAAATGGCATCCCTCGGAGGTCGCAGAAGGATATAAAGTTGCAGATCATGGAAAAGGTAGAACAAGAATTTGAAGAAAACAGGAATGTTGACTTGGATAATTTCCTTCCTACTCTTCCCTTGGATCTTGAAAACCAGATCAAAAGTTGTATGCCGTTGACTAGGTTGAAGAAGGTAAGTTTGTCCAAACTCTTGACTATAGTTGTAGCATGATCATATATAACAAGAGCACTTCAATTCTTCAAAGCAATTAAATTAATCACATTCATTAATCGTAGGTGCGAGAACTTCAAAACATGGATGAACAAGTGTTAAAAGCAATTTGTCAGCATCTCAAGCCCATGAAGTATTCTAAAAACAATCTCATTCTTCGAGAGGGCGAACCCCTTAAAATGATGATCTTCATTGTAGAAGGACATGTAGCCATTGAAAAGAAAGGCGGTTCCATTTCGCTGCAAGGTGCAAGAGAATTATGTGGAGAAAATCTTCTAGCTTGGCCGTTCTCGACCTCTTTTCCTCAGACGTTACCTACAGCAACAGAGTCTGCTAGGGTAATTGGTGATGTTGAAGCACTTATTCTAATGGCCAGTGATATGAAGAGTGTCGTCTTTAAATTCGGGGTGCATTTCGTCAAGAAGTATGGAAAACTCAAAGAAAAATTGGTCAATCTTCATCTAGGACCTGTTGATACAACACCAACATTGGTTGAGACAACACCAACATATTTTGAGGGATCGCACACAATCTTTACTGCACAGGAACTTAAGAAGGCCACGAAAAATTACCATGAAAGTACAAGGGTTGGTGAAGGAGCCTGTGGAATACTTTACAAAGGGTTACTACCAGATAAAAAAGTTGTTGCCATAAAAAAGTCCATGAATATTCATGCGCCATCCACGAGCATTAACTCCGTTAATGAGGCTCTTATTCTTTCTCAGATCAACCACAGAAACATCATCAAGCTTTTAGGTTGTTGTTTAGAGGCAAAAGCGAGTTTAATGGTTTATGAGTTCCAGGACAATTGGTCTCTCTATCATCAAATTCACAAAGAAGGCATAGGATCCGGACTCTCATTTGAATTAAGAATGAAGATAGCAGCAGAAACTGCAGGAGCATTAGCATACTTGCACTCCATGTCAATCATACACCGAGATTTGAAGACAATAAATATATTATTGGATAAAAGTTACACAGCAAAAGTTGCAGACTTCAGAGGTTCACGATTGGTTCACGAAGATCACGATCAAATATCAACTTCAGTGCAAGGGACACTCGGATACTTAGATCCTGAATACATTCAATCAGCAACGCTAACAGAAAAGAGCGATGTCTACAGCTTTGGAGTTGTCCTATTGGAGCTTCTAACAAGTCAAAAGGCAGTGTCTTTTGAAAGGTCTGCCGTAGACAGAAACCTAGCAAACTTCTTTCTTCGCTCAATGGAACGAGGTCACTTAGTTCAAATTCTTGATGGTGAAATAATCAACGTGGGGAATTTTGAGAGAGCAGAAAAAGTAAGCTATCTGGCGAAAAGATGTTTGAAGGTTAGAGGGGAGGAAAGGCCTTGTATGAAAGAAGTAGCTGCCAAGCTCGAGGGGATAATGCGAAGCATGGAAAAGCATCCAGGAGGAAAGGCTAATTTTTCTCCATCTCCCAAAGAAACTGACTGCTTGCTTGGTTCACCTTCAAACGCTTATGTTGTGGATGTTAGAGGTGAAGGTGATGATGCTGGTTCTAGTGGTATTATTACTAGTGCAGAGGATGACAAGAGCATGCAAAATGAAATCCAAATGATTGAGCCTTATGATGGTGGACGATAATTGGTCTTTTGCTATTCAAGTTATTTTTTGTTGACCCGTTTTGATTTTAATCCTGTGATGGTAGGGTAAAGTTCCCCATTAGCTTGAAAACTATTGGTGGTCAACAAGTCAACTTTCTTTTGTCTATGAGCGTGCCACTGCTAGCAACGAAAACCCTAGCAGACTCCTTAAAAATAGATAACGTGCGCCCCAAGTTATTGACTTCTAAACAAGCGATTGTGAATTTGGGTGAGGAATATCTCTCAAGTAAGTTCTTTTCTTGCCCCAGACTAGTGAGGACTTCACAATTTTTCTCAGTACAAAAACTGGTAGTTCTGGCTAGAAGTAATGATAAGAAAGTGAACTGGTTTAGGAAGAACTACCTTTTACAAAGCTCAGAAAGGGAAAGACCAACTCTAAAAAAGACAAAAGAGCGTTGGACTTCAATTTCTGCCTGGATAGCTGCCTTTGATCCGGACTGGATTAGGTATGTATGTGCTGGATTGGACCATCAACACCTTCAACTGTCAAGTTTCAGCTGTAAATCAATACCAACGTTCGAGTTTGGCAGAGCTTTAATCACTACTACAAAAAGTGAAAAAGACGACCACAAAAACACGACGGTCTACGTGAAAACCGTCGTTTTTTAAAAGACGACGGTTTTATAAAACCGCCGTGTAATAACACATTAGACAACTAAAAAATGGAGTTTCAAATGGCTGTTCCAAAAACACGACGTACTTAATTAAAAAACCGACGTCTTATTGAAATAGGATTTTCAAGAGGTAAAATCGTAGCCAACAAATAACGGCGGAAGTTATGAACCGACCGACGTAGAAAGTAAAGACGACGGTTTCACAAAAAGCCGTCGTTTTTACCCAGAAATTAACACGACCAAGTTTTCGTATAAGGCGACGTAAAATTACAAATAAATCCACGGCGGTAAAATACAAAATACCGCCGTATTAAATTAATGTACAACTACGGCAAAGGTAAATATAACGACGTCTTTCTCGTATTTCTACGACGACATCTTTCAATCTTACCAAGTTGGGGTTTTCATATAACGACGTATTATAGAATTTAACGTCGTATTTGTCCACTTTATACGTCATAAATTATATTTAAACCGTCGTCTGAATAAGAATTTTTTTTAACAATTTATTTCTTCGATTTTGTTATCCTACGTCGGTAGATCTACCTAACGACAAGAATTGAAATAACCACGACGGTTTATATAGAAAACCGCCGACATAATCAGATTATTCTGAGATCACAAGGGTTAGGAAATCTTACAAGATGGAACTCCAGATCTGTTGCTCATTATAATCTTACCAGAAAGACAATATTTTAGAGGTTAATGATGTATGTGTATTTGTGTCTTTGAGATACACAAACGCACATACACATTAACATCCAAAAAATTGCCTCTGAAATTTGACGACGGCAGCCTCAGATTTGCAATCAGAGAGACAATTTTTTGGAAGTTGATGATATGTGTGCGTTTGTGTATCTACACAAACGCACGCACACATCAACATCCAAACAATTGCCTCCTAAAATTTCACGACGGCAGCCACAGATTTGCAATCAGAGAGACAATTTTTGGAAGTGAATGATGTGTGTGCGTTTGTGTATCTACACAAACGCACACACACATTCACATCCAAACAATTGCCTCCTAAAATTTCACGACGGCAGCCACAGATTTGCAATCAGAGAGACAATTTTTTGGAAGTGAATGATGTATGTGCGTTTGTGTATCTACACAAACGCACATACACATTCACATCCAAACAATCGCCTCCTAAAACTTCACGACGGCAGCCACAGATTTGCAATCAGAGAGACAATTTATTGAAAATTGGTGATTTGCAATCCCAAGAGATGAGGTGAGACAGAGAAAGCGGCAAGAAAAAGTTGAAACCCTAATCGAATACTAAAACTGAAAGAACCCGTGGAAAAAAACCCTATTTATAATTAAAAAACCAAATCCACGTCGGTTATATTACACATAACGACGTTTAACAAAAACAATCCTCGTCGGTAACAAATACAGCACGTCGTTTTATTCTTACTTAAGACGACAATAAACGACGACGGTATAACAAAAACAGTCGTTGTTTTATATTTTTATTTGATTTAAATCAGTCACCTAGAAAAGAAACTTTACAAATTCTAGAACATTAATTTCCTCGGGAAAAAAAACTATATCTATAAGGCACTGTTTTTGAAAAATAAACTATAAGAAAAAGGGGAAAAAAATTATATTTATAATAAAAAAATAAAATCCACGTCGGTTATATTACACATAACGACGTTTAAAAACGAATCCACGTCGTGGAAAAATAATACGTCGTTTTAGTTTAGTGTTATCCACGTCGGTATATTACAATAAAACGACGTATATTATGAAAATAAACGTCGTAACTTTAAAACAACCGTCGTGTTAAATATTTCTACCATGACGCGAGATATTGAGTTATCGACTTTTATTTAGGAGTTTACTACGGCGGTACCTACAACACCACTGTCGTATTTATGTACCACGTCATAAGTTCAAATTAGCGTCGTAGTTTGTCTATTAATACGTCGTCGTTCTATGTAAACCGCCGTCTTATTATTATGAAACGGTTTGTATACATATACAACTTTTCGTCTACCTGACTTACACATGCACTGTTTCCAAACCCGAGAAAACATTTCAATCTCCCAGAGAAAACTTTTCGTCTTTTTTCCTTGTCAGAGCACTGTCAGAGTATCTCATCGTCTTCCTCTTGTCTTCGTCGTCGCCTCTGAACTTAAACACCAAAATCCGAGAGAAAGCTTTCATTGCACGCAAAAGGTAAGCTTTCATTTCTCACTATTTTTGTTGCTATTTTGCATGCTCATACTGTTTTTGTTTTGAAAATCTTTTTACCTTTTTTCTGGCGAAAATCATTTTTATTCTTTCCAAGTTTGATAAAATACACAGACAGAGAGGGAAAGTTTCAACTTTGAACATAACTAATTCAACTAAATAAGACGACGGTAGCTTTTTATTTACGTGGTTAAATATGTAGACCACGACGGTTCATCAGTCGTCCTAGCGTCGTCTTAAAATTGATCTAAGTTGTTTTTAAAATGACGGTCAATTTTTTATTTGCTTGTTTAGATGCAGGTTCGATTTCTCTGAACCATGGTTTTCGTTTTTCCTAATTTGATAAAATACAGAGACAAAGAAAGTAGGGTTTGGTATCTTATATAGACGACGGTATCTTATTATTGACGCCGTGTGAATGTTCATACCACGACGTTATACTAAGATACCGTCGTCTATAAAAAGATGCCAAAGCTTTTTTTCTTTGTATTTTATCAAATTAGGAAAAACAAAAACCATGTTTCAGAGAAATCAAACCTGCAATCAAACATTCACAAAGAAAGAAAAATGTTTTTGGTTTCTTATAAATACGACGGTAGCTTATTATTCACGTCGTGTGAATATCCATAACACGACGTTATATTAATATTTACGTCGTGTTAATATGAATATCACGACGTCGTGTAAATATCGCCGTAATAAGTTCTTATTACGTCTTATTTAATATTGTTTCGTCGTTGTTTAAACATTTATATTGTTCTTCTTTAATCATTTATTACGTCTGATGTTATGTTATTACGTCGTGTAAAATATTATCATACGTCGTAGTTTATAAATAACCGTCGTTTGTGTTCTAATTTTTTTCACGAAATATTTTCACTTGCAGGTTTTTTTATTCTGTAACCATGGTTTCTGAAGACCAAAGTAAGTACTCTGGCTCCAAAAAAAATGGAGGTAAGGAGCTTGGAATGGTAACTCCTCAAGACAAGCCCTTGAAGAAGATGAAGTTTGTTTCATCTGCTGAGAAAGAACCAAGCAGCACGACAACAATTTCTGAGGATTCAAAGTCAGGTCGAGGTATGAGCACAATGCCTCGTGTTGTGAAGAGAAAATTGCAGAAAATCAAGCCAGTTGTTGAGTACAATAAAAGGGGGAAAGGATGTGGCCCTGCACATACTGAGATGCAGTCCTACATTGGTGTGTTGGCACGCTCCAGAGTCCCACTTGTGGACAAGAAATGGGCTGACATCCCCAATGATATAAAGGAGCAGATTTGGGAAGCCGTTGACATGGCTTTTGTGGTAGGTCAAGGGGGCAAGACCTCGGTGTTATCTTCTGCTGCCAAGAAATGGAAGGATTTCAAGTCTACACTGACGAGGCATTATATCCTTCCATACATCAATGAGAGGGAGAAATTAAGCCAACCCCCTGAAGTATATAAATTCATAGAGAAAGCAGAATGGGATGCCTTTGTAGCTTCAAGGTTATCCAAAGACTTTGAGTCTGTGCATTCTCAACATGCACAGATTAGGGAGAAACTTGAGTACAATCATCGATTGTCTCGAAAAGGATATGCTGGTTTGGAGGATCAATTGGAGGAAACCATGCCTGGGGTAGAAATTGATCGATCTACCTTATGGAAGAAAGCTAGACAGGACAAACATGGTAACATCCCCGATCCAAAGGTGGCAGAGAAAGCAAAATTAATTGTAAGCCTACACACTCTGTTTTAAATTTTTATTAAACTGGGTAGAATTCTTATTACGTCTTATGTTATATTTTTCCGTCGTGTGAATGATTTTACTACGTCGAAATATTTTAAAAAACGTCGTGAAAGATCTAAATCTGGAATCACAACTCTGTTTTCTGTGATTATAGAATAAGACGTCGGTGGTTAATTTTTTCCGTCGTTTTAATGTTATTACTACGTCGAAATGTTTTCAAAAACGTCGTGAAAGATCTAAATCTGGAATCACAACTCTGTTTTCTGTAATTACAGCATAAGACGTCGGTGGTTTATTTATTGCGTCGTTTTAAACAACTAACCACGTCGGTTTTAATTAACGTCGTTATAAATATATTATAACGTCGATTTCTATATTGGTGCGTCGTGTGAAATTATATATTGCGTCGTTTGTTTATAAATAACCGTCGTGTATTTTCTTGTTCTGACTTTTTTTTATGTCTTTGTTTTAGGATGAATTGCAAAAACAAGTGGCTGAAGGCAGTCTGAGTATAACTGGCAGTAATGATGTGTTGACCTTGGCTTTGGGTCCCGAGCATCCAGGGAGAGTAAGAGGGGTAGGTGCTGGGATTTCCCCTAGGCAATTCTTCAATTTACCTAGACCACAAAGGGTAAAGTTTGCTGATCAATTGAAGGAAAGTGTAAGAATTGTCCTTCAAGAAGAGACTAAGAAGATGGAAGCTAGAACCAAACAATTAGTAGAGGCTGAGAGGGAACATTTACTAAGTCAGCTTTCCCACCTCATCCCCAATTTTGATCCAAGCATGCTTAAACCGAAAACTAGCCCCTGTCAAAACCAAGGTCTACAGCAAAGTCCCAAGAATCCAATGTCTGATAAAGCAAGCTGTTCTGGGGCTGAAGTGAGATCCCTACATTTAGAGGATGATACTGCCAGAAATGGGGAACAGCAGGAACAAACGGTAACATATCTGAACTTTGAATTCTCTGTTTTTTTTTAAACATTAGACGTCGTTATTATGAATAAACCCGTCGTTTTAAAACCATACCACGACGATTTTATAAATACCCGTCGTGTTTATTTAAATACCACGTCGTATTTAGTTTACTTGTTTTACACGCCATTAGACGTCGTACTTTGTGGCTTTTAGACGACGGTTTTTTTCCTTAACGACGTAATATAAAATTACCACGACGTTTTATTATTTACCATCGTTTAATAATTTTAAGACGTCCATAATTCTTACATACCGTCTTATGTTATGCCTTACCACGACGTTTTGGTTTAATTTTTTTACTCTCTGTACAATCTGTCTTATATATATATATTTCTTTATTATTTAAAACAGAAATCTGGGGCTTTAGATAATCAAGATGAAGAGAAGAAAGAAGAAAATAAAGATGAACAGAAGATGGGAGAAAAAAAAGATGAAGGGAAGAAGGAAGAAAAAAAGAGAATAAAGATGAAGGCAAAGAGGAAGATACAAATGTTGAAGAGAAGAAAGAAGAAAAACAAGATGAAGAGCATGACGAGGAGGTATATTCTCATAACTTTGCCTTTTTAATTTGTTTTTCACATTTCAGACGTCGATATTTTTCTTTAAACCGTCGTTTGTTTTCACATTAGACGTCGGAATTTATTTTCTACGACGTAATAAATAATATAAAACGACGGTATTTAATTACCGTCGTTTAAATTATAATAAGACGACGTTTTTTAATTTAAACCGTCGTTTTTAATGAATTACCACGTCATTTTATTTTGCTTTATTTCTTTAAACAGGGTAATGAAGTAGTTGATTATTCGAATGTGGAGGTGCCATCTTCCTTACAATCCCTTTGTGGTTATGTGGAAACTACACTAAAGCCACAGGGGAAGATCATGACCTTCAACATTGAGAAGGAGGTGTTTGGTGCAGATCGAAGTACCTTCGTCTTGCATGAAGATATTACACAGTTTTCAGGCATGGAAGAAATTGGGGCTACTGTGGTTGCAGTATATATGAGGTTTGTCCTAATCAAATATCAAACATTATCATAAGACGTCGGTTGTTTAATTATTGAGTCGTTTTAAACCACTAACCACGTCGTTCTTTTTTACCGTCGTGATAAATTAGTTATCACGTCTGTTTCTATTTCAGTTCGTCGTGTTAAATTGTATAATACGTCGTTTGTGTATAAATAACCGTCGTTTGTTTTATATATTTAGGTGCTTATATGATCTTTTGAGAGAAGCAAATATGTGCAGCATGGTTGGCTTTATCGACCCTGCTCAAGTTAGTGCCAACGCTGGGTCACTAACTGACAGATCACGAATTGTAGCCAGTCGACTTCAGAAAACAGATGGTGAACAGATTTTCATGATGCCTTACAATCCAGGGTTAGTCTCCTTAAAAGGATTTTGTTTGTATGATTTTCACTTATAAAACTGTTTAACTAATTCTGTGTCGTTTGAAACATCTAACCACGTCGGTTATTTATTTATTGAGTCGTTTGAAACAACTAACCACGTCGTTAGTTAATTCTCGTCGTGATAAATTTATAATGACGTCGATGATTAAGTTATTACGTCGTGTGAAACTATATAATACGTCGGTTTTTATAAATAACCGTCGTTTTTTATTTTATTTTTGTGCAGCCGTCATTGGGTCTTGCTGATTGTGAGGGCAAAGAGGGAAACCGTCTATTTTCTGGATCCTCTGCCTGGAAATCGTGTGGTTGATGAGGAGGGCAAAAACATCGTGAACAGTGCTTTAAAAATTTATAATTCCCACATAGGCAGACCAGGCCGTAAAGCACCAATTTGGAAAACTCTGCCAGGCACACCAAAGCAACCCAGCAGTGTCGAATGCGGGTATTATGTGATGCGCTTCATGAGGGACATCATCATGGATCCTTCCTTGGAGTTTGAGAAGAAGGTAAGAATAAAATTTTCAGAAACATTTTATGTGGTTTTTTGTATTATCAACGACGGTCATTTAAAATTACCGTCGTTGAATCGATAGACTACGTCGGTTATGAAAAAAAACGTCGTCTGTGTCTGAATTTCTTTTTATTTTGTAAAGCTTAATAATCATTGTTTATGGATTGCAGTTTGCCAAGGGAAAAGATCAAGCGCCATACCCCCAAGCAGCCATTGATGAAGTCAGGAAAGAATGGGCAGAGTTTGTTTGCCTTCATATGGATTAGAGGATTTTTGGAACACTTGATAATTTTTTATGTACTAATTTTGTCTATAATATATAATGTACAAATTTTGTCTATAATATACATCCTTTTTTTCCCTGACAATTTGCTGAGGTTTTCATATTATAAAAGAAAAAACAAATTGCGTAACCGACGTGTAATAACTTTCCAACGACATAATTATGTAAAAAACCGACGTAAAATGATATTTAGACAAGATGGGACGTACATGGGACGTCGTTTTGATGAAAATTTCGCCATGGTTTCGTTTTTAAACGACGTCCTTTTGAACAAGTAAGTCGTTCATTAGGGTTTAGGGTTAATACCTTTTAACGACGGTGATTAGGTCGTGGAATATCTATTTTACGTCAGATAGTGAAACATCCGCCATGGTTTCTCTTTTAAACGACGTCCTTTTTACATGTGAGTCGTTTATTATTATTTACAACGTCACTGTTGTTGATATAAGAATATTTTATTATTTTTAATTCAAAATTTTAAAAATAAATTTAAAATAAATTCAAAAAATTCAACTTCAACTCCTATGAAGTCATTGATATATTTTCTTCCCCCTAAACCCCAAAAAAATGCAGTTTGTGTAATAAAAGTTTAAAATGACCAACCAAAATAAAATTGTTGTTATGTGTCATAGCATCACTTATATAGTTTGATGGTTTAGGGTTTAGGGTTTGGGGTTTAGGGTTGTTATTTATTAGGGTTTATGGTTAAAGTATAATTTTTGGGGTTTAGGGTTTATGCTTGTTATTTATTAGGATGTAAAACCATAAACAATTTTATAAAATTAAATTTTACAAATATATAATTTATGGTTTTAAAGTTTAGGGTATTACTTTTAACGACGGGGATTGAGTCGTGGAATATTGAGTTTACGTCGTATGGTGAAAAATCCGACGTGGTTTCTTTTTAAACGACGTTTTGTTTACCTTTTAGTCGTTTATTATTATTTACAACGTCGTTAGTTACTTAACCCGCCGTGGTTTTTCATAGTTTTAACGCCTTTTTTGATTTTGCGTGGCACATAGTTTTACCACGACGTCCTTAATGTAATAAGCGTCATGTTTAATGTTAAATTTTAACGACGCTTGTTTTTTCGGTCGATGTTTTAAAAAGCGCGCTTTCTTAAAATATTCGCGGGACCTAAAATTTTCAGATTTGGCTCTTATTTTTATACTTGTAACCCTGAACCCTAAAATTTTCTGATTTCGCGCAACATAACATTTCGCTCTCTCACTTCATCTCTAATTCAAAGTTGGGCCAGGCTGTGTCAAATCCAATTTGGTCATAATCTGTGAGCTCTGCCAACCTGTAAGTACAAACCCTCTCTTCCCCTTGTAAATTCATTGAATGATATATTACGTTGTTTTGTTAAAGGGTTTTAGGTATATGTTTTGCGATCTGTTAATAATGTTGTTGGAGGTATGGGTTCATGGATTGTCTGTTTAATGTTTTCTTGATCACTCTGTTATGTTGAATATGGAATGGATTTCATTTTGTCGGATCTTTTAATCACTCTCTGTTATGTTGAATTGGGAATGGATTTATTGTTTTCATGCTTAGTATATGTTGGTTTCATGTATATGTTGGTTTCTTGCTTGGTTTCATGTCTATAACGTTGTGTTCTTAATAGGGTTTTGGGATCTTGAAAATGAACTGGATATCGACGCGTTTTCAGGCATACGACGACGGTTTTTACTTTAAACCGTCGTTTTTATTACTTATACACGACGGTGTTATTTAACTACCGTCGTGGTTATAATTAGACGACGTAAAATCCGTCGTCTATATATGTCAAAGACGTCTGTTTTTGTTTAAAAACCGTCGTCTCTGTTGTATATTACTTGCTATTAGACTTTATATAATCTGCTATAGTGATGGTCATTGCTTGTCTTTTCACTTTATTATATATAATAGGGTATAGTGTCGGAGATGGATAAGTCATGGATGCACTCGGATAGAAGATCGAAGGCATATGAGTTAGGGGTGGAAGCATTTTTGAACTTTTCTGTAGAAAATCTTCTAACTACCACACATATCCGTTGTCCATGTGTTAAATGTGTTAATTTGAAATTGTTTGGGGTTGGAATTATAAGGGATCACTTATACTTTAATGGAGTTGACCAAAGCTATAAGAATTGGACATTTCACGGAGAACCTTGGGAAGCAGCTACTAATGCTAGTAGAAATGTTGAAGAAGATGATGACCATAGTAGGTACAGTTTTGTGTCTGAAGAAATAGAGATGGATGATAATGATTTTGGTGATTTTGGATCTGATCCTTATGAGTTTGCCAATGTGATTGGGGATGGAGATCAACCATTGTACCCTGGTTGTAGAAAGTACACGAAGTTATCGGCATTAGTGAAGTTGTATAATTTGAAGGCAAAATATGGGATGAGTGATGTCTGTTTTACAGAATTATTGATACTTCAAGGCGATTTGCTTCCAGAAGGAAATACAATACCGGCCTCTATGTATGAGGCAAAAAAGACTTTGTGTGCATTGGGGCTGAGTTATGAGAAAATGCACGCATGCCCCAATGATTGCATCTTGTATAGGAAGGAGTATGAGGATTTAACTCATTGTCCTAATTGTGGTATCTCAAGGTGGAAGGAAGGCAAAGATTCAATCTTGAAAGAGGGTGTGCCAGCGAAGGTGGTGTGGTATTTTCCTCCAATTCCAAGGTTTAAAAGGATGTTTCGATCACATGAGACCGCTAAGAGTTTGACTTGGCATGCTGCTAGAAAATCAATTGACGGTTATATGTCTCATCCAGCGGATTCCCCGTCTTGGAAACTTCTTGATGATAAATGGCCCGAGTTTGGTAATGAGCCGAGAAACTTGAGATTGGCTCTTTCATCTGATGGATTCAATCCCCACAGTTCTCTAAGTAGCAGATATAGTTGCTGGCCAGTTATCTTAGTTACATATAATCTCCCTCCATGGCTGTGCATGAAACGAAAGTTCATGATGTTGACCTTATTGATTTCCGGTCCTAAACAGCCGGGAAATGATATAGACGTCTACTTGGAGCCTTTGATTGATGATTTAAAATCTTTGTGGGATGGGATTGGAGGAGTGTATGATGCACATAATGGAGAATACTTTACACTCAGAGCTGCATTAATGTGGACAATTAATGATTTCCCCGCCTATGGAAACTTATCTGGTTGTGTTGTTAAAGGATATAAAGCTTGTCCAATATGCGGCGATGATACACCTAGTCACAGGTTGAAAAATGGCCACAAAATTTGTTACATTGGGCATAGAAAATGGTTACCGATCAATCATCCATATAGGAGGCAACGTGCAGCTTTTAATGGGAAACCTGAATATGGCACGCCTCCTGAGCCATTAACCGGAGAAGAAGTGCTGCATATGGTTGAAGATGGTGACAGAGTTTGTTGGAAGAAGAAATCAATATTCTTTGATCTCGAGTATTGGAAATACCTTCCTGTGAGGCATGTCCTAGATGTTATGCACATTGAGAAGAATGTTTGCGATAGTATCATTGGTACATTGCTGGAGATCCCTGGAAAAAATAAAGATGGGATTGCTGCTCGATTAGATTTATTGAACATGGGGGTCAAAACTGATTTGCAACCCGAGTATGGAGAAAGACGTACTCGTTTGCCTCCCGGGCCTTGGAATTTGTCAAGAGCAGAGAAGAGAGAGGTTTGCAATTCTTTCTATGGTATGAAGGTCCCTGAAGGTTATTCTTCAAATATAAAAAATCTTGTATCTTTACAAGATTCAAGACTTCTTGGCCTTAAATCACATGATTGTCATACTTAATGCAACAATTGCTCCCTGTGGCAATTCGTTCTGTTTTGGAGAAGCCTGCAAGGTATGCAATAACTCGTTTGTGCTTCTTCTTCAATGCTATATGTGCAAAGACTGTTGATGTTTCCAAGCTAGATAAGTTGGAAGAAGATGTAGTAGTTACTTTGTGTTTGCTTGAGAAGTACTTTCCCCCTTCATTCTTTGATATCATGGTTCATCTAGTAGTACATCTTGTCAGAGAAGTTCGTCTGTGTGGGCCAGTATATTTTAGATGGATGTATCCGTTTGAAAGATATATGAAAGTGCTAAAGGGTATGTTCAGAATCGTACTCGTCCCGAAGGTTGCATTGCTGAGCGGTATATAGCTGAAGAAGCTGTAGAGTTTTGTACCGAGCATTTATCTGATGTTAGTACAGTTGGAGTGCCTTCAAGCCAAAAGATGGGAGTTTCAAAGCCATTATCAGGTTGCACAGTGAGCGTAGTTGATCGGGACCTGTTGAACCAAGCACATCTATATGTCTTGGAGAATACGGAGGAAGTCCTACCTTATATCGAGTACGTATGAGTTTTATTCTTTAAGTTTCCATTTTAAATTATTTCTTATGTTTATCTTATATGTTTGGGACCGTAATACTTGAATTTTGTGTGTCATGTAGGCAACATATGATCCACATCCAGACCGCTTATCCAAAATTTAGAAAGAGAACAAAGTGGCTGCAGGATAAGCACAATAGCACTTTCATTCAATGGCTACGCTTGAAGGTATATGTTATTGAATAACATATTGGACTTTTAATTTTCTTCTTTCTATGTTAGATTGAATTAAGTTATGATTAATTTGCAGGTTCAAAGTGAACTTAATGAGGACAATCATGGCGTATCAGAAAATTTAAGGTGGCTAGCAGCTGGTCCAAACATGGCAGTGCCATTATATAGGAGCTATCTCATTAAAGGTATTAAATTCAACATCAAGGCACAAGATGATGTGCGGACAACTCAAAATAGTGGAGTTTATTTACTTGCACATACTATGCAAGTTGCTAGTGCCAAGGATAAAAACCCAATTCTCTCAAATATGGGTTTCTATGGTGTCATTCAAGAAATTTGGGACCTTGACTACCAAAAGTTTACAATCCCAGTCTTTAGGTGTGATTGGATTGATAATACTTCTGGTCTTGTAGTGGACGAACTTGGATTTACCCTTGTAGATTTGAGTAAAATTGGACATAGGAATGACCAATTTGTTTTGGCTTCTCAAGTCAAACAAGTATTTTTTGTTGACGACCCGATGCATCGTGGTTGGTCGGTAGTGTTATCAATGCCTAATAGAGAATATAATGATGTTATTGGTGATGATGTCTTAGGTGATGTGAGAATTGAGTGTGAGCCATTTACTAGGGGGATGCCAAATGTTGACACATTTGATGAAGTGGTGGTTGAGTTAGGGAGTCAAAATATTCGAGATGGGTGTGAAGATATATGGGTTGAATGATGCTTTATGTAATTGGCAGTGTATGACATTAATTTTGTAATATATTGTAATGTGATTTCTTCACTTTCATTCATTATACAGGTTTTGGCCACAAAACAATCAGTACAAAAATTACTGGTTCCAGATTACAAACACGACGGTTTTGATAAAGAACCGCCATGTAATTCAACATAACACGTCTCCAATCCCATAACACCGACGTCTAAAAGACGAGAACTTTAACCTGAACGTTACAAAAGACGACGTCGTCATGAATTTACCACGTCGCATGTTCTTTCATAAACGAAGTGGAAAAGGATGAATTCACGACGGTATTTGAAATCCATTAAATTTGTCGACGTTAAGATTTATGAATTAGACGACGTTAATTTTTTTAATGAAGACGTATAAATTATTAAACACGACGGTCTTTTTCATGGTACCGACGTTGTATATAAACGACAACGTCGTCCTCATAAATTACTGTGTCGTAATTAATGACCCCATCATTTTTTCCACGTCGTTTATTTTCAAAATATGACGTATAAATTCTGTAATACGGCTCTCATTTATTTGGAACCGACGTTGTTTATTCATTTCAACGTCGTCTCAGTAAATACATACGTCGTAATTAATGAACCTGACATCTATTTCCACGTCATAATTCGTAGAAAAATCGAAGTGGAAAATTTATTTTACGACGGTATTTGAAGTCCATTAAACTTGTCGACGTTAAGATATATGCATTAGACGACGTCAATTTTTTAAATGAAGACGTACAAATTATTAAACACGACGGTCTTTTTCATGGTACCGACGTTGTATATAGAGGACAACGTCGTCCTTATAAATTACTGTGTCGTAATTAATGACCCCATCATTTTTTCCACGTCGTTTATTTTCAAAATATGACGTATAAATTCTGTAATACGGCTCTCATTTATTTGAAACCGACGTTATTTATCCAATTCAACGTCGTCTCTGTAAATACATGCGTCGTAAGTAATGACCCTGACATCTATTTCCACGTCATAATTCATAGAAAAATCGAAGTGGAAAATTTATTTTACGACGGTTGTGGGAAATGTTGTGACGTAGTAGGTGTCAATAACGTCGTCTATTATTATTGTAAAGACGTCGTATTTATATTTGTCGTTAAATATTTATTTAACGGCGTGAAGTTTAAGTTCTCGTCGTTGTATGTTTATCTTGCGGCCATGTTCTGTTAATATATGTCATCTGTTTCCTTTTTAACGACATTTTTTTGTTGGAGTTGGTCGTCTATTCTCATCCTCGACTGTTTTTTTATGTCTTTTTGCAGAACAAAGACGTCGGTTTTTAATTTTTGATGACGTTTTTTGTTTTAACAACGACGGTTATTCACCGTCGTGGTTTGGTTATGGAAAAGATGTCGGTGGATTCCACGACCATTTGAAAACAGAATACACGACGGTGAATTCCCGTCGTGTTTTTCCTTTTTTGTAGTAGTGAATCTATTTCAAGCCTTGGAAGGCTTTTTGAAAGGGCAAAATTAGAGCTTCTTCAGTCTAAAAGAGGCATAAGTGGCTGGACTTGATGATTACTGAGCTGGAACTGCACTATAGTACATGTTCTGCTTGATTAGGGCTTTCCATAAATTTGTTGAGGATTTCATGTTTATAAAAACCCTGACTCTGCTTGATTTGGCTTATGCTGAACCAAATTTGTAACGAGAGAAATCTCACTTTGTAGAACTATTTTTCTGAACTGAACTAAAAATCAGAGGTTTTGAATTATAGTTGACTTGTTTTTTGTGGCTGAATGAGCTTTGGCTGCTTCAGTGTTTGAAGGCTTTTGAGATCAAGTGATCATTTTGCATTTGTCAATTGTGACCTTGAGAGTTTTTGTTTTGATTGATTTTTTGGCTGTCCTTTTGATCTGTTCACCTCCTCTCATATTTATAGAAAATGTTGGAGTGTGGCTTCTAATCTTTTAATAATGGGCGGCAGATTTTCCAAAAGGAAGATCTTTTATTTTAAATGCCAAGAAAAGGGGGAGTTTATCTATTCTGGCAGAAAAGCTATCAACAGTCAGTTTTAATGGTGATCACTTCCCTGCCTTTCCTGAAAGGAAACCTAATCCCTTCTTACTCTTTAACTGCCCTTTGTAAGAATGCAATCTGTCATGGTGGTTAGTTTGCTTTTCCTAATGAACAACTCTCTGCTCCCTACTTATCTCTTTAGAAAATGTAGTCTGCTTATCCCTTGGAAATGACACCTGCTTTGGTGTAGAATTTCTCTGTATATAGAAAGGGATTTTGATTTTTTGGCTACAAAGATTAAGAGAAGTCTTCCTTTTATACATGCCTTCATTAACTCTCTGTCAACTCCTCTGTGATAGTTGAAAATTTTGACTTTTCCAAGTCAAGTAGTCACGTGAGGCTCTTCTGGAAAAACCATTTTTAGTATGAAAAGATCTGTTGACTTGTTTTTGAGATCAAGTGGTGAGAATTCTTTAGAAGTTGAGCCTAATCCAATTTCTTAGAAGTTTATCGACTTGCTTGGTGACGAATTACCATTTAGTTGGTAATTTTATTGATTTATTTATTCATTATTTAATTTTTAAACCTCTGTCATTTTTGCGAAAGACATGGCCTTTAATGTTGATTGGGCTGCTCTCCTTTTCTTCAAAGCTCAAGACTGGTCATATATCATGGGTTTTGAAAAATTCTGGTCTTGGCTCGCAGAATTTCGAGAAATTAGTCTACGCTTTCTCCATTTTGGGCTGCTCTTCAATTTCTCTAAAACATCAAGCCCAAGGTGTGCTCATGTTTTGTGGGCTGCATAAATAGGCTGGGCTCACAGAATTTAGGCCCAAACATTTTTATATTACAATTTTTATAATTTTTTAATTATCAATAGGAGATAGATTGAAATTAAGATTCTCTATAATGATAAATTTTGTAAAAGAAGAAAGTTGTAGATCTTGAAAGAATGTATTGTAACAGCTGCAGTGCTGATGCTGAGGTCCATGCATGGGTGCCTTGAGAGGTTGTGGAAGATTCATGGGTGTGTTGATCATTCCTAGCAGTGCATAAAGAATGGGTAAGCTGGAGGGGATTTGTGAACAAAAAAAAAAAAAAAAAAAAAAAAAAATTACATTTTGTTTTATTTTCTTTTCATTAAAAAAAAAATATTGGTTTTTATTTTGATGCTGAACTTTGACCTTTGTACCCAAACTTTTATACGTGGCAATTTAGTACTTCAATCAAATTACCCAACTGTTAAAACTTAAAATATATATAAAACATAGCCTTCCATCGATCTCCACTGAAACCCATTACCATAACATTACATGATCCAAGAAAACCCAACAACAATTCGAAGGAATAAAGAACCACTAAGCAAATCCAGGAAAACCTAAAAAAAAGATGTTCACCTCATGTCCTTTTTGGGTGATATTGAGCCTGTCATGTCCTTTTTAATTTTATATTTTCCTTTGGGGAGAGCTTATAATTTTTGGGTCTCCTTTATACAATTAATTGACTGCTTTTTCGTACAATTACTTGGGCCTTGCTCCATGTTAATACTGTTGGGCCTTGCTCTCAAGCACCATAGGCGTTCTAGGCCCAAAGTCTGGATACCGAGCACCTGGGTTAGGAATCCTGGTCCCAGATGCCGAGATCCTAAGTGTTGTATGTCGAATTTTGTGATTATGTTATCGAGGCTGGGCTTGTCAAAGTCCATATACATTGTTTGGGTCCTGAAGTATGGGGTTGGTTCCTAACGCCGGCCCTTGAGTCTCTACACTAGTTAGGGCCATGGCGCTAGGTTCCTCAAATCATAACCTTAACACCAATTCTTTGGTTTGCAGTCATATATAAGGTCGAAGTAGTTGAATTATCCTCTATATTTTTTTTGGTAAGGATTAGTTTAGCTGCAAAAAAATGCACTTGATAGGATTATGGTGGAATAAATTCTTGTCCAATCGTTGTTCACATTTGATTACCAAGCAATACGATTTGATTAAACTAATCCAATCATACTACATTGAATAACATTGATTGAAAATTCTATTATAGCATCGCCACATTGAATGGCCAATACTCTATATATATATCTTTAATTACAGTCTATAGTAACCTTGAGATCACATGGACTTAGAAAAGTATAAGATACGGTTTATATAATTTTCACTTTCTCATGAACTTTAAGCCAATTTTATAAAGTTGTGCGGTAGATACTTCTCCAAGTTGGAAATTTGCTTCTTTTCTGAGGTGGGAATAAATTACAGTGAACTGAGAATAACATTGCCGCTAGCTAAGAGATATGCATTCGAATTTCTCAAGCTTTTTGTATAATGATATATCACATGAACCAAATAAATAGTCTTTTGTGGCAGATTTTTTTTTTATTTTTATAACAAAACAAATTATGGAAATTAGAAGAAAAAAAGAAGTTCTCATACAATATTCCCTCCCATCTCTCTCTCTCTCTCTCTCTCTCTCTCTCTCTCTCTCTCTCTCTCTCTCTCTCTCTCTCTCAATTATGGAAATTATGGAAAGTAGCCTCTATATGGAAAATGCTAGGCTTACCACATTTTTCATACCACAATTGTACCACCTCTATAATAGAGGTGGGCCCCATTGTATTGGTGGGTTGTATATATATATATATACAGAGAGCTTCTATTGAGGGATCTCTCAAATAAGCTTATTTAAGGGACACCCCTTGTAGAGCCCACTCCGGATTGCATTTCACTAATCCAAACCAAACCTTCTATTTTGTAGATACACATTCAAATATCATCTCTACAAAAAATCACTTGAATTCGATATCATTTGACTATTCAATTGAGTTGTTGAAATTTTAGTACTTTCTTGAAGCACTATATTCATTTATTTTGTAAGACACAATTGGATGTTGAAACGGTTTCCGATTTGTCTAATTTTTTGTAAGGATGATCTATGAATGAAGACCTAAAAAATAGATGGTTTAGATAATCGGAAAAAGAATTGTAGAGTACCCTAAAGGGCGTCCCTC